TTGAAACGGTACAGTTATTAGTTATTATAAAACAAAAACAGGTTCCTTCATATTTTCTCTCTCTAATGATGTGGCAATTACCCGTTTTGCATCCCCTATTAGTATTTATTATTGTTATTAATGCTATTAACAGCGCCATTATCATTGTTATCATTACTTATATGATCAGATGCATTAATATTATCTCTTTGCATTTCTAAAATTTTGTTATTTATTGCTTGAATTGTAATATCAGATATGATAAATGCTAGTATTATCACTATCATTATTAATTATCATTATTAGTAATACAATTGATTATTCAAAATAGGAAATTAGCTTTTTGCTCACTGTTCATATGTTCGAGTCATAATGTTGAATCAATGAAATCGTAAAATTATTATAATTAATCATCAGCTACCCGTAATAGTTGTATTGATCGATTAGAATAGTTGTAATCATTGTTTTTATATTCATTATTTCTACCAGTTAAATTCTATAAATTATACCAGTTTCATTAATTTCGCTGTTTTTGTAACTTTTACATTCTATTTTTAAACGAAAACATCAATATAATCAAGTTTGCACAAATTAAAATTTTATGCTTTTATTATTGCTCTTAACTATAAGATTTTTTAATTCATTTGACAAACTTCAATCAATTTTGTGATATCTTTTTGACTCAAACAAACTAATCAATTAAATATAAACAAAATTGTTCAATTCTTATTTAATTATGCATGCGTAAAAAATTGTTGATAAAGCAAAGGTAAATTATTTTCAAAAAAAAAAAAAAAAAAAGAAAGTCACATAACTGTAATTTGAGTAAAGGACACTTTTAGTATTCCTTAATCTTTAACCTTGTTTTTTTTTTTTCTTCAAATTTATCGAAAAAAAAAGCAAAAGCGAACAAATGGTGACAATAACAATGCGACCAAAAAAAATTTAGTTCCATTTTATTTTATTCTCACCAAATTGACAAATTGTGATGTGATAGCGAACTAATTTGTGCTTCTTCCACGACACAATAGCATTATAATTTCGAAAATTTTCAGAAAATTGTTTAAAAAAAAAAACCAACTTCAAAGAAGGAAAATTAAGTTAGTAAAATCTGACAAAGTATATAAATGTAGTCATCAATTCATCTTTATAGTAATAGTAATAAAAGTAGTGATAAACAGTTAATAATAATAATGAATTATTATTACTCTAAATAGTAATAGTAATAATTAATAATAATGATAACAATAATAATAATTAAATCAGTATAAATATAGTTCCGGTGATAGCAGTAATAGTAATTATCGTTGTTACAACAATTACTTTTTGTTTTTTCTTATTTTCATCTGAATAATAAACAGTAAATATATAAAAATAATCATACTAATATTTTTTTTCCTGATAATTATCCTAAAAAAAAAGAACAAATCTTGTTCTATTTGGTCCTTTTTTCCGCTTTTTTTTATGAAGTAATCAAAATTTTGGTTTTTTTCTCATTTTTTTAAATTTTAACAAAAAATTCCAAAAAAGAAATTAAACCGTATTATATGTACATTTATAGAAAGACAGGTTTTGATGTGAAAATTGAGCATAAATTAATAATTTGAGAGATGAATTTCGTTTCAATTGATGATTGCATGTTTGTCTTTGATAACAGAAATTGTTTGGTTTACTAATCTTCTGTTTATTTATAATCTTATCTTTTCAATGAAATTATTTGTTATTCTACGTTATGATATTATCTCTTATCACATATTATCCTACTACTTTACTTTTGAGCTAAAATTACTTCTTATTCTTACCCTCACCCTTACCCTTACCCTATTTGCTTCCTTTCTCTTTGAATAAAATAATTTCTTATCTTAAACTAATGAACAACTACTTTATAACAAATAATTAATAGAAATATTTGTAATTAATTAATTGATATATATTGATATGTAAATGATTATTTGTTTTACAGAAATATATTGTTTTAGTTAGAGCACAAAAAATATTTGTTTGTGAAATATTTCTTTGGTTTATTTCTCTTCTTCTCTTCTCCTTATCTTTCCTTTTGAAAAACTTTATATTTTTCTTTTACAATATATACTAACCTTATAATATATTTTTCTCACCCAACTGACAATTTCTCTTTAAATATTAAAATGAAATTATACTTTCTTCCCTTTTTCCAATTTCTCTCCCTCTCCTTCTTTTCAACATATCTCTTTGCTTCCCTTCCCTCTTTCTTTCTTTTTCCCTGTTAATAATTCTCTATTTCCTTGTTTCTCCTTTCACTAATAATTGTTTTATTATTATTATTATTACTACTATTATTGTTTTCAATCAGTTTATACTAATTCCAATGTTATAATTTATCATACATTCATATTATACTCTTCACTCTTTATAAATTCATAATTATTTATCTGTGGGAATTTAAGATAAACAATTTTTTCTTTACTAAAAAGTGTCATTTAATTTTTAATTCAAAATTGATTCGTTTTTTCTCGAAAGAGAATTTTTTAGCAGAAAAAAAAGTTATTTTGAAGATGCGAGAAAAAGGAAGTGATGTAAACAGATGATTTTATTTATTTTTTAGCAAAAACATTTATTTATTTAGGTATTTTAAGACTAACAAACATTTCACAACAATTGTGTGAAATTATTTTATGTAACTTTTTTCAGTGTCATTTGCTTATTTCACTTATTTACTTTTTAAGCAATTAAAATTTAACAAATAATAATCGTTAGTGTATTTCTAGCACTAAATGTAGCTTCATCAATTGTCATTTAATTGTCAACTGTCATTTAAAATTTCGCTTGGAATACTTAATGAGAATTTCATACTTCTTTAAATGATTAATTTGTACATTTTTACAAATCATTAATTAGCACTTAACGAATGCATAAAATCTGTTTTCTAATTATAATTCTTACAATATATGTACTCTTTGTACCTCGTTTTTCTGTGTTCTTTTTGTTAAACATATTTTAAATAACAATAGTTTTTGATTTAATTTAATTAATCTAAAAATCAAAATTAGACTTATTAATGAATTTTAAACTAACGTAAAATGGAACGCACATTGCCTTCGTTTTTTTTTTATTTTCGTCGTTCATTTTGTTGGAACAAAGAGAGAAATGTTCGATTTCTTACGAAGCTATCTTTAAATTTAGAAAAATTTATCAGCTTCTTACTCTATGCAACGCGATAATGCAGTAACAGGTGGTTGTTGAATTGCTTAAATTACATTTCTTGTTGAAAGAAGTCGTGAAAAGCTCGTTTCCTCTTTTTTTTTTTTATTTCATTCAATTTAAACGATTAATTTTAACAAATTATAGCAAATAAATGATTAATTTCAAATGAAGAAATAATTTTAACATAAATAATAGCGCAAAAATAAATAAAATATATGAATAATTAAGTAAGCAATTTTATAACAATAGAAGATAATTTTTTATAATAACAAAAGGTAAACCTTTTTTTTTACTTTTTATAATAGAAGGTAATTTAATACAAATAATAAATTAGTAAGTAATTTGATTAAAAAATTTCTTTATTTTTTCTTTGACAGCTTTTTTACTTAGATTTTTGCATAAAAACAATGTATAAATGATGTAATATTTCTGTATTAATTTGAAATACTCAATAAAAATATTATTTATTTATGCATTGATTTTATAAATTTAAAAAAAAAAGAAAGAAAATGAAAGAGGAAAGGAAAATTGGGAAAGATGAATGAAAATCACAGCCGTCAAGTTTTAATTATTGTATATATTTCTCGTAATTTACTACTAATAATTACTTTACTTTGTATTGAAAGTTTGATTTATGTGAAGGAAGTTGGGGTAAAAATCATAAAATTCTTTATTAATAGCTTAAATTGGATTTTTAAAAGAAACAAGAAATAATAATAATAATTTGAAAAATTTTTTATTCTTAACTTTCTTATGTTTCCTTCCTTTCATTAATAATTCGTTCTTATTTTATTAAAATTTTCTTCACCATTTCAAATTTATTTCTTGCATTTCACATTATTCTTGTTTTTTGTTTATTTCTGCAATTGCTTTATAAATATTTTAAAAGATTGATGTTACGAAGAAATCACTGAACAAAAAATAATAAATCAAAATTGATAAAATAAAGTAAAAATTAAACAGTGAATTAGATAATGAGTAAAACCAACACATATAATTTATAAATCACTAGTAACTTACAAGTTTTTTTTCTTTTTTTCAGTTTGTACCAATTCAAGAAATTAAATTTAATTAAGCTACTCATTAACTATGATATTATTTGATATATTAGATTTTTGTATATATTTTGCATCTCTTTAATTATTATTTTTTTTTTAATATCAATTTTTTATTGATCTGAATAAAATCTGTATGCACACCTGTATAATATCAGCTAATAATCCATCTAACTATCAATGGTACTTCATTATTTGGCTTAACCAATCATCACTTTAGTGATAGTATTATTATTATTATTAGTGTCACGATTATTATTGTTATCAACAATCATTACCACTATCATTGTTATTTATTATTGTTATTGTTATTATTACTATTACTCATTTACCTATATAACATTTCATTATTTGGTTTAATCAACGATTATATCAGAGCTTTTTTATCATTATAATTATTTATTATTATCCATTTAAGTATCGATGACATTTCTGCATTTGCTTTAACTAAAAAAAAAAAAAAACAAAAAACAAAAAACAAAAATATTTTCGGTTTTCCCACTTTTCTTTTCTTTCTTGCGGTTTTTTTCAAAATTTTGAACAAATTTTCAGTAAAAATTTTATCTTTTTAGCAATATTATTTGACATATATTTATCCAATTTTTTTTTTTTTTTTTTTTCACTAATTCTCATCAAATTTAATTTTATCAGTTAGTATCGCCGTTTTAATGAATTAGCTGTAATTTGATAACAATTAATGAAAATCTATTGCGATAATATCAACAGTGATAATTGGCTATTTATAATCAGTACAAATGGATTTTAGAATTTTTACTTCATGAAATGATCCAACGATCATCTATTACTACTTTTCCTACTTCTATTTCTACTACTACTGCTACTACTTCTACTATTGCTTCTACCACTGCTTCTACTGCTACAACAATCATTAATCAGTCAAAATATTCATTAAAGAGATCTAAATTACGAAGAGATCTAAAATTAAAATCACGAAGTATTAGTACTATCAATAATAGTAATTTACATGATAACAGTAATGATGATAACTGCAATGATAATTTATATCATAATCCAATATATGATCTCGATGATTATCATTATTTGCCAGTGAAGAAGTATTTTTCCGTTGATCATTTCAATCGATTGCTTTTTAAATCACCACAACAACAACGACTTGCAGCAAAATATCGAAATTATAAGAAAAATGAACTGATAAATCAATCACTCAACTATTGCAAACTTATTTCAATGAAAACACAACCAATTTCACCGCAAAATATTTATTCACTTGATTTATCATCCGAAAATTTAAACGAATTAAAAGCAAATCATCCATTCGCATTTTGTGTTTGGAATTCAACGTTAAGACAAAAAGATGAATACGAGTCATATCGTTCCATAAGACAACGTTTCGCTACAATGAATAATAATAACACATGCAATTGCTTCAGTAGCTCAAATAATGATACTGATAGTGATAGCGATAACGATAACGACGATAGTGATGATTATGGTGATGATGATGATGATAATGATGAGGAGAGGGAGAAGAAGGGGGATGATTTAATTTTATCAAAACATCAATATTTTGATAAGTCGGAGATATCGTGGTACAATGAAAGCGAAAATTGGAATAGTATTATTAATGATAATGATAATGATAATAATAATAATCATCAATGGATTAAAACACGTTATGAAGAGACCCGAATTGATCGAGCTAAATTTATGGCATCTGCTGCTGAAAAGCTTCTAACAGCAGATCGTAACATGAAGGAAGCACAGCGTTTCAATATTTCACATTCAAGAATTGGACGAACACGTAGTTTATTTAACTTATTTTTACCACGTAAATTACTTTCGATGGAAATTAGCACGCCAATATTGATTAGTAGTACAAAGTCAACGGAATACTTACGATGTTTACCAAAAGTGCAAGCAGTTGATAATCATTTAAATGACGTAAGGATTTTGCAAAAAATAAAAGTGAAAATATTTTTATTTTTTGCCAATGAAAAAAATATTTGGCAAACTAATATAATTAAAATAAATAAATGAATAAATTAGTGTACGCATATATATGATAGTATGATTAAAAAAGTTTTCCTTTCGACTTTTTCATTTAATTGTTTTATTTGTATTAGTGAAATTATTGTCTGTGCTATTAATTAGTAGTGATAGTTATTATTTGACGATATTATCTTAATTGAAAAATATTTTATCTTTCATTAATATATTTTGATGATCACTGAAGGAATGATTAATTAAATATAGTTCTTATAAAATTATCGACAAATGCTGATAAAATGAATTAAACTAACAATCAAATAATTCATTCGTAATACTTAAAATGCAAATTTTGTATTGTTTAATAATGATAATAATTAACAGTAAATGATAATATATAATATAGCAAATGTTTCTTAGCACTTAAAATGTTTCTTATTTTAGTATTTACAATTTATCAATAATTGTTTATGCAATGATAATTAATGATATAATAATTGAAATAAAGTAATAATTTTACAGTAATAAGAATTATAATTTGGTAATATTTAATATTTTGAGTAACATAAGAGTAACAATTTGCTTTTTTTTATTCATTTTTTAATAATAATTTGTTTTCAATTTTTTAATTTTGGAACATAATAGTGGTATTTCTTCTTTTGTTCTTTTTTTTTAATTTTTTTTTTTTTAGAAAAAAGTGTTTGCTTATAATAATAATCGTTGTTTTAGAACAGTGCAATAAGTCAATGTAATGGAAATGGTAGAATTGTACAGACCAGAGATACTATCAAAGAGGTATGGAAATTTTTTGAAATTTTCTATTTTTTTTTTGAAACATAATTATAAAAATTTTCTATTAAATCGATTTGGTTAATCAATATTTCGTCTTTGTTAAAATTCAGTAGGTAATGTGTTTTGGTAATTTATTTTCTGATGTCATTTTCAGTCAATAACAAAAAAATAAATAAATAAGTAAATAAATGAACCAATAAAATTGCATTACTCAAAATAAAAATATTACACTGAGAAAGAAAACGAAAAAAAATTTTTTTTTTTTAAATTTATATAGATAAGATATTCAGTACAAATAGTATTAATTTTATTCTGCTCATTTCATTTTCAAATTATATCAATTTTATTTACTTCAATGTCCTCAAAAAAATTTCTATTTTGATCAAAATAATAACACTACTTAATAAAGAACAATAAAAAGTTTTTTCCTTCACAAAATTTTAATATTTTTTTTTTCGAATGAAAAGCATTATAAGAATGAAAAAAATTCAAATATTTAATTTAAATTTAATTTTTCGTATGGATAAAAAATAAATAATATTAAAATGATATTGAAGAAAAAGAATTTTAGATTTTAAAACATCCTGGACCATATCCACAAATTGTCTTACCTGCTGGTGGCGGTTATTGGATGGATGGTGTAAGCAACTGTACCATTAATATCGATGATGATGTTGTTGGATGTTGTTCGGCGACAAGTAGTTGTGCTCGATCAAAATTAGAAACTGATGACACGTCGCATTGCTATAGGCGACATTTCGTTGGCAGGGTATATGTGAAAGAAAATTTTTCTCATTCTTTTTTAAGATTATTTTCTGAAAGAGAAATAATTAAACTGAAATAATTAATAGTTTAATTATTTCTCCTTCTCTACAATATTAATAAAATTTCCTATAATCGTATAATAATAATTTCATATAATAATAATTAGTAATAAAATCATATAAGTACGCTTACTGTAGCAAATAAGAATTTGTAAATATATGAAAATTTATTGATAAATTATCTAATCATTTATATTAAACAAATAGGAAATAAATGAATTATTCTGATTTATTTATTAAGCTAAATAAAGAAATAAAAAAGCAAATTGTAGAATATTTTGTTAATTATACCTTATGCATGCGCATGTTAAATTATTTCATCTAATTTTGTCCATTAATAAAACATAAGATATGAATAAATTAAAAAAAAAAAGGTTTACCTAATATAACATATTATAGTCTTTTTCAGTTTTTTTTTTTTCATTGCGTTTAAATTTTGGAATAAAAAAAAAAAAAGGATTCGGAATATAAATATTAGAGTATAATCGGAATATTTAATACCACAACACTCTTCGAATATTATTAGATGAAGAAACTGCTAATAAATAAATATGTTTTAGGAGCATCATGATTTCTATGCAATTGATAACAAACTAGGACCACTGATATTATCAGCACGAACGGAGCTAATCTCATCACAGGAACATTTTAGGATTATTTTACGAACTGGACATGGAACTGTACATGAAATTGTCCCTGCTTCTGGTAATTTTTTTTTTTAAAAAAAAAAGGAAAAAAAAAAAGATAAATAAATAAAATAATTATTTGTGATTAAATTTTTCTTTTTCACTTTATGCTTGAAAAGATAAAAATTAATTTTATGCAATTTTTAATGCATATTAATAAAATGATATGCAATTATAAAGTAAAATATGTTGTACGCAGATATAATTTTAAAAACAAACAAACAAAATTTTTTTTTTCACTACCTTGTTAATTAATTAATTAATTATTTTTTTAGCTCTAGCAGATCGACCAACTGCAAGTCGTATGGCACGACTATTATGTGATGAAGTAACCACGGATCGATTTAGTCCAGTGGCATTCCCGGGTGGTACAGAAATGATTTTAAAATATGATGAGCATGTTTTAACAAACACTTACAAATTTGGTGTTATTTATCAACGATTCGGGCAGGTAAAAAATATGAAATGAAATTTTTGAAATTTTAAAATAGAAAATATTTATTTTATCAAATAATTTTATTTTAGGAAAAAGAATTTTTTTATTATGTGAAAATAAAGAAAAAAATAATTTTATAAGTTTAATAATTTGTAAATTTTACAAAATAATGCTTCAATTACTGTTTCAATTTTATAATATTAATATTAAGTAGTCTATAATTTTAATTTCTTTTTTTTTTTTTTTTTTTTTTTTTTTTTTTTTGCTTTTGATATGTAAAAAATTGATTTGTATTTATAGACTACCGAAGAAGAGCTTTTTGGAAATGCTACATATTCAAGTGCTTTTGATGAATTTTTAAATATTATTGGTGAACGAATAGAACTCAGGGATTTTAAGGTTATTTTTGAAATTGAATCAAATAATTGATTATCATATGGCGTATTAGCAATTAATACTTTTTTTAGAAAAAAATAAAATGCTTAAAAAAGTAAAACGAAAATCTAACTTTGAAGATTTTAAGAAAATAATTAGGGAGCAAAAAAAAATGTAATATCAATTCAATGTAATGAATTGTTTAAAAAAAAATTCTTTTCCTCATTTAAAATTATTGATTTATAAATATTTTATGCTATATGATTGGTGATAAATTTTAGAAACTAAATAATTCTCTATTTATTATTCAATTCTATTTTTAAATATTTTAACATAAATAATTCACACATTATTTCTTTTTGATTTATTAATTTTATATTTAAGTCATTCATTTATATTTGATCATTATCATTCCATCTTTTTCTATTAAAATAATCACTGATAATAACATACATTTTTTGTTCTTATCCTTCCATCAAATTAAATTAATATTATTTTCCTTTTTTTTTCTTTCACTTTCTTATTCATTTTTCATTATGAAAAAATCATAATTAGTGAAAATTTTGTTACTTTAAATAAATATTATTGCTAGATGATAAGGAATATTTGCTATTTGCTGAAAAGAAAAAGAATTATGAATTAAAATTAATAATAATAATAGTATTTATACTTTCTAAAGGGTTATCGTGGTGGCTTAGATACACAACATGGTCAGACAGGTATCGAATCTGTTTACTGTCAATTTCGACAACGTGAAATTATGTTTCATATATCTACCATGTTACCGTATACAGCTGGTGACACTCAACAATTACAACGTAAACGACATATTGGAAATGATATTGTTGCTATCGTTTTTCAGGTTACTTTTGTTTTTCCTTTACAAATTATTCATTAAAATTTTTAAATAGAAAAAATTTTTTTCCAAATTAATTTTTAAATAGAATTAATCAAATTTCTAAGTGGGAAAAAAGGCCAAATTTTAATTTTATTAATAGAGAAATTTATTAATAAGTTTAATTTTCATGTATTTAATCATTGTTTCGTTCATTCAACATTTAATTATTTTTGTTATTTATTAAATAATTATTATTCGTTAATTGAATAATATTTATGAAATAATTTCAGGAAGAGAATACACCATTTTCTGCTGATATGATAGCAAGTAATTTTTTGCATGCTTTTATTGTTGTTCAACCTATCGATTCATGCACTGAAAAAGTTCGCTATCGTGTAAGTTTTATTTTGTTGAATTTTTTCAATAAATTTCAGCAAATTTCTAATTTAATTTAGCGATGTTTCCAAAATTTAAATCCATTCTTTTACCACTTAACTTTTAGTTATTATCATTTCAAATTTTCTTTTCTTATAATTCTTTCATTTATGCATATATCATTATCATTTTTTCCCCTTAGGTATCTGTAACAGCACGTGATGATGTCCCGTTTTTTGGACCTACTCTTCCGGCACCATCTATTTTCCGGAAAGGTCAAGAATTTCGCAATTTCTTGCTTACAAAATTAATCAATGCTGAAAATGCTGCTTATAAATCGACAAAATTTGCCAAACTTGCTGTAAGTTTTGCTGAAATTTTTAACTTAAAATTTAAAGACAAAAAAATTATTTCCCTATTTTATGAATAATAAATTTTTAATACTTTCTGTAACTCTATAATCATTATATTACTAAAAAAAATCATTATTTAACTTATGATATATACGGAAGTAATTTAATGTTTAAAAAAAAGAAAAACGCATTAGATATATAGCAATTTTTGACCTTCTTAATTACTGTTTAATTACTCAAAAAATAAATTAATTATTAAAATTGCTATCAAGAATTATGACTTTTTTGTGCAGGAACGAACACGTTCATCGTTATTAGAGGCGCTATATGGTAATTTAAAAGAACGAGCACAATTTTACGGTTTACCGTTATTGGAAACAACAGATAATATTTCACATCCAACCGGAATTTTTCATTCCGTTAAAAAAGCATTAGCCGGAAGGTAAAAATATTTTCGTTTTGTTAAAAAAAAAATTTATTCATTAAGGTAAAATATATTTATATGGAAAGTATAAAATTTCCAATGTCATTTTTATCCCAAATTAATAATTTATTTTTGTTTTTTATTTTTCCATAAAAATGACTGAATATAATTTGAATGAAAATTTAATTCATTGCTAATTAACAGGTCACGATCAGTTTCTCAAGATGTCTCAGTGTCATCATCCATACAACATCCAACAACAGTGACCATTTTAAATAGTCCAAAAAGTGCCAAACGAAAATCATACAACGGTGGTGGCGGTGAATCAATTTCCAGAAGTTCAACCACATCAACGAGTGGTGCTGGAAGTAGCATTCAACAACGAAATTCTTCCAATGATTTTAAAAAGTATGTAATTATATCTCTTCTATATGTTTCATTAAAGAAAAAAAAAGACGAAACTAAAAATTTGTAAAAATAATTTTGGAAAAAAAAAACAATTTAACCATTATTTTGTAAATTTTTTTTTCTTTCCATAATTTTTATTGTTATATTTTAAATCAAATGTGTTAAATTTATACTTTAAATTTAAAAAAAAGAAATTTTCCACACTATTAAGATTTCAATAACTTTAATAAATAATTTTAGTTAGATTAAATTAAGTAAATATTATACAGATCATTGCAAGTGCATTATCATGAAACAGACGAAGCATATGGTAGTCGTGGTGATAATTCATCTGGATTATTCTTGTCAATTCCATCGCAAAATGCTGCTTTGAAAATTGGCGATTTGTGGTAAGAATTTTTTGTTTTTTTTTTTATCTTTTTTTTTTAACATTAAATTAATACCGAAAAAATTTCTTGTCCAATGAAATTTTTGAATTTAAATCAAAAATTGTACATTAAAAAAGATAGATTAAATTTTTTTAAGTAAGCACAATCATGGTGAATGGGATTTATCAAGTGGTGAGAATGAAAGTACTGAAATGGGACATGATTCGGATACCGGATTGGTAACTTTTTTTTTTTTTCTCGTTTCAGTAATAATTATGAAAGTTCCGGCAGGGAAGAGACAGGAAATTATGAAATTGGAAAGAAATGAGAAAATTTATTTGGAAAAATGTTTGCATATTCGTTAAGAAGTCAATAATTCGTAATTTTATATACTATTAACTCCTATTTTTAATAAGCAGTAAATGTTATTTGTTTAGTACCATTCTACATTCTTTTTTATTGATTGAAATTCAAATTTTTCCCTAATTAATTCTAAATCTTTTTTCAGGAATCATTATCATCCACTGAAGTAGTACATTCAAATCGTACACCATGCAGTTTCTGCATTGATCGTCAAACACCTTTACGAGAGGAAGAAGTAAAACGTCTCAATGAACTTCTTAATGACGTAGAAAAATTACGAACAGAACGAATGGATTTATTACGTCAAAATGTTACTTGTAAAACAGATATTAAAAAATTGAAAGAACGGTAATTTAAACATTATATTTCTTTTGTATCTTTCATTAATAATTTAAATTAATATTACTATAATTATTTCCAATATATTAGAGTTGTAACGTTGATTATAAATTACGGTTAAAATTAGAAGAATTAGAAACTTTTTATTACAAAATAAACTAATTAAAAATTACAAAATAAAGTTAAAATTTCACTTTCAGACAATCAATATTAGCTGGTGATTTGGATAAAGCAAATGAAGAAATTGCAAGATTACGTAAAATATTACGTCGATCATTGCCAAATGAAAATTCTAATGAAATTAATCAACAAAATCATACTGATCATACATTTACTACCACTATTGTTACTCCTACTCCTACTCCTACTCCTATTATCATAACAACTACTACTACCTAAACTGATTATCACTGTACCTCGATGTATTTTGTATTTATGAAATTACAAATGAGTGAAATATTATCATTAATTGATTGATTTTTTTATTTAAAAATGTTTCTGGAGATGTAATATTTGTGAAATGATAATATTTTCCATTCTTTTTACAATTTCATCATATATTTAATTTTTCGAAAGTTACTGTGATAATCAAATGAATAGCAAAAGAAGTGCTATCTTTTCTTGTCTAAAATTTCTTTTTTACGACTTTAATTTACAATTATTGAAAACTCCTTGTTTACTCGAAAATTGACGTATTAATTAGTAATTACTTTCAATCCAGTCATGAATGAAATATATAATTTCATACCTCTAATACAATTTTACTTTTTTTGCATCATATCCATTCTTTCCTTTATTATTATTATTCAGTTTTGTTATTGTATGTTTTTGTGAATAAAAAAAATTTTTTGTTTTATGGAATGAAACTTCAATCTAATATTTTTGTTTTCTATGTGAAATGAAATTGAAATTTATTAATTTTTGCAAAAAATGTTGGGTGTTGTCCGTACACGAATGCATTTTTCATCATACTTTTGTATAAATTGCTTTTCTTTTTGGTGTTGTTAAGCTATTGGTAAAAATATATTCGTATCTTTAGGCATTTTTCCGAGTACTGCGTGCATTAGACAAACAAATAAACACTGAAATTTTAGGAACTCAATACAGATACCACATTGACTCAATTTATCCAATACTTCTTGTCACTTTCTGCTGAATACTTATTGGAAAGTTTCGAAGATTAATATTATTTATTAACAAATAAACGAAAATAACAATAGATTTACACTACTTCAAAAAACTTAACAAAATACCCAAAGAAAGAGATAAAAAAAATACGTACCTCATACACTAACATCCCGCTTATTTAGCTGTTTGTCTTCATAATAAGTAATTGTATTTGAATCTAATGAGCTTCCTCTGATAAAGAAAAAAATAGGAAAGCCAACTATAATATCCGAAATTTTGAAAACAAGATAAATAAACAAATTTATGGACTGAAACTATCGGTAACTTGTGAATATTATGGTAATAAGACTGATTGGTACTAATAAATGAAACATTTTTAGTGAAATGATTAAATGATTCAACCTAGAACTAACAGTATGAGTCTTTTCTGTAGGCAATTATATATCCAGCATTATATGCCGGAATATGACTTCGCTGATGTAAAAAACCACTTGTGTCTCTAATTATAACTGTACCTTTTTGATTTCAAGTAAAAATGGATATTAAACAACTTGTTAAAAAGATCACTACAAACTATCCCAAAAGTGCGAATTACGAAGACTATAAGCTTTATAATAACTTAATTAATTCGTGTAAGGATAGATATCAAATAACTAACGAATCAACGAACGAACTTTTGTTTATATGTTAAAAACTAAGAAACAAATAAAAATCAGTCCTTTTTTACATCTTTTGATGGTTCTTTGTGATAGAGAAAGACGCATGAGAATAGAACAACTCCTATCATCATTGAAAATGCTGAAACATAGTAAGGATATGCACTGTAGATAAAACGCTCATATTGGGTATGTTGCAATGGTCGAACAGATACCTGAAATTGAAAATGCTGCATGTCAAAAATCAAAAATTTAAAAAATGTGGTCAAAAAATACGGTAGACAAAATTTTATTATCTTTTCCATCTTTATTAGCAAACATATCTACAACAGCTTAGTTGTTTATGGAAAATGAAAAATTATCTAATGATTATTTCATTCCTATATTTTGTCATTTATCTTTTCACATTATCACGTTAGTCCTTAAATATCAAAACAAAATCTCAAATGTTATTTCAAAAGATATAGAACATTCCTTTTTTATAAATCTTCCCATAGCTAAACCTAACAATATTAAGGGAGTTTTAAATTTAAAGTTGATAAAACTTATTAATGCTACAATATCTTATTATCAGATGTGTATTATTTTATAATAGATGGTTATTGCTCACCTGTTGCACATTCAACAAATGTGTATACCCGATACGACGATAATCGACCATGAATTTAAACACACCATAAACATCAGGAAGTTTAAACTGTGCTTTCAATTTGCCATCTATAATAAACTGTTGCTAATCTAATGAAGAGACAAAACGCATTTGATATAGCAAGGATAATAATTTGTTTATATGGGATAAGATATAAACTCACTAAATTCATGTTTTGATATTTACCAGAAAAATTGATCTGGACGCCTTGTTGTTCGCAGTTAAAAAAGACAGAGGAATTAATCCTTCAAAGACTTCAAGTAAACTACGCATTGTTTGTTGGTATATTATTATAGCTCTATGGTTTAAATCTTTCAAAACTTTTAGCAGCAAAAGTACTGAAGATTAATCTCGAAAACAAACTCTTGGAATTAAATTGAAAACGTACTGTAATTTTTGAGAGTTGTCCGAATAAATGGATCAATACGGGTAAATTCTAGTTGAACATCATCGCCCTTGAACGGTTCCCATTTTCCATTACTGAGCTCTTCAATTTCAATGGTATACTCAACATTATCCATAATAGTATACTCTCGTGGAGGACTCTTTTCACCAACCTGAATTCAATAAAGTAATAGAAAGTAAAGTTATGCAAGGCTTTTTGCGTCTATAGAAAGTCTTAGCAATTAACTTTAAGCTCGTTCGTTTTAAACTAGTTCCATAGAAGTTTATATCCATGACTCTGGAATCTTCAGTATTTTTATCAACAGCACCCACCCGGAAAAATAATGATAACAGACATGCCTTATGATGCGAAACACTCTTAACTCTCAGAACACCTTTCTCCATAAATACCCATTTGCTCAATTCCGTTAGTAACTCGAGATTACCACTTTTTTGAAGCCTGAAATAAAATCTTCTTTAAGATATTCATATATGGATAAATAAAAAATATATTCGGAAGTAATCACCAATGATTTAACCAAAAAAAGAATTCAAAAGATGATCTCATAGTTCGCTTAATTTTTTTAATCTATTGGTTTAGAATAGTATTTTTTGAAGGAGAAGGCAAATCCTGATCAACTAATAATTAAAAATTTGTAAAAAACTACTAGAAAAAATGGAAAAATAATTCAAAATACTTAGTTTCCGATGCATATTTGCTGACATTAGCACTCATAAAAGCATCGCTAAACATGGCAATCGAACCACTCAATAGAACACGTGCATTATTCCGAGCCTGAATAGCACCAATCAACAATGTCGATCGTCCCACAGCACCTGGATACTGAAATGAAGAAAAAAAAAAAAATAATAACTCCTGTCCATGTTCGAAGAATCCAAAATCCTTTGCAGCATAATAGATCCTTCACAAAAATTTCGGTTAAAATTAAATTTGAATTGAATTCCGATATTTTTTCAATTCGCAAATCTCAAGTTTTATATCTTTAGAGATTTTATCTCTGTTATCCAATCTTCTTTGATAGCAACAATTTTCATTACCAAAACAGAACATTTATAGAGAATATTACTCTTCCTACTAGTTAACTACCTTCGTTTTCACAGCTTATTTTAATTAAAATTATGCAAGTTTAAAAAGATACTTCTTCAATTTTTTCACGGGGATTGAATGAATAAGCGGTTGTTGAAGCAGAAAGTATTTCCAGACGAAGCGGATTTGCCTTATCAGCAATTAAAGCAACTCCTCGGAATAGAATAGGATTAATCTGTCGTGTTTTTCCTACAATCATTGGAGCAGACAAAAGGTTTGATGGATCAGCTACAATCGTTGTATGATCGCCTTCATCCTGTAACTCATTTGATGAAGTTAAGAAATATCTATAAACAACTCCAAAACATGGTTTCAGCTGTTACTGAAAATTATACTTTTTCTATTAGTAAACTCATTATTTAATTTCAGTTGTTTATCAATTTTCTGGGAATTACAATTATCATTTAAGAAAAAACCACTTCTTCATTGGCATGTGACAAAAAAAAATGACTGATAAAATGCAAGAAGTCTCAGAAGTATGAGGTAACAAGAAATTGCATGAATAAAACTAGAAGTGAAGTGATCTCGAAAGAACTTTTTAAATAGTTATCAAAACACGACATAAAAACGAACAGAGATATGAATAAACCTAATCATAAATTAGTGCAATCAAATTTAAAAACTAAAGCTCACAAGAACAGTATCGTAATTCAAATGATCAATAACAGAAGTTTGATTCTCATCAAATTCGAAACCATTCTCTGCAGCCAAATCATGCAAAGCATCACCAACGCGTGTTCCTGCTGTCACTAGTACATTGCCACCATTATCAATAAAAGATGTTATAGCTTTGACATTAATCAATCCTCCAAATTCTATAACAAAAATAAGAAACAAAAATTTGTGGTTTTAATGTTCATAAATAAATTCCTAATAAAAGTATTAATAATGATTTTTTGAAATACGCACAAAGATTAAATAGTAATTTGTCTCATCAAAGTAATATAAAGCTTTAGCACAACAATAAAGATGAAAATCAGATTTTACAAAAAAACAGTTTTGTATTAACTAGATTCAGAATATATCTCAGAGATATCCTGTTATGTTCCATATCTTTCGGATTTTATAAGTATATTTTGCTTTGTTATACCCGCTCACTAATCTTGCTAACAATGATTTTCGTTTGTTAAACTCTGTTGATAGGCAACAGGCATACATTTTAACTATACCAGTAAATGATAAAATATTTGCTAAAAATCTGTTTATCATCTAACAGAAGCATATCTGAATTATTTTTGTATTTAAGAATTTTGTACCGTACTTATTATGCTTACCGTTGCATTTAAAAAGTTTTAAATAAGTCGGAACTTAAATATTCATTTAAGCCAATCCTTAAATAAAGGAACAAAGACATAAGTTAGTAAATACATCGTGCTGTTTCATTTTTTCATCATGTTTGAAGTATAAATCTATATAAGTTTTGTTTTCTCAGTAGATGTAAATTGAAAGATACAAATTCAAGAGGATATGAAGATAAAAAAAAATGATGCAAAATTAGAATGTTACCGTCAACTCCAGGAGCAAAAATTATAAGATGATCGTAGAGATGTTCGCCATACTTTGTGAGGGTTAATGTCTGATCATCTGCTGCTTTTATAATCAACTGGTGTCCCCTTTCTGAAATACGAAACAAATTCTGCATTGTTAAGTTTCTTCTTTTTTTTTTTAATAAAACCTTTCGGAAGTCATCCTGTAAACCATATTTATCATCATTTTTTCCACACATTATTTCCCTCAATTTCTTATGCATTATTTACTGATTATTGTTAAGGAAGAAGCCATCTAAGAGGTCATATAATATGAATTATGAGTAAGAAATATATTTATGAAATAGTGACTAAAATTATCGTTAAAAAATTATGGAACTGATTCCAAAAAAAAAAAAAAATTAATTAATCACTACTTACCTCTTAAGGATTTCAAGAAAATAGAATGTGTTTCCCTAATACCGAAATTATCCACCAAAACTAATATTTTGCCAGAGTTGATCCCTGGTACAATTTCTAGCAAAACTAACGAAGCCAGCAGTAGATAATTCCAAGATATTGCCATACCAGTACTTCTAAATTTTAATATTCAATTCAGCCATATTAAAATTCACAAATGTGAACGAAAAACTCGAGCAATTTAATCACTCCATAATGAAACCATTCCAGTTATTTCGGATCATTTGTACTGTGAAAAATGATTGTGGAAAATTACCAGCCAGCACTAATATTTTGCTAGTTTTGACAAGTTGCGGACTAACTGATAATAAAAATTAATGAAATGGCCAACAATGACGTTTTAAACGCTAAATTTAATATATTATCTTTAAAATCTGAATTACTTGAATCTAAACTATTAGTTACTTCATATTTCTCCCGAAACTTTCATTTCTACTTTTCACTTCCTTCCGTATTTGTTTTCTCCCAAACTGTGTTACGTCCCGGATGATAAATTTGTATGCCATGTAGAATGCATAAAATACAACATAATATACTGGAAAATATTTTTTTGAACTAATTAAATAATTGTTTTGAGAAACCAGTTAATCCAAATGATATAAATATACTGCAAACTTTAATATCAGAGTAAAAAAGAAAAAAACATCTACCGATCTCTAATACCTAAAATATTTAATAAACAAAACACTTCTCTGACTTATTTGTTGAACTGCATGCAAAATCCATCTCATATGCAGTTACTTGTTAAGCAACCGGAAAACATAATCAAATGTAACCAAACTAGAATTTATCTTCATTTTCTTTTATTTCTTGAGCAACATTAAAAAATATGCTATAACCTCCAGTTGTCTGACCATTAAAAACAACCTTTGGGTTGTTATCATATTTTATATTTTTCAGTTGCAAATATGCTTAAGTACACAATCTGGTGCATTACCAAATATGAATCGAAGGAAAAATTAGGACGAGAATGTAAGTGAATTACTTTTTATTCCGTTTGAATTGCTAAATGAATTATAGCAAAGAAGAAAAATTTACAAATTTTTAGAATGGTAAACTGATGATTTCAAACAGAATTATTATGAAGTAATCACTCGCAGAAGTTGTTGATAATACATTTTCTTCTGTTCTTCGTTGCTTCATCTCTTCGCAAAACAAGTTTTTCGCGTTTAAATATGTATATAAATAAGATTAAATATTCCAGAAGAGCAACGAGAGGACAGCAATTTGATTAAACGAATATAAGCACAACAGAAACAAAAACGGTAATAAAATGATAATGAGCATGAATGATAAAGTTTAAACTAATATGTGTAATAGAAAAGAATGGCACGGAAGGTACGCATTAACCGTCTATAGAGTACGAAAACCATAATCGTAATCACTCACCTCACGCAGATTTTTCCATTTACAGCGAAAACTGATGGGATTGCTGAGGTACTTCATATTCTATTGATTCATCGTCTAAAAAAATTTTAACACTGGATGAGGCATTTGTCATTTAGCTAGAATTTGAAATAATGAATAATTTGAAATTGAAAGTATTGCTTTTCTTTATGAATGGATTTTCGACAGTAGGAAGTAACAGTCCACCAGCTGTAGAGTTATGCATAACAAGTGAATACGTCACATTAGAAGACGCATCATAATAAACAACTATGAGAAATTTCACTGTCTTTGTTACCATTATATAAAATTTCCATTAATTTCAGTATACTTTTCCAGTCCCAGAAAAGTATACCAAAACATTTCTTGTTCGAAAAGTAATTTTTCGCTTTCTGAAAAGCAAAAATTCGTCTACTGCATCTGAAAAGCAAAAAGTCAACTAATGGAATAGATTAACTTATTTAACGCAATAGCTGACAGTTCCTACCCTTAAGTAATAAAGAACAAACGATAATTCCAGGAGTCCTTGTTCAGAAATTATTTCTTCGTTGTACTAAATAACTGAGAACTCTAACGATCGCAAAAGAAAGTTTTCTGAAAACAAAATAACCTTTCGATGACCATCTCGCTGGTAGCCTACATTTAGTAGCCATTTCACAAACTCTTATCTGACGTTCGGTATCCGGAAGGCTTTTCAACATATCCTCGATAACTTCGCCCACTGGTTTTGCTTCATGTTCTTTCAATATTTCACGAGCATATTCGGCTGAAAATGGTAGAAGTAGCAAAATGATTACCTAAAGTTAAGTGCAGAGCAAATTTAAAGGATCCAAAATTAAAGTTCTAAAGTTTAAAACCACTCACTCTTTCTAAGCTTTATGTAACATTAAGTGCAACGTATCTTTTCTGAATAACCACTCTTCGATATAATATATACACAAAATTAAACTAATCTTTTAGTCATCTAGACAGTATTTCGTCACTCACATCACTCTACACACATCCTGAACATGAATGTAAATGAAAAATATAGAACATACCAAACGGAAATCACAAAATAAACTCACAAAACATTTTTTTAGGTGGGCAAAGATTCGGACAATAAGTCAATATACTACATATCAATTCCTCATCGGTTAACAAATAATCCTTTTCATGCTGCCTGTAAGTGTTGCAAAATCATGCGTTACTTTAGAGGTACTTCACTGACCTTTGCAGTGTGATCAAAATCAAACAAACGAACATTGGACATGTTGGATCAACGCATCTTCCTAATAATTCATAGTAACAAAGCGGTTTCAACGGATCCAACTTGTTTGACAAAGCTCGATGAGCTATCATACGGTAAGGGAATGTTGGGCATATGCTGAAATTGGCTCGATTGATAGTAAACAAAATTATTGTTGTAATGGCTTTGTTTAGACTATCAAAATTTGTCGAGAATCGACATATACTCGCACTGTAAGCACCGTTATTCCCTTTTCCTCGACTTTTTAAACAAGGTAGCAACCATCAGCCTCTTTGCCGTCCTAGACATAAGATTTTAATCTAGAATTAGTCGAAGCATTTTAAGACAAACATATTTCTATAACATCAAACTGCTCATTTTCAATGTAGAAATTATCGGAAAATGGTCCATAGATAAACATTTAAAAAATTAAGGAATAATTATAAAACCATTAACGAAATATTTTAGTAAGCCAGTAACAAAAAAAAGTGCAAAAATCAGTCCGAAATACACTATTTTGAAATTGCATGTACTTACCGATACCCGTTAAACATAATTAACGGATTATTTTTAAGTTCATTAACATCTTTTTCGCTTAGTGTTACAGTACGACTGATCGTTCGCACTGGACTTCCTTGATAAGTAGTGGAGCTATTCGCAGTTGTAGCTTCTGTAATATAATTTGCTTCTAACTCTTCCTGCTCTAACTCACGCATTGCTGTAACAAGACCATTCATTGAATCAGCTGAATCTGATAACTCGATTATATCAGAATCCCTGAAAACTATCTTAATGTCGCATATTTCATCAACAATCAAAACCTATTTTCTCTGATGCATTCATATCTAATATGGTTAGAAAGCAGTCCTCATTAAGATTCATGCTAATCAACCTGCAATTCCTATATTGCAAATTGAAGTACAATTAATGATTTAACTGCACTTTTAATGTTAAATTAAATGATAGCTTGAATAAATCTATGCAATTACTAGTATTTTCGACTTATCATTTAATTGTGTGTCAAAAGAATACGCTAAAATACTAATAATGCTAAAAAAAATTTTTTTTTGAATATAATAAAAAATTGTAAACCCAAATATATCTGTAGAAGAATGCGATCCACTACTACTACTTGTAGGCCTCGAAACATCATCTCGGTCATCAGAGCAATCCATCGCAATGGTCGTACTCATCGGTTCAGAATGTTCTAAAACGCATGTTTTTATCACTCTCGATCCCCTTGCATCTTCCGACATCTCAGTAGGGTCATAAATATGTCCAACGTCCCTGCTCATATTTTTCATCGATTGCGCTTCGTCTATCAACCGTTCCATTCGTTTGTTTTCTTTTTTCCCAAATGTCTTCTTCTCTAAATCCTTAGAGTTCTCTTCAAATTGTTCTTTATTCAACTGTCGTTCCAAATAAGACAGACGACCCTTTGCCTTTTCTTGATCACACTGAAGTACTTCTATTTCCGCTTCAAGAACACCAAGCCGACGAGCACAACGATTCGCTCTCTCCTAAAGAATTTTGCAAAAGATACTTTGTAAATTAGGATCTTTCATGCAACAAAATTATCGGAATTTATTGCCATTCATACAGCGTCCTTCATAAGTCATACCATGGAATTATATTCACCACATTTTAAAGTATGATAAAACTTCGAAAGCCTAAGCTTACTAACAATCAACATCTTTTAATTATTAATGCGCCTCAGCCTATCCGCACATAAACTATTCAGGTTTCATCAAATTAATTCGAAATTAACGATGAACAATAAGAAATTTAAGAAACCATAACTCCTAACCAAAAAGTTATCACGTTTCCTTCTCGTGACGCATTTCTGGTCATCACGGTGCCTTAATTTCCTTTCAATTTCCTTTAATACTTTCTTTTCAACATCAATCATATGCTGCCAATTTTCAGTCCTCCTCAGTCCTATTTCGGATATACTGCCAAATTCTTTTGATTTCCAACGTGATCTATATTAAATATATACATATAATAAGGAGTTCCTGGTTTAAAATCATTCTAAATTGGCAAGCAATTAGCAAACAATAAATCAGTAACTGAAAGCAAAATACTCTTAACAGTTCAGCAAATTTGCTGAGTAAGATAGACTAGTAGTGTTCTACATCAAATGCAGAGCTTAATCAATTTAATTAATCATATAAAGCAAAGCACACAGAATAACATATAATTCCGAGAAGGATCTAAAAATAGCTGTTAAATTGACTTACCTTTTGGGGATAGTTTCTCGAAAATTTTCCTTTCTTTTCCGTGGTAACTTAATATGGTAGTCTTGAACTTGTCCATCATCACTACCACTTGATAAAGAATCATCTTTCCTTGAACGCTGAAAACTTTTCTGCATTACTAGAAACCAAAATACGAATAATATCTAACGAGCAAGCACTTAATTCAAAACAAAAACCAACAAACCTTCCGATTTACTTCAGGCTTCCGATTTTGCTCTACATTTGCAAATCTTTTAGAATAATGCGTTTCGGTCCTATAAACAAAACTCATAAATTCAGTGAGGCTCACTTTTCAGTACTACTTTTTTCGCTTTTTGGTTTGTTCGTTTTTTAACTACAACTTAAAGTTCTTATAAAATAATCCAGATAGAGGAATGTTTGAAATAAAATACCTGCGACTGGAACTTGGCTTTTCATTACTACCAAGAGCACTTTGTTCTTCCGAATTTGCACTACTTAATTCACCTTCTTCAGGTGATGATTTCCATAATGTTAACTTCTTGTAATTCTTTTTATGCATTATCTGTAAACGCAGTTAATGTTTTTAGTGCTATAATATTGTGAAGAAATGTAAAAAACAAGGAATAGATATGGTTGTATACTACTTTGGATGAATGAAAACAACTCCTGTAAATTGTCCGATTTTTTTTTTTTTTTTTTTGAAGAAAAGGAAAGAACTAATTCTCCATATATAAAGATTTAGTCGTGTCATTATGGCAAAACATACTATATTGAGTTACTTTTAACGACGAGTACGAAACAGTAAGTTATAAAGAATCAGTATATTTTGCACAAAATCATTACCTGCTCCAAGAGCTCAGCACGCAGTTGGTCGACATCTTCTTCGTTATCAGCACCGTCAGGTGATATCCCACTTCGAGCTTGCATTTCATGAGAACGAATAGCCATGGTACTAACTAACGGTGATGCTGGTGATGAGCGCGAACGCGAATCTGAATTACCGTGAATGTTATGTTTCAAAAGAATTTCAAAGCAATAAAGGCATGATCACTTGATGTGTAGCAAAAAAAAAAAGTCCCACAAACATTTTTACTGTTAAATAATCGCTTAAGCAAATTCATTCGTTTCAGATCAACATCTAACACCTAAAAAAGCAGTCTTATCAACAGCCTTCGTTACATCTAATAAAACATCTTTTATTACATCGCTCCTTGATTCAAAAAAAGAAAAAAGCAAATTTTAATAATGAAAAAAAAATGATAAATTTAGAAAAGGACGATATTAAAAACCTCGATCACTGTCCACGATATCCATTCCAACTTGTTCATAATTATCCCCCAAATTCTCCATCCTTTTGGAAAATTTACTTGCTTCCACTCGTAATCGAAGTCGATGTAGCTGATCCTCAAATCTAAATGAATTTTCTAAAAAGCATTAACTAAAAATTGACTGTCTCCTTCATCTGTTAAATTGAATATATAAAGAAACAAATGATATACTTCTCAAAATCGATTACATCTCCAGATAAGAGTTAAGAAAAATTTTGAACAACATTCAGCAGATATAAAAGAATGCCGTTTTGCAAGAACCATGGGGTTGCAGGTACCAAAACTATAAGCCCATGGTTTGATCATTATTATGCAGTAGCAACATTCTGAGCTCTGATCTTCTACATGGAAATTACTGTTTTGATCAGCGTGCTACATCTTACCGCTGCTACTAAATAACTACAATAAATATTTTGGTTCCATTTATCAAAATTTTACGGGTTTGAAAATTGTTTCATGGGTGCTTCCAATATTTCCTCATTATTCTTGGTTGAGATAGTCGCTTTCTGCTGATTATTTAGGATGCAATATGAGTAACCGTTTGTGCTATCATTCCGTACCGTCACCTTGAGTGGTATCACAGTTTGATGGAATTTATGACTCTTGGTGCGATTTTGCGTATCACCGTAGCTTTGAAATTTGTTATCTGCAAAAGAAATGAGAAAGAATTCAATAAATTAAACCCATTTTCTTCACAAATTCTCAAATCCTTTAATCATTTAGTCGCAACTAATTCACGTACCTCGCCGCATTTAGCTAATATGTTACATTTCATATTAGCTTTACAAAAAATGTTGTATTCAGACATACAAACTCTTGAACTCATAGCAGTAAGATATTCAACAAGCTAACTTTGTCTTCGTTTCAGTTGTACCCAAGTTTGCCGCGACGAAGAACGCATGTTTAATTGTTGACTTCTTGATGGCGTGTAAGAAGTATCAGCTAAAAAAGAAACAGATAAACGTCAAAGCTCAAAAATGAAGTTCAAATGTTACAGTTAATTCCCTTACGTAATTCTGCAACAATCCTAAGCCATCTAAATGAACCTATACGAAAAGCAATGCTTTACAACACTTAAAAAAATTAATGAATGTCAAGGAAATGTTGAAAAAAGCCCAAAAGTAAGAGAACAACAACTTCAAGTTGTTAAGTTTCCCTTTACATCAAATATACATAGGGGAGAGAGAATCCTCACTGATCTCTCCCTCTTCTTTTTCATGTGATGAATGTTGTCGTACAGATCTTTTATCCTTGCTTGTATTTAATACCGCTAAACGTAAAGCATTCTCATCATCCGAATCAACATTTTCTATTGAATGTTCAGCAGAGGGTAAGCTCATAAATTCTGACCTATCTGCTGCTTCCTGAAAATTAGTTTTGGTATCTTAAAAAGTCACTGTAAGAGTCGTTGAACCATTGTAATATACATTCTTGTATGATATTTGTTTCTATGAGACGAAAGTAGTGAGAAAAATGAGATTCTCTCCTCCAAAAACTAGGTGTGAAATGGTAACTGTGTGAGGACGCAACATTAAGCAGAGAAATTCAGCAAATTAAGCAAATTACTATTAGATCCAATAAGATTAAAGATAGACTACTCCCTGAAGAAGATATTTCAAGACCTGTACTTCGCGAATAATACGATCCACTTCACGTTCCTCGTCCACACTTACGGATGAAACATGCGTCATATTTTCTGACTTTATTTCCATTGATGTATTCCTACAACTGCTAAATTCAATTCTTAAGAAGGACTACTAAAACATCAAAGCTATATAGCAACAGTTTAGAATGTGAAATCGATGTGAAAAGCTTTCCGCACTCAAATTCCAAACGAAAACAAAAATACTTAGCAAGCTTATACCAAAGTAATAAGAGTAAATGCTTCCTCTTGCCGTTGTGAAGTAAGTTATCGGATAAATTGACGACAAAAAAACTTAAAAACATATAGTTAGCCGATATTAGGTTACAATGTTTCTGCCACTATGGCACTACTCTCTAGATATCAAAGTAAACAAATTTTACAACCATGCACAAACAGCAGCGAAATAAAATAATGACCGAATAATAATAAAATTTGAATTAGCCACTACTAAAACACCGCGATAACAGTAAATGTTCGATCAAATACCGAATTAGTACTGTTAAATATCCATTAATTACAAATAAACCTATATTACAAAACGGTCAATAATAATGTTTCAAATTAATGAAGACGATAAAGTGAATAACGAAAAATTTTAAATTACTTGACACCACCGTAAGGCAATAACATTACTTAAAACTTGCAATTATAGGTTAAGCTTATCACCATCACCATATTTAAACCATACACAATGCTGTCACATGCTACGAGTAAGTATTAATGTTACAAGTAGACTGCAACACTTTTGTATGAAAATAGATCTGCAATAAAAATGTCACTGCAGCTACTATTACTTTTTTTTTTTCATCTCCGATTCTCTGATATATATCTAACCTGCATTACTGCTACATTATAAACAATCATCAGAAAGATTTTTATCAATGACATTAACTTTACCTAATAAATACATCAACGACTTAATAATTAAAACTTTCAATTTTCAACAATTTTTGCGACCATTACCTGTGATACAAACGATAAAACGTAGTTAGTCTATAATGTATCACTGCAATTATCCATTACGGTTTAATATTACTGAACACAACCAACATTAAAATATTTCATATTTTCAAGAAAAATAAACCTGTGAATAGCGTCCAAATCATCATCATCTTCAATTTCACCATCTTCCAATGTAGTGCCACTTGTCAACATTACATTTCCTCTCATTATCGTAGGATACGTACCAGAGATTCCTAAATACTTAGATTTATTCATTTCAAAATCATTTATTATGATTTACTTTATCGTATGCTTTGTAACGTGTATACGTACGTGTCCACACGTGGTGTGTAGTGATTAATGTAACTGATTACCAATATTCGTAATGATCTAACCAAACAATATGTATAAATGAAAACAAACGAAAAAATGAGCTACAAGATATAAAACAAACTGATCCAACAATAGCTATGAAGTCTAACTGAACTAACCAGGGGCGCGCTATGAAAACTCTTCGTTTCACAGTATTGAAAAAGCATGCAAGTCAATTGAATTCAGCAAAGACAAGATGGCGTACGACGAGATATTTACGCTATAAGTGGACGTGTGACAACAATGATTATTCTAAATAAAATTAATATAAAATTACACACAAGAAAAGATAACACAAAAAATGCAAAAAAATATAAAAATAAAATATAAATTGTCTCCAGTAACACCGCGTGAAGCACACTGCTTATACTTACATATCATTGAAATTACTTATATATGAATGAAATTGCATGCATATCTGTCGCACAGTTATTGTAAAAGCTTTCAGATTGAAATTTGTCCTTCAAGTAAATGTCATAACAGTCCGAACTGATATGATATGCTTAATTATCAGTTTGTTAATTCGTATAATTGATTGCATTCATTTGTGTAGTAATTAATACAAAATACTTTCATCAATTCTGTGTTAATCCTTAACAATCGCATATAGCATAACATGAAAATATGATAATATAGCACTGATAAAATGGCTCTTATCATTATTGTAAGCAAATTTTGTACTTAATTAAACTTAGCTCTTAAAAATCCATGCTTCTATGTGTTTCAAACATTTAAATTATAACTAATTTAAATTATTCAACTGCAATTACATCATAATAATTACTGAATGAATACTCAAAGATTACACAACATTTTGTCATATTTGATTTAATCTTTAGCATTGATTGGAATATGATTAAACTGGAAGATGCCCGTGCAACACTGCCCGAGGGTAATCTCAGAAATAACCCAATGTGCTTGAGATTATCACAAAAATTAGAAATCATTTATATGACATTGCGTCTGTGCATTTAGTGTACAAAATTGGATCAAAGAATGCAAATTAATTATTTTATCAACAACAAACTTCAATATCAACAATCCATCAATTCCTATTTTATGCAAATATTACATACGATGTGTCACATTCTAACTTTAAAAATTTGTCGCTTCTTTCCAAATGCCATTTTAGTTCAAATTGAAATTCTCTCTCAAAACAGGAAGAATTTGCCATGGATTTATATCGAAATGCAATAATTCGATACCTCCAATATTGAAGTTCCGTCAGTCTAATTAGTGCGATTTTATTATCTTTGGAAAATTAATACTAAAAATTAAAAATTAGATTCAATTTATGGATATCATAAACTTATTCTCAATGATGACAATTCTTTTGTTGGGACGATGTGGCAGTCCCAAATTTTCATAATTTACTTAACTACGTGTGACAGACACGCTTCGTTGACAGTTCAAAAGCGCATTCATAAGCTATCAATTCGACAATATGAATATGAGAAACAATGCTAAATGTAAAATTTTCATTTCCATTGATTTTTGCTTTCGTTGCATTTCATTGTATCGATGTCACGCATTATTTGATTGTCTCCTAAAATTTCGCTTCAATTGGGAATGAAATTTCCACCAAATAATTTCAGCATCGGTGACTGTCATAACTATGCATTATTCTGGTTGCCCACGACAAGATATGCTGTGGGTAATCAGGACAGTGCATATTCATGACACCAACTCACTGTTTCGTCAGCTAATCCTCCCTCAAACTCCTCCGAAATTCTCGACTTACCATGTGATTAGCCTCAGACATTGAATTGAACAGAACCACCTGACACTGAGACTTCCCAGAAAGCAGTGATAGTCTAAACACTTTCAGTGGATACTGTTTGGCAGCAAAAAAGTTTCATAATCGAAAATGATTTCGTCGTAATGGAAAATTCACTGTTATCAGAGGTGACATTAAGACTATCATTTTTGGTTCAAATGTAAACAAAAACAAACGAACAACTCCTCGTAATTTAAGTTAAATGAAATGTGATATAATTAGTTCGTTTTCTGACATTGATATCTTTATGATCAGTTTTCAAAATACATTAATCATTTCACAATAATTTAATGGAATACTAATTACAAGTCATAACAAGAATTATAAGCAGAAATATAAGTGCTTATTCGGGATATGTCGAGAGCATACGGAAGAGAAGTATATATATAAAATATTTCAGACAACACAAAAACTGCTCTTTTATCAGCGCAAATTTCATGATTGCAGCTAAACATCCCATCGTGCAATAAAAAGTCGCTTTGTCTTAACCCAACTCATCTATGCGTGTAAAATTCCCATTGAAACAGTACGCAGAATTCTAAAATAATCAGAATTCTGAAAATTAATCAACATATTGCAGTGAACGTTCCTGCGGATAATTATAAATTATTAAACAAAGTTAACAGAGAGGTAATCATTAGAGTTCCAAATTTCGACATAACATTTTAAAGCGACATTTAAGTACTTTGTCTCTTTCGTTTTCCTGACTATTTAATAATACTAGCAAAATATTTTTCCATGACACATAGAACAAATACATCAAAACAAATAATCACTGAAACGTCTTTTTGCTATGCAAATCCTTTAACACCTCGTCCAGCTCGTCATCCTCCATTTTATTTTCCAAGCTGAATAAGTAATTTTCTGATTATTAGACTAGTAAAAAGGAGCGACAAAAGATAATGTATGGATAATATTGTGAGAATTCGATTTTTCACGCTAAATAGATCTCATAAATCATCCAGAAATAACTGGAAAAACAAGGCATTAACAGCCGTGATGTTTCTTTCGGGTGAATGGAAGCAATCTTTAAGAGAGAGAAAGGAAAAATCCAAAAACCTGGGAATTAAGGCTTTTGCCTCCTCTGACGTTTCTGGACAAAGGTTAGCAATCTGCGCAACTTCGAATTTATGCAGTGGTTTCGTTGCTAATAAGCTGCAACCAATATTTATTTTAACATGACTAAAGGCTGAGTTTTAATTTAATAAGATAGAAAAGTTCGTTGAAAACACAAATATAAAAAAAAGTTAACACTGACGTTCTAACAGCTCGAATCGTTTCCCTATTTTTAAATCGTGCCATTCGCCGTGTATAATTTAAAGTTTTTACAAATACATCACTCATCTCGTCGATTTCCTCCTAAAAATATTTCTTCCATTACTAGTAAAAAAAAAACATCAATATCAGATTTATTTCAAACATGTTCAATTAGCTAATAATGTTACGACAAATAAAATAAAGCCCAGTAGACGAATTCATTTAATTAATTCGGTGTCATGATAAAAGCACAAAAACCACTTAATTAATTATATGAACTTCTCACTAAAAAAAGAAAAAATTTAGTTCTCATAAGAATCATAGTTCTGTTAACATCTGTAAGAAATCAAGTTGATCACATCCAGTTATCTGTCAGCTGAAATTCCAATATGACTGCTTGATTTAATTTACTAATGTAAATAAGAATCTAAAGTTTTATATAAAACTAGCATTGCTTTAAGTGGTAAATAGTAGACGACACACAGAAAAGCTTCACGCTACATTTTTGATTGAAATTAGCAACGATCTAAACTTGAATGATTAAACTGGTTTCAACTCTGATCAATGCCTTACCTTTTGTTCGCTTTGCTGGCGTCGATGTTCTAACAACAAGTATACTTCAGATGTTAACAATGTGTCGGCTTGTTCGAATTCTGAAAACAAAAATAATTGATCTAAACACATAGAATTGCTGTTAATTTCAGAACAGGAAACAGAGCATATAAAAAGCATATAATCTGAGAGAGAAGCAAAAGCACCTCTAATTTCTTATTTTCACGGCCTTTGCTTTTAATTCCAAGGAAAATAATTGCATATATTGCATCAAAGAAAAGGAAAGCAAACCTTTCGGGAATTTCAACTCGGTCGCATCTTCATCGGTTGTATCGTCCGACTGATTACCTGGCATCCCTTTTCGTTGAAAAAAATCCCTGCAAAACCCTGCATTCATACATATTTATTGAAATCTAAAAACGCTGACCTTAAATATTACACTTGGTATGTACCACTGCTAGAGCAACAAAAAAAATAAACAATTTTATTATTTAATAATAATGCATTCGCATAAATAACAATTTCACACAAGCGAAGTAAGCACAGAAAGTATATCGTCATGGAATACATAAAATAAAAGAAGAAAGACAGTCATTTTAAAAATCGCACTTGGTACATAATATAAGTAATCATTACAGTTATTATAAGGCCATAACAGAAAATGTCGAGATCATTGATGATGACAAGTAAATGAGTATAAAGATCAATGCAGATGACTCAAAGACTAGCAAGAATATAATCAAAAATGGTCGTAAACGAATTTTAACTAGTATTCAAGACAAGAAAAGCTTAAATATATTAACAGTATTTAATATGAATATTAATAGATGCCTTCTTCATCAGTTCAACAACTTATTTTGCTCAGTGTCGCGATTTATTCCTACGCATCATTGTTGCTACCGAAAGAACTGTAACAAATGTACAGAATTGTAAGAAGATGCGAAATCTGAAATAAACTGGTAGGTTATACTTTGGGATTGGCTTGTTCTTCACTAAGACATTTAGTGAAATGTTATGAAAACTGTTCTTATATTAAATTCTTATATAATAATCAATTTTCGAAGGAAAATTTCAGCAAATTAGTTCCTCAAAAATATTTTAATATGTATCATAATAAATTTGCTGTCACAGAAGTCTGCCAATAAAAAACAGTATTTATTAGAATGACCGTCTTATAATGAAGTAGTACAACTACAAAGTGAAAGAAACATAAAAGATGAAAATTATTCTAACCTATGCTCAGCGAACGATATTCTTTCTGAATGAGGCTTCAAAAAGCCATTCAATGCAATCCATGGCAATACAATTCCAGCGAGAACAAAAGGATTCTTCAGCAAATCGTTTCGTTTTTTCAACATTTTATAATCCATATGAAAAAAAGAAGAAAGGTAAAGCGTTTCAATACAGAAATAAAGAATTTCAAACTTTCATTCTGGATACCTTCTATATCTGGATACCACCAATGATGATAACAATATATCAGCCAAAATATCCCAATTGACAACAACCAGCAACCACAGGGAAAAATATAATTATTAATGATACTTAAATATGATTTGTTGACGAAAATATCTGAGTACTTACGATGGGATCAGCAGTGCCAGGACTAGAACTACCAACCTGGAAAAAATTCAATAATTAATTTTAAATTACTTCGAATAATATTAATCGATCACGTCTTTTTTCTGTTGTTCAAGTGTTATTAATTAGAATATGGCACTTATCTTTAGCTGCCTTATTCTTTTTCTGATAAATAATTTACATGAAAGAAAAAAAAATTTTTCCTTTGAAAAAGCTTTACTTATTCTAGTTACTAAACCAAAACCACAACTTAAACACTTTCCAAATTTGTTAAGTTTAGCCATAAGTTCTTCCATTCAGATATCCTACATTTTATCTAATTTTATGCATTATATTTATAAACTTCATAATATAAATCGAAGTAAAATTTCAAATTAATTGTTGGATATTCATCTGTAAATGAATCAACTGATCATTGGAATAAAAACTTATTCCGAAAACGTAACTTTAACAGTTAAGCAGAGATATTTTGTCGTTATAGCAACAAATGATATTAGCTTCAAAGCGAAGAAAACAAAAATGAACTAACCGATATGTTGGCCATATACATTTTGCGCAAAATTTGTATTATCATACTTCTCTGTAAAGTAAGCATAAATTTCTCGTAACATTTACTTCAATCTAATTATGTAATTAGGTTAGAGGATAAAGCGAAAGAAAAGCTATCCAAAAAGTGTGGTACATTCTTCAAAGTTACAAATTTTAAAAACTAAACTAAAACAGCCACAAACATTCCTTAAAAATCTTAGTCATACTTATATCGAAATCAAGTAAGCGAATACCGAGGGTACCTCAATTTTACGGCCGAGGCATTAGAAAATGACGCAGAGTAATAAGGGAGAAAGGTAGGTTTTATGTGCTGTCGATTTTGTGGTAATTATTTAGGGCGGGGGAGTTATTTGGGAGAGTTATTCCAGTAATTATTTGAGGCGGGGGAGTTATCCGGGAGATTTCTGAATGTTACAATTTACTTTCAAATGAAATATTTATGTAAAAAAAAAAAAATTATCAATACATATTAATGCAATTCTAAATGACATCCTACTACTGTACTAAAAATTGCATAATTCACACAAAATGCATGCATGCATCTGTGTAAGTTTATGCATGCTCAAAATTATCATTACGTGTAAATAAACGTTAATCACGTACGTGCGTGCATGTTCTATCTATTATTTACTATACAATGCGATGAAATGAAAGCAATTTCTTAAATCGATACTTAAATTTCAAACAAATAAAAAATTTTTTGTCGAAAATTCACATTTTCATTAATTTCATTGGTATAATTTTAAATTTACCAATTAAATTTCTTCATTAATCGATTAGTTCGTTAGCCTAAAATTAGAAATGTCAAAATGAAGTATCGAAAATATTTAATTAACACATTTATGTACCATACTGAAGTTATAAAAAAATTCTATGAAAGATTTTCGACGATATTTTTTCTTCTCTAATTAATTATTTCTTTACTGTTATGATGAATCTTCGTTGGAACATTGTTTAATTCAACTTGAATCCATCATTCAATTCGTTTCCTTTGTTCGTTGATAGTATCGAGCTATCGTGGCACATGTAAGCACGAAAACAAATGAAGATCCTTGAAGGAAGATCCGAAATCTAAACAAATCATTGAATTATCACATGTAATGATTATTTACAAAAGTTATTGCAATTTATTACTTTACTGATTGATAAACAAATATGCTAAAATTTCAATCGTTTATAATCATTGATGAGAAAAATTAAAGATTAAGAGATGAAAGAAATACATGTCAATTATTTCAAATAAAATTAATGTTTCATTCAAAGAAAAAGAAAAGGAAAAAAGGAATTGATAGTTTATTCATTATGCAATTTACAAAAACTTTGAAATTACAAAAAAAAAAAAATAAATTTTAAAAGGAGTGTAATATTAAAAAAAAAGTGCAATTTACAACAAATACTTTGATGTATCACATAGTTTGAAATGTAATTAAGTCATTACATTGGTCATTTTTGAAAAAAAGTTCTATTTGTTAGCTAATTATTAAGGGATGATAAGCTATTCCATATCATTAATTAATATAAGTAAAAATTGAGAAAAAAAAGTGCAAGTATGCCATACAATTCAACAAACTTTCTCATAAAGTGTTGTATTGTTATTATTGTAGTTCAAAAAATGATAAAAGATAAGAGAAATTTCATTAACAATATTACATATTGTTTGATATATAATTTGCTATATATATTAAATTAAATTAAATTTGTGTAGTATTTAGAGTAAAAGTTAAAAGTTAAAAATTGATCTGTTGTATATCTCATATCTAATCAATATAACAATTATATAAATAATTAAATTCTAAATTACACATTCGATATTACCTGTGTTCCGCAAATGAAACTCTTTCACTATGCGGTTTCAGATATCCCATCAAGGCTATCCATGCTAACAATGTACCGGACAGGAATACCGGATTTTTTAGCCAATCACGACGTCGTCTCATCTCTTTTTGTTGTAACTACAATTAAAATGTTATCATTATTATTATCAGCATTACTATTATTTTTATCATTTTATCATCTTAAAACAATGAAAACATTATACTAAATGATAACATATCATTTTCATTATTAAACAAAAAGAAACGTTGATCCATTATTGAATTATCCTTACTCCCAATATTTATACATTTATTATAACTCAGAATGCTACTAACATATCAATTCTTATCACTGATATTTAACATTATAATTGCATTATCATTAACTCTATTATCAAAAAACTACACGAAGTGTAATCCATAAATGAATTTGATAATCAAAATTATTAACTTTAAATCAAACTTACGTTCATGCCAACAATCCCTGGGTCATAATCTTTAGTCTGAAAAAAGTATGACATTCATAAACACAAATTATACACTTTGTCTTAAGATATATGTTATGATAAAATCACAATTTCTTAAATAAATTACAGTTTCACACTAAGTTTTGAAAAAATTTTAATTGTACAATCTGAGTTTGATCCATTTTCCATTTAATTTATATTGAGTAATCCAAATGAACTAACCTTTTGAACTGTTGCTGAAGTCATTAATGCCTTTCTAACAAGATTCATCTTTTATCAACTGCAAATTAACAATATGATGTTATCATTATGGTTAATTTTGATAATCTAAAGCGACAGTTGGAATTTCTTTTCTTTTTTTTTTCAATTCAAAATCTTCGACGGAAAAGAAATTGCATTTCAAATGAGGAAAGATAAGAAAATGCATCAATACTGAATATTTTATAAAATTTTTTATTGTTAGATTAACTTAAAGTAACTTATAGAAGTGACATTAAACTAATATTAATATTAGTTCAATGCTTAATTCTACATTACATGAAGATTCTATCAATAAACTTCTATCCTAGCAATAAGTTCCTATCTTATATAATATGATCAGTATTTGCTCGTTGTGGTGATCAATGATCGTTAACAATTATCATTATCAAATCACATTTGTATTTATTCAGTTTAGTAAGCAATGAAAGAAATGTATAATTAATCTTTGTTTTTTCTTAGCTGAAACAAATATTCTAAAAGTAGGCCAAAATTTATATAATAATTCAATCAGTACATATTATACAAAACTTTGTAAAAGTTAATTGAGTAATTTATCATAAAAAAAAAAGGGAGAGAGAGAAAAAAACAAATTTATTACAAAATACTTAGCTAATGTAAAATTTTCGTCATACTTAAACTTAATAAACATTAAACAGTTATTATATCTATAAAAAAAAAGTATGGCACAACGATTGATAGATCCAACAGATCGCTTTCTTTTTTTGTTTAAACTTTTTATTTAATTTTCTTCCAAAATAGTATTTGCAAAAAAATAAATCAATAAAACAATGATAGGAATAATAACACTGAATGGTTTAATTAAACAATTTAGGTATGAAATAAATTTGTGTTAGTATTTATTAAAAATATAAGGAATGTAGCAATAATCTCTAATTTTATATTCCTACACGCTTAATTGTTTTTGCATTCGGAGCAAACTTATGTCACATTGATCAAAATATGAGGTTGAAAGATGACGACACGAAGTTTGAAATGTCACAATGGCATGGCTGTATCACGAGAGTGGCATGGTTGTATCACGTATCGATTTTCGTAACAGCAAAATTCGTCTCGTTTCATTGATGAAATAAACAGAGAGCTGCTAGCATAGCACTGAGACGAGCTTTTTGCAATTGAAATTTCTTTTTTTTTTAAATTTACATTTCATTAAACTAGTTTAAGCTAAGGTTTAACGATAGATTAATTGAAAGAGATAGAATTATGTAAAATTCACAAATAATTTTTTACTGTCATATATTTTAATTAATCGCAATGGAAATTTACTTTATTTTCTTCACGCGTGAAGTACGTGAAAAAAAAATGTACGATAATTCTCAATGTCCGTAATACAAGAATCATATGTAAGTTGAATACAACTTACTCAAATATTTTTCAGCAGTAACAAAATTGAAATTATACGAGCGTTATATAGCTGTGATAAAAATGCATGAATTGGACAACGGATACGGTATAAATCGATGTGTTTACTTTCTGACGCATAGGTTGACACGTTCGTGACGTTTAATTGTACTTAAAGGGAAAGGAAAAGCCTAATGCATATACTTAATTTTCAGTGATAACACGAAAATATATCAAATAATATTTTATTTTATATGCTATTCACAAAATCATTAATGCATATATAATGTCGCAATATACTTTACCAAGTTTGTACGTAAGTTATTCTTCATGAGGGATATATTGTTGATCTCTAATTGAAGTACCATGAAACCAGGCAGCTGTACCAATAAATGCCGTAAATGGTACCAATGCGATCGATCTAAAAATGAAGAAATTTCAATGTAAAATTTCAAATTAGAAATTGCCAGAAATACTTTAGAGTAATCTATTTAAGTAGATCAAACTTAAAATCCGAAAATTATTCAAATTTTTGCTAATTTAGATTGTTCAGAGAAACAAAAAAATTCAAACGAAACTCCTGAATCAACGTTGATGATCAGAAAGCTTATCAAGAAAGAATTAATAATAAATTTCATTTACCGATTAAATTCAGCTTGTGACATGCTTTTCACGAAACGTTTACGAGCGATGGAAAATGCCATTTGAAGTGCAACGCATGCAAAAACCGGAATGGCCGGATTTTTCATGAATTTCTCGTACATTCTCTTCGCTACTGCTGTATCATCAGACTGCAAAGAATTGAAATGCATGCATGCACTATAGCATCACATTAATAGCTCTTTTTAGATAAATTTACAAAAATTTACCAAACGATGAAAAAGAAAAGGCATGTCGTCGTTGTTAAATATTGTGATAAATGCAAAATCTGAAACAAAACGTGAAGTAAAAGTAATTAATGTGAAAAGTTAATAATGAGATCTCAGTTTTCATTCCATTTATTAAATTAAACATGCATTTGAGCATTAACAAAAAATATTGCTAACTATTATATAAAAAAAAGAATGATAATTAGACGTGAATAACGTAATGAAATATAAAATATTTTACGGCTTATTTGAGTTAATATGATTTCAGTAAGCTTCCACATTTGCAGCTATCAACAATTTATATATATATATATACATCGATGTACTTACTTCCGTCATAAAACATGTAAACTTTACGTGAAAAGCGCAAAGTGCAAAAGTGAAAAATATTTGAAGTTAAAAGTGTACTGCGAACAACTGCTATTCACCTAGTGCATGCACAGCACTATAATTCCACATGTTACTAACTTGTTAAATTTAAAAGGAAGAGTGAAAGTGTTATTTATATCAGTGCAATCGATAGCACAGTCTATTCTGCCGCACTTTAAATTTTAATGTTTCCTCTTATCACATCTCTCTACTTCTTCACCTTTCTTTGCTTTATGTATCGAATAAAAATGCTCCATAAAAAATAGTTTGCTCAACAGCACAAATGACGAATTTTTGAAATTATCGTTTGATTGATTGTTTCACACTAAAAGTTTTTAATTCTCTAAATGCAATGAAATGGCAGTAATAATGAGCATTTTTCTCAAATAAATAAATGATTTAACAAAAAAATAAATAAAATAAAAGCAAATGAGAAGTAAATAATAAATAAATAATTAGAAATTAAATAAAAGAAAAAGCTACTAACAAATGAATAAGAGAAATGAAAGAATGAAAAAATAAATAAATGCATAAAAAGCAAATACATAAACAACTGAAAATCACTTATTATTAGGTAGTTCACCTAATTAAGCATGCATATATTGTTATTATTATTATTATTTATTAATTAATATTTCAGCCTGCTTCAAACATCCAATTTATAACTGTTTTAAATATTCAATTGCTTATAAATGCTTATAAACGCGGTTGCATAATAATAATAATTATTATTATTGGATAAGTACTCGAAGATTAAAGTAATGCATTGTCATTCATTTAATTTTTAGTATATTAGATTAATTGGAATATGATATACTGAAAATTGTTCAACATTGCCTGAGTTTATTTTTTTCAAACAAATAATTTAACAAATAAATAAAATAAGTAAAAAATAAATGAAATAAAAGCAAATGAGAAGTAAATAATAAATAAATAATTAGCAAATAAATAATAGAAAAAGCTACTAACAAATATTATAGGTCAGAAATAATCCATTATGCTTGTAATTGTCAATTAATTAATATCACAAAAATTAAAAAACATTTTTTTTTTTTTTCATATTTCTACTTAAATTTTGATAGAAATAATTTATTTCAAACAAAATTATGATCAAAAATGTATAAAATGACTAGAAATGTTTCATGAATTCACTCTATAATTTACTTATATCGATGCTTATCAGTCTTATTCAATGTTTTTTGTTTCTTTTTGTTTTTTTATCAGAGTTCAGTTCTGCAGAAAGTATATAATATAATAAATTGTGATAAGGAAATTCTTGTTGTAAATTTAAGCAATTCGTTAAACGATAAATGTTTCAGCAGTAATTCTTGCAAGATCTCAGTGCTTACTTACATGGCAGAGGTAAACATCACAGTGACACAGTTTTTACTGAGTTGTTAAAACGAGCACAACGGAGTATTTCCCTGCAATCATGAAATTTGCGCTGATAAAAGAGCAGTTTTTGTGTTGTCTGAAATATTTTATATATATACTTCTCTTCCGTATGCTCTCGACATATCCGGAATAAGCACTTATATTTCTGCTTATAATTCTTGTTATGACTTGTAATTAGTATTCCATTAAATTATTGTGAAATGATTAATGTATTTTGAAAACTGATCATAAAGATATCAATGTCAGAAAACGAACTAATTATATCACATTTCATTTAACTTAAATTACGAGGAGTTGTTCGTTTGTTTTTGTTTACATTTGAACCAAAAATGATAGTCTTAATGTCACCTCTGATAACAGTGAATTTTCCATTACGACGAAATCATTTTCGATTATGAAACTTTTTTGCTGCCAAACAGTATCCACTGAAAGTGTTTAGACTATCACTGCTTTCTGGGAAGTCTCAGTGTCAGGTGGTTCTGTTCAATTCAATGTCTGAGGCTAATCACATGGTAAGTCGAGAATTTCGGAGGAGTTTGAGGGAGGATTAGCTGACGAAACAGTGAGTTGGTGTCATGAATATGCACTGTCCTGATTACCCACAGCATATCTTGTCGTGGGCAACCAGAATAATGCATAGTTATGACAGTCACCGATGCTGAAATTATTTGGTGGAAATTTCATTCCCAATTGAAGCGACATTTTAGGAGACAATCAAATAATGCGTGACATCGATACAATGAAATGCAACGAAAGCAAAAATCAATGGAAATGAAAATTTTACATTTCGCATTGTTTCTCATATTCCTATTGTCGAATTGATAGCTTATGAATGCGCTTTTGAACTGTCAACGAAGCGTGACTGTCACACGTAGTTAAGTAAATTATGAAAATTTGGGACTGCCACATCGTCCCAACAAAAGAATTGTCATCATTGAGAATAAGTTTATGATATCCATAAATTGAATCTAATTTTTAATTTTTAGTATTAATTTTCCAAAGATAATAAAATCGCACTAATTAGACTGACGGAACTTCAATATTGGAGGTATCGAATTATTGCATTTCGATATAAATCCATGGCAAATTCTTCCTGTTTTGAGAGAGAATTTCAATTTGAACTAAAATGGCATTTGGAAAGAAGCGACAAATTTTTAAAGTTAGAATGTGACACATCGTATGTAATATTTGCATAAAATAGGAATTGATGGATTGTTGATATTGAAGTTTGTTGTTGATAAAATAATTAATTTGCATTCTTTGATCCAATTTTGTACACTAAATGCACAGACGCAATGTCATATAAATGATTTCTAATTTTTGTGATAATCTCAAGCACATTGGGTTATTTCTGAGATTACCCTCGGGCAGTGTTGTTTAATCATATTCCAATCAATGCTAAAGATTAAATCAAATATGACAGAATGTTGTGTAATCTTTGAGTTTTCATTCAGTAATTATTATGATGTAATTGCAGTTGAATAATTTAAATTAGTTATAATTTAAATGTTTGAAACACATAGAAGCATGGATTTTTAAGAGCTAAGTTTAATTAAGTACAAAATTTGCTTACAATAATGATAAGAGCCATTTTATCAGTGCTATATTATCATATTTTCATGTTATGCTATATGCGATTGTTAAGGATTAACACAGAATTGATGAAAGTATTTTGTATTAATTACTACACAAATGAATGCAATCAATTATACGAATTAACAAACTGATAATTAAGCATATCATATCAGTTCGGACTGTTATGACATTTACTTGAAGGACAAATTTCAATCTGAAAGCTTTTACAATAACTGTGCGACAGATATGCATGCAATTTCATTCATATATAAGTAATTTCAATGATATGTAAGTATAAGCAGTGTGTTTCTTTTAACAGTTTGGTTGTTATTTTTTTTTATCCTTATATATATATATGCTTAATTAGTTAGACTGCATAGTAGTAAGTAAATTTTTAATCGTTTATTTACTTAATTATTCGTCTTTTGTTTTTTAATTTTTCAGTGCAACAATCAAATCGATATTTCACGAAAATATATTCACTCATGAAATAAATCTTAACCCTAGTAATTAGTAATTAATCTTAGTTAATTAAAATCCTAGTAATTAATCCACTTAAGCATTATTTAGCCTAATAACTGTTTTCTGCAACCTTCACTCATTAGTACAAACTATGACCTCTAAGTTTAATTGGTATGAGTCAAAATGATATTTTGAACAGACTTTTTGTTTATTTGAAATATTGCACAAATAAATTCAAATGCTATATTTACACAGTAAAATTATTTTACTACATGTATACAAAGTTGAATATTCAACTTTCTTTTTAAAATTTTCATCATTTAACTTTCGAAAAAAAGAGTACAGCGTTTCCTGTATTATTTTTCTATCGAATTTCCCGATTTGAATAATATAAGACAATTTTTGAAAATTTTAAAAATTATTTTAAAAACATTCCAAACTGCTGCTTAAATTACTTAATTAGCATATTTAGCATTAAATTCTGAGAATAGTAAAATGGTTGAGTATAAAAAGGAAATCGAAGTTACCTATCTAATATTTACAATTAAATGTCTCGGTGGTTCTTACACTCAAATCTATTTTTTTGGTTATATACATTAAGTGCTGTTTTATTTACAAATGACACAATTTGTGATAATGGTATGCTCTTGGAATTTAAATACTTAAATATAAAAGTGGAGAATTGAATTAATTAATCACAAATTATATGCGAAATTTCCAGAATTGTAACCATTTCAGCTGTAGTTAACAAAGACAAAATAATAAATTTTTGCATTTTAAAATTAAAAATTAAAAAAAGAAACAAAAGTCATAGAATCGATGAATAACATAATTAATTCTTTTTTCAGGACAATGTGATAATTCATTACAACTAGCCTTGATGACCTCATTTCCACATACGAATCGATTTAACCTTTGTAAAGATCCACCAACGGTTTCAGAGGCTTTAATGAATAGTTCAAAAACTGAATAATTTGCATACTAAGCTTTAAAATTTATTAATAAATGTCGCAAACAATGTGACAAATATAGCTACTGCTTATAAAGTAAAATGACGACGTAATTATTAGCATATAATTACTAAAGTATATGTTTACCATATCATGAAATTAAGGTTTTTCACTTTTGCTACTATTCCGTGCGTGTTATGGAAGGATACTGGAAGTTAAAACGTAACTTTGATACTAATAACAGAGCTGTGATTCAAAATTGTATGAACACTGCAAGCTATACGTATGGTTTCACGTATGAAGTTGACCTGTCTGAGCAAACATACATGTATGCTTTCATACGTAGATCTGTTTAAACTAAATTGTTGCAGAAAATAATTTCAAGCAAAATAATTTCCAATAAATTCTTTTCTATCTTTAATTGTACTTGTACGAAATTTATTGTGTCACGATTTAAATTTCAATTATTCATTAAATTGGAAACAATATGCAGTGATGATCAGAGAATGAAGGTGAAACATTTGGTAGATATCTTCTATTATTGTTGCAAGGATTGCTCATTCACTAATGTTTGTTTGTTTGTTTTATATGTTATATTATGTTTTATTGCATATAATGAAATAAAATTAATTAACTTTGTAACTAAAGTCATAATTAATTAAACAAATTAAAACTTTATTAGGAAATGAACGATGACGAAATTATTAATTTTATTGGCAATTTGTTATTGAAAAATTTGCCAAAATCAAGCAATGATACATTTAATTATGTACCTGGTGAATCACTTCCGTATTGTTTATTAGAGGATGGCGCATTGGCAGTATGTAATTCTTCTGTTTTCTATTAATTAATGAATCAAAGGTGGATTTTTTTGCAAATTCTAAAAATTTTACTAATGAATTAATTGAGAATATTTTTAATAATTAATTAACAATTTGTTTACTTTTTCTAGCATTCTATTCCCTCCTTTCATCTACCTATTAAGATATTCTAAATTTAAAAAAACAAATTTTTTTTTTTTTATTTCTAATCAAAAAAATTTTTTTCTTTTTGGATGAAAGTAATTGGCGTTAATCAGTGTGTATTGTTGTTGGATACATGCTCAATGAATAAAATTTATGTTGGACCACTTCTGATATCAAAATTTGATCATTTATCGCAATCTACTCAACGAATAAATGTTTGTTTTAAAATGAGTGAAAAATTTTTTCTTTGATGTATATGAGCTGCTATTCAAATTCTATTCAATGCATTTTTGTAAAATTTATAATTGCATATTTTTAGCTAAAATATTTATTTTCATTCAAATTTCACTAATTAAAATTGTTCACTTTTTTTTTTAAATATTCAAATATTAATAAATAATTATTTAAGAAATCATTAGCGGATGTTGTTTCAATGAATTTTACGGAATTATGTCCTAAATCAGAATGCATATATTATTTGTCTCCATTGGAATTTTTTGTTTATTGTTGTTGTAATACTAATTATGAACTTTGTGCTTATACTAGCGATGAACAATTACTTTCATATGCTAGCAAAAATGCTTTAACTTGGGCAACTAATCCTCTGATACGATCATTTCGAGAAGTTCTAATATATGATATTAAAACTGATATATTTACGGAAGTTTCGGGTAGACCATGGACGTATCGTAAATTTGTTTATAGTAAACCAACAGGTAAAACTATCCAGATGATGACAATTAGGATTACTAAAATTTGGAGCAAAATTATTTAATCAAAAAACGAAAAGAAAAAGTTTGAAGAAATAAGAAAGTGCTTTACGTGAAATATTTGAATCTTTATGAAAAAAGAAAAATTGTAAATAATATTACTCTCATTTTATACTTTATCATTTCAGTTGACAAACGCACAGGTAATGTGACATCATCTGCTGATAATATACCTTTACATCTTTGTGCATTTGGCACTTTTAATTTGACTATAGGTAATTGGAAAAATGAAGATTTTACTATGAAAATAGGAAAACGTAAGATGTTAGCAGAACCACAAAAATTCTGCTACTACATGCCATCGTTACAATTCACAAAAACCGATCGAAAGCCACCAACATCGTTAGTTTTTTTTCCTTTCCTTTGTTTTTGTTTTTTTCTTGTTTAATTAATATATAAAATTAAAAGTTCTTCTTAGATTAAATTTGCATTAAAAAAAAAGCAAAAATTCTAATTATTCTGTAATATAGCAGATTATTTCATTAATTTATTATTTAATCTATGCAAAATATATTATCAGACAATTTATTATCAAATAATTCTTTTTTTTTTCTTTTGAAGATTCGAGGTGCGATATGGAAGTGATACTGAAGAATTATGCAAAAGAGAGGGATGTAATATTAAAGCGCCAACTTGTTTGCAAGATTTAATTTCGATCGATCATGTGATTGCCACATTTAGATGTTGCTGTAATGCAGGCGATTTATGCAATCATTTAGGAAATAAATATTTTCAAGAAACTAAACAACTTATCAGTGCTACGTAAGTTCATTAAAATTATGCTTAAATGAAATCAATGTTGCAAACGTGAAATAATTTAGTGAAAAAAATTAATAGTAATAATTATTTTTTGATGTGTAATTTAAATCATTTTCATTTCAAATATTTTAACTTTTAAATAAACTAATGGTTAAATGATTTCTTTTTCCTTTACTGCAAATTTCAATAAACGATAGCAAAATCAATGTGCTTTATTATAACTTACAATTCAAAATGAAAACAAATCAAATTACAATCATTTCTTCTTATACATAATAAATCAAAAAATACGTATATATATATAATTTAATGAAAATACTATTTGAAAAACTTAATTGTTAGCAGTATAAAATATCTGTCACAAAACTTTGAAGGCATATTTTTCCGTGTATAAGTCAAACACATTCTTATTTAATGATTTATTTCAATCGTCGATTCAATGACACTTACGTGAAATGTAGTCGTTTCTTTACATTTGACACATTTGATGAAATAATGCTTATCGAGGATTATTCATTTTTTGCACCAGAAAATAAAACCTTAAAAAAAATTTATGAGCAAGGAAGAAAGTTACAACTAACAGAGTAAGATATAAAAATTTTATTTCTATTTGATGATTTTTAAAAATGAGTTTCAATTAATACAATTTAGTTATTTGATATGTACAAAATATCCCATAATAATAATAATAATAATAATTTTTCTTTCCATAATTGCATTTTTTGAATTGGAACAATTCAATTCATTGAAATGTAAGAAATATTTTGATAAAATGCATTATTCTAATATTGTGATAAATTATGAAATAAATTTAAAAATGTTCAAAATTTTTTTTTTATATTTTTATTTCAATTTTAATAAAAGTATTTTATTTCAGACAAAATTATGATAAAACTATACAACATGGTTGTAGCCGTAAAATATTTCTACCATTTCATGATCCGTTCTGTGAATTACACATACCGGTGCTTACCAATCTTATTCAGTGTTCCTGTTTTCAGAGTCCAATTCTGAAACAGGTATCTAACACAATAAATTACTTTCTGGTTATTCTTATTCTATGCAAATTTAAATTTTATTTTTATTTTGAGAGAGTTTTGATTGTACAGAAGTGGAATACTTCGCTAAAGTTTATTTCTTACTTTTTAGTGAGATATTCTTCAGACATTTGATCCGAGAGGAATTTGTTTTAATTTAAATTAGAGTAAGCGATAATTGCTATTGGTGGAATACTCATTAAGAAGTAAGAATTGAAATCGAAGTAGTATTTTCACTTAAATATATAAGAGTAAAAGTAGTTTACAGCAAACATTCTGATAAAACTTTATTGCATACAAAAATAACTACGGAAGAGGTGTAAAAGAAGATCTGATTAATATAAAGATTTTAGCACTATTGATTATCAGATCAGAAACATTTGCATTGTATTGGTTTTCCGTATATTTTAACTACGGAAATTAAAACTTGATGTTCGGAAATAAAAATAAGAATTAGATAAATGATTATCACTTAGACATCATCATAATATTTATTCATTTACATTCATTTTATGTGATAAATCATTTGAGTGAGAAATATTTGCAACAAAAATTATTTTATTATTTAGAGATTATAAATTATTTATCGCATATTTTAAGTTCTACCCCAACAATAAGTTATCACTTCAAAAATATTTAACTAAATTGTTAATATGAATGTCAGTTTCAATTTAGAATTTGTTTCATCTGAAACTGTATTTCATTTTTTAAAAAGATTGAATGAAGTATTGAAAACTCTCATACTTATCACTGACACTGTTATCTGTCATATCTTTGACATTACAAGTGTCACAATCAATTATCAATGCTTGTTGTCACACAGTGATAATAGTATAAAACCAAAAAGTCATATTTCTAACAATAATACTATGATTAACATTCACAATTATTTGATATAATTTGAATAAAATTTAAAGCCATGTGATGCTGAATTTGGGACGAAAGTACGCAACGAAGGACCAAAAATAGCTGTGCCAATGTGTTTAAAAACATTTGGAAATTTAAATGAACTCTTGGATAATACTTATGATTTTGGTATCATAGGGCCAGCAAAATATGAGAAAACAGTATGTTAAAATGATATTTTCTAATTTTATAATTTGAAAAATTTGAAAAGAAATTTTTTTTTTTTTTGGATTTTTTATATTTTAATAATTATGCGAAACATAAATTGATTAAATTGTTTACAGAGAACAAAAAATTATCCATTATGTTATGATATGATAGCAATTGATTCATATAAACATGGAATTGAACATCGGAGTGGACCATTCGACGAAATTATCAGTTATTTGTATAATGTAAGCAAGAGTGTTAATATAATGCGCCGAATAATGACATTTACAGTATTGGTACCTGGTACCAATTATACCACAACACGTTATTTATATACATGCTATCAACGAGAAAATTATTATCCATGCAATGGTTATATATCTTTAGCTATATTTATTATCATTATTTTTTTTTTTTTTTTTCACTAGCAAATTAATAATTTTAAATTAATAATTTATAATAAATAACTTTTAGTGTCATTAAAAGTATACATTGAAATTACTAAATAATAAAGCAGTTTTTCTGCTTTTTTTTTTGACTTCTTTTTAAATTATTAATTATTAGTAGATGATCTTTTCACTGTGTGAAAGAATTTGTTTTTTTTTTTTTGAGAAATACTGTAGAAAAAAAGTTACATTTTCTCTATTTATGTTTATTTTTAATTCATAATTCAATAATTGATAAAGATTTATTGTTTTCTAACAAATTTATAAGTAATATTAATTTATATATTTTTGCAGAATAAATGCAATTAGAACAAATTTTTTTTTATATAAAATATCTTTAAAAAATAAAAAGAAGAAATTTAACATTTCGTACTTATGCAATTAAATTTATGCAAAAAGTTATGCAACAAATTTTATTACTATTCCAGGGCCTATGACCATTCGTAAGCAATTATTACCGGAAATTATTTGGGAAGAAAGTGCAAAATATAGTTCAAAGGAGAGATCATTATGTCAAGTTGATGGTTATAGTAATCGTATCAAATGTAAATCACGCAAAGGATGTTTCGATTTTCATACCGTTCACGGATTTCGAATGGTAAATGAGTTTTAAAAATGCTTTAAATCTTGACAAAATTTGATACCTTTTTTTATTTTGATGCATTTACAGCGTGGTTGTATCGATAAAATCCCTAAAATAGTATCTATGATGCCAAAATTTCGACTACTTTACACTTGCTATAGTCACGTTTGGATTACGGGAAATGAAAATACACGTTGTATTGCCGTAAGTGAGAATGATTTTAATTCCACAATTCCGCTTACGGATGGAATTATTTGTTGCTGTCGTTCAACGTGTAGAATGTCTGATAGTAATTCTTATATGGAAATGCAACATGGCTATTATCCATTTCAAATGTGATATTATATCATTAATTATTTCCAATAATATTTACTAGTATTTCTATTAAAAGTTAATTATCAGTTAAATCATTTTGAAATTGTTTTGTATAAAATGAAAAGAAATTTAAATTTCTGCAATTTTGATAAACTATTATTTTTCTTCTTAACAAAGTATTATCAGTAAAGTAATTTATATAAGATGAAACATATTTTAATAATCACTTATTCCTTCGAATAAATAATCGTTATATTCAAGATATAATTTCTATTGTTATAAACAATGCAAACAGAAGGAAAACAACTTAAATGCATATTGCATTTAAGTAAGTAAATTAATTATAAATAATATGATAAATATGCAAAAGCACATCTTTACTCTTTCTTTTGGTATTTCATTTATCTAAAATGACATTTGTCATAGCATTTGTTCAATCATTATTCTATTAACTTAATTAATTAATTAATGTGATTTAGAAATTGATCATAAAAGTGTCAATGCCATAAAATTGAATTGATTACACAAGCAATTTAAATTACGAATAGCCGTTTATTCGTTTTTATACATATTTTGAGCAAAAATCCTAGTCTTACTGTTACTCTTACTGCTATTTGTTATGGAAAACAATGTATAAATATTAGTTCCAGTTTTTGTGACTTTTTGGCAAATAATACTTAATTGAGACTAAGTCATTCGTTGAATTATTCCACTCTATTGAATTGACTGGAAATTTTGATAAATATTACTCTCCTCACTACTTCTGAATGATGAATGATTCTTACATGATACACAATCTTGAAACAGTTTTATATTTGTCTAAAGAATATTCAATTAAGACAATGTTTTTGATTTAATACAATTTTGTTTCTATAAAAATTATTGTAATTTAGTTTTTTGGGCAGTTGTAATTACAATTTTAATGACGATTGAACAGTGTATCTATACAAATAATACAGTATTATGATTTTAATCAAATTTTGTTATTAATTCATATTTTACTTTGTTAGATGCAAATCAATAAACTATCATTTAATATGTAGAAAAAAATCGTTTTTTTTTTTTTTTTTTTGAATCCTTATTAATTAATTTTGCTAATGTTTACACTGATTTAGAAATTTTTTCAAATTCGTTTTTTTTTTTTGTTATATTCTAAGCAAATTGTAAATTTTAAACAATGTAGAATAGCTCAGCTACGATTAGAAGGTGAGCGCTTGATAAATGATTGCTTGCATGAAATGCAATTTCAGATGGTTTTACATCTAAAGAGTACTCAATTAAGAAGTCTTCAGTCTCGACAGCCGCATCGGAGGTAAAAGCTCGTAGCCTTGTAAGGGACATACAAGCTGCTCTCAGATGACCGCATCTGCAATCCGCATCCTATTACTGAAGTCGCGGCATTTGGAAAATTCAAACTGACAAAGCAAAGTAACGAATTACCCACACTCAATCTATTTATGCATTTTTCTTGGTTTATTACAAGTAACATAACTGTAGGTTATATAAGTTTATAAGTAGCTGCTCGAGAATTAATAGAGGCGAGAAAATATGAATGAAATGATTTTTTAATGAAGTTATGTATATAAGGACTGTGTAATGTGTAAAGTGAAAAGATATTTATTACTCTGACTTATTCGAATATATCAGTGATTATTTCTTTATAATCAAAGATGGATAATATTGGTTTCTTCATAATCTAATGTAAATTCTTCATAATCAAACGGTTGTTGGATGAAAATTAAAATGGAGATTGAATTGAAATTGATAAACAAATATCAGATCAAAATGTGAATCCTTGGTAAACAAGCTTTAAGATGATATTGAGAAGATCTATAACAAAGAAAATATTGAGGTATCTTACAACATTTTCAAATCTGACTTTACATCAGAGCACCTCTTCAAATTAGCCATCGTTGAAGATACTTTTCGGAAGTTGGAACGAAACTTTTGGTTATACATTTACTGTAGTAAATTTTCTGCACAAAAATGGCAGTTAGAAGGAGTCCTCCAAACAGAATGAAAACTGCGGTTTGCAAAAGAATTCCATTGCGTATCGCTTCGCATGATACGTGTGGTACTTCGGGTAATCCTGTCTGATTTATTTCGTTACGTTCAAAAATCACCAACTGAAATTATTTATACACATTTTTAATTTTGATTTCCAGTTTTGATTATTGCATCAGCATCACAGGTGTAGTATGTAATGCAAGATAACACAAATATAAAACAGATCGACTAAAGTTCTTATTTAAGACCTATTATCATGCCTATAAAAGACTAAAGACTTTTCTTATTTCTTATCTTGCTGGGTAATTCTAAAGCATTTTAAAAACCTAAGATCCTAGCCATTTAGCCTTTTCAGCCTAGAACTGAATTATAAAAGCAACCTCTTACCTTTTTCATGTTCTCATGTTTTCAACTTCTGAAACAATGAAGCCAGATGATATGAAAATTTCAAAACCTGATCAGCATGAACATCGAATGTAAAATGGTTGGCATTGGTGGAATTTGCTTTAGTGAGAGAAACTGAATTTATTTTCATTCGAGATTCATTCAGGAAACGCTTTCGTCTGTAACTCATAGACTGCATGTCCAATGCTGCAGAACAGTTCGGTTTACTTGCACTAAGATCATCGTTACAAATTGCGCGATCGGTATTCTCTGCGGCGAAAACAGTAGTTGGCAATAGTCTTGTTAAAAGAAATAAACTAATAATATTTAGTCCTTATTAAAAGTCATTTTCTAATTTTTTCTGACTAACTAAGAATCAGAAACTCCCGTAAATCTTAATAAACTAGTTTAGAAACACTTAGCATTCATATTATCAAAACATAAAATTATAACCCGATCTAGTAACTAGCAATGATTGGCTTATTCCATTCCGTACCTCTGCACGGTGATCGTTCAATGCCCCGAGACATCAGTAATGGAGACAGTAAAATCTTACGTAGTATAGGAAATTCAGTTGTCGAGGTCAACATTGAAATCGAAGTTGAAGTTGGAATCGAAGTCGAAGTTGAAATCGAAGTCGAAGTTGAAATGGAAATCGAAGTTGAAATTGAGGTCGAAGTTGGAATTGAAGTCAAAGTTGAAGTCAAAATAATTTCACAGTTAGGTGGCTGAAAAGAAGTAAAAATAAGTTCAATATTTATTTACTGCTTGATCATAAATCTTTTACTTTGATTTATGAATCAATCAATAGTTGTACTTTTATGTAAAAACTGTAGGATCCCTCTTTCCTTGAAACTTTCTAGAACAACAAATCACAATAAGTAATGTTTTCAGAAAATAGATATTCTACGTGGCTGTGAAAATAAATTCACTACAATTAAAATTTAATAGATTGATTACGAAAAAGGAAAAATGTTTAAATCAGTTTTTGAGAACAAAAAATTAAGTACCGAAATGTCTTCACAGCCATTTTCTGCTTTAGCACATAATGTCACTTTGCACTGAAACTGAATGATAAGTTGATCGGCAAATTTGAACGCTGGTACCACAGAATGCGCCACTGTGAGATTATCACTATAGATCAATGGACCCATTAATGTCTGATCTGTGATACAGCTGCAAATATTATTTGTTAATCGAATTTCGTCACCGATATTTATTGATAGAACATAAAAGTGAGAAATTGCTGATAAGTAAGCAATTTTTCATATCTCAGCAATTGAAATATGTGTGAGCTTTCACTAGAAAAAGAATAAAATAGGTCGGCTAACTTTTCAAGTGCAATACGAGTCTGTGAGACAAAGCCAGACTCTGCATCCAAGTAATAAATCATCTTACCCTTGATCATCGACAAACTGGAAAGTACCATTATCAGGTGTGTGAACAAAGCATGAATGAATGAACATACCGTACTCCTCTGGAAAATTATCATTTTTCAACTTTAGATAAAATTGTAACAAGAAATGTATAAATTAATCTGAAAATTTTCAATTTTGGTTCAAATTCGTCACCCGATGCGCAACTCCACTTATGGACCAGTTGATCGCCAATATTTGCATACTTTACCGGTTGGCCATCTACCGAATCCATCAGAATCTCATAGACACAATTAGTAACGATTTCGTTTTTCAGATCTGTCGTCGCTAAGCCACTGATTAAAAGTGGAGGTTTAATTAACACAATTGCTTTAACCCTATTTTAATGGCGGGCTAAACTGATTGGCAACAGATGTAAAGATTTTAAAGTTTTGTAATCAATATTACTTTTATTTTTTGAACTTAATAAATGCTATCAATAAGATATTTTGATGACACTGGAAATTATGGGACCTTTCCTGCTTGAAATTGCATTACATTACCCGTTGACTTCTATGTTTTTAGATAAACTGTCGTAGCCAGTTTCATAGAAGCAATTGACACTAAACGCTTTATCAGCTTGCGTTAGAAATAAATAGTGATGTTGAACAATGATAATAATGTTATAGTTGATGCCTGGTGGTTCTTTCTGCAATATATTTATGCAAGTTGGTTGTTAGGATTACTTCCGGTTTATATTTTAGACTATTCAAAGTTTCCTTTTGTTCATAAGTACTTCACCGAATATTTAAAAATAGAATTCGTATTATTCTTTTCCTAATATTATATTGATTAAAATGAATACTACCTGCATTTCGCATTTCTGAATGCAAGCGCTTTTGTATAAAATACTAAAGTGAAATGGGCTGACAATGGGATTCCGTGTGAAATCTAAGTGACACTTCTCATGCATAAAGTATCCCTTCACATAAATATGTCCACGAAATGGCTTTTCCGGTTCGAAATATAATCGCAGGCCGTCCGTAAAGCATTCCTGGAATTGAACGACAATATAAGTATGTGGCAGAAAAAGATAGTTCGAAATTTATATTTTTTTTTTGATTGTAAAATTTATGTTTCAACAAACTTTTTGTTTACAACTAACTCAAATGACGTAAAAAGCACTGTCAAGTATTTTGACGCCAAACGTTGCAGGATGGATAGTAGAAACTAATACAAAAAGTTTTTACATAGATTTAGCTAAGTCCCTCTGGAAAGTTAAATACCACAATTGGCGATGCAGACGACGTGGCATTTTATCATCTGTCACCTGTCAAGCGGTACACCATCTAGAATCGTGAGATAAGCCAGTAGTGATAAGCTAGTGTTTAGATTTATCAAAACAAAAAAGACAAAAGGATATAATTACCAGTGTTGGCTCTTCTAATGTCCATACCCGCTGTGACAGTAATGCGATAAAGAAGAACTTTGGTTGCGCTACTACTGATCGTATCAGAAAGTGAAAAAAGCAAATCAAATTTAACGGTAATTTGCAAGGATCACTCATTGTATAAATCTACAGCCAGGAAATAATGAAGTTGTACTGACCAGATCGAAAACATGGAACTAATTTTCAATCACTCTTCTCTTTTATTTAAAAATTAATTTAAATGAAATTCCGCCCCGCTCTTATCTGTTAGAATTTCTCTTATCGAACAGAGGATGGTAAGGTTTAGTATGCTTAATCCTTTCATATTTTTACCATCGATAAGCGTTTCTGCAGCCGATTGACATACATAAATTAATGAAACTGCGCCTATGATCGAAACAAATAGTATCTTCAATAATCCAATATATACAACTTCGAGTTGTAAAAATAATGCAAAAGTAACGTTCATGGTGCTATTTCTGAATAACTTTACACCACGGTACCGTCAAACTACTATTAAGATCGGAAATGAGTGTGATTTGGCTCATTGATGAAGACACGAAACATCCTAATTAACATGTCACTCACAACAGATTCAAGAAGTCAGGTTCCGGAAAGCAATACCAGGTCTTGATTCGAGACATCATTAAAGATAAGACCATGAAGTTGGAAATTATTATGTGATTGAGGAAGTGCACTAATAGGATTTCACGGACACTGATTTGAAATATTTCAACTTTAATAATTAATTATTGCATCTGAATGTACAACCACGGTTGTTTTACTGTTTTGAGAAAGAATTTCAATTTGAATTGAAATAGTATTTGGAAAGAAGCGACAATCTTTTTTTTTCAAATCAAGAAAAAAAAGTGAGATAACGAAGAGAATATAACATTTGCATAAAATAGAAACTGAGGACTGCTAATATTAAAGTCTCTTGTTCATGAAATACTCTGTACGACATTAAATGGTTCTGCCTGCGTTCTCTGATCCAATATTATGTATTGCATGCATAAATGAGTTGTCATAAAAATTTCTGATTTCTGATTTTTGTGACTTCATTTAATTGATAAATACAAGCATTAAAAAATTATAATTATCCATTAAACAATTAAAGAAATATATCATTAAATTATTTCCGATATTTATTTCAGGTATTGCTGAACATCTTATCACATTTCAATTGGTTATATTCTAAATCTAATCATTCTTCCTTTCTCTTATTTGGTTTTTTAAATTAATCTCTCCGTATAATAATCAAATCAATAACATATCATGCCTAAGATTTGGTTTTTTTTTTTTTTTTTTTTTTTTTTTTTTCAATAAATAATCTTTTAAGTAATTAAAGAAATTTACCACTAAACAAATATGTTTTCTTATTACACGTGCTATGCGAATACGTTGCATGGCTATAATTAAGAATGATTCTAATTCATGCATCCCATTTACCGACAAAATCATTTGTTGCCGTCGTTCAACGTGACAACATGGCTACTTCTTCCATTTCAAACGCGATATCATGCTCCACGGAGAGTTCCTGGATTTTTTGAAAAAATTCAACGTCATAATACACAATAATATTGAATTTTGGAAGAGTCATTGCGAATGATAATATATGCTTTACTTCTGATCACTCTTTGAAACAGTCCCTAAAAGTCGCTTGGTTCTTTTTTGATTTCAGTTCGAAAATCTAATGAGTATTGTCGTCACTAAAGAAGTCCATTTTTTCCAGATACCATTAATGTCCTACACTTATTGACATACTGTCAACATCCCTTATAGTCCCATCCTGAAAATGGACCATTGTTCATTTATATGAATCTAATTTAATATGAGAAATTGTTGACAATTTATACCTGATTTCGATCATTCTCGACATTAAGCCAGAATTGATAAGTGCACTAATGTTTGCCACAAATGTAAATTATTTTCATTCGGGATTTCCCAATCTTTCACTCTTCAAACCTAAAGCATTGACATATTTCAGACAACATTTTACTAATCCTGAAACACTACGCATACTGAGATTGTTACTAAAATGTTTTAGGAGCTAAACAAGAAAAAAAGATATTGTAGTCTTTGTCTTCCTACTTTTTTCCTCTTCTAATCTAACATTATCACTGTTATTCCAATCTTCTCTTTTATTTTCACTCATTTATTTACTCTCTTTTTCATACTTGAATATCTCAATTTTCTAATCATTCTTCATAGCAGTCTCTCTTGCAAGTTTAACTCCATTCATTTCCACTTAAGCAGTTCAATTTGAAAAACAATCGTAGCGCTGTTATGTGATAAAGTACTCAACTAGTTAAACAATTAAACCACTTCATTTGGCTAATTAAAACCATAGTTAATTAAATGATTACATGAAAATACTTGATTAATGTCAAATCAATTAATCATATCACATCTCATACATATCACAATTATATATCAAATTTGACGCTCTTTCTAATTCCAAATTAAAAATTTGAAAAATTCTTGTAGAAGTTGCATGTTACAGCACAAAAATTCGTCTCGAGTTTTGATGACTGGCAAATATTTGTTAGTTTGATGAAGAGGGAGTTATAAGTAAGCACGTTAGTTATGTGAACGTTATCAGTAAGCACGTTACTTAAGAAAACGTTAGCAGGAAGCACGTTAGTTATGTGAACGTTATCAGTAAGCACGTTACTTACGAAAACGTTAGCAGGAAGCACGTTAGTTACGAGAACGTTAGCAGTAAGTATGTTAGCATGAATGCATGCGTGTGACGTTCACGTACGTTGTATAACCAAAATATCTAAGTGATTGTTAGTTTATGAAGAAATCATTATGGGATTTTTATTAGCCAAATCATAATATTTAGATGATATAGAATTAATATATTCATAGTAGATTATGAGATCATATGTTATGATGTGAGAAAATAAATGGAATTTAATTGATTGAATTTTTGTGCAAAGTGCAGTATGAAAAGGCTAAAAATATACGTATGCCATCAGTCAATCATCACTTCAAAAGCTACTTTATAGTAAAGTAATAATGAAGTATTTGTAAGGGAGATAAATAAGAAATGTAAATCAAAATGAATCAATATATAATCATACCGAGTGGAAAAGGATATTTTTTGCGAAATTTCTGCATAATTTCATCTTGAAAAATATGATATCTTTCAAACGATTGTTACAGAAATTAATATTGGAAATTGTCCTCTGATTATCGTTATTCAAAATTATCATGTTTCCTTGTTTCAGAATTCTGGTATTAACCAGTTTTATTGAAAACAATACATGGCTGCAGTGATAAATGCGAGGCCAAGCACTTTGACTCGATGTAGCTTGGGTACTGGAAAGCCAGGTTGGTCCATTTTTTAATTATTTAAATTTTCGAAAAAAAAAAAAAAGAATAAAAATGAAATAAAAAACGTATGTGTTATACATAATTCATTATGCTATTTGCAGTAAAATTGGATTATTTCGAAACATGTAACATTTAGCAGCTTTTCTTTAATCAAGGTTATTTTTTGATTAAAAAAAAACTGTGGTTTTCATTTGTTGAAGTAACTTTAGTGCTGTTGCATAAAATCGAAGGACAGATATCACGTGTAAATGGCGTACATTTATTAAGTACTGAAGAAGGAGTGCTGACAATCAGTGATGATCGATCGTTGCGTATCTATCTGAAACGTGATAATGAACAATTTTGGCCCTCTATCTATCATTATCTACCATTTTCACCCAATTCCATGTATTTCGATGAAGATAAGTTAAGGTATCACTTTTTTTTTGTGGTTTGAAATAATATTTCAGCAAAAAAAGTGAAAGAAAGACAAGAAAGTAAAATGTAGAACTGTGATGTTTTTATGGAATTAAATGGTGGTACAGTGAAAGAATTCTAGAATGTGGTAGATTATTAAATTAAGGAGGGCTGGAATAATTAACAGCTTTCATTATATAAAATTATTTCCAATAAGAACTACCTTTGCATTTTGAATAATTTTCTTTCTTGCAGGTTATTTATTGGTCTCATCAACGGTAGTGTTTATGAGTATAGAATAGCGGAAGATATGAACAGTTTGTCGGAACAGCGCCACTGGATGGCACATCTGAGTATAGTTTCAGCTGTACTTTATTCACCGGAAGCTGAACTAATTTTCAGTTGTAGCAAAGATAAAACGACGGTTTGGCATTGTTCAGAAACGTCTGTAAAAATGGGTCAGCTTCAAAATTATCGTTATGCAAATTTATGGAATTATTCAGAACATTTACAAATGTTTATACATCAAACACAGCCTATTAGAACATTATATTACTGTAAGTCATGAACCTGAAAAAATAGAAATAATCTCTGATCCATGAGCAATGAAGTTTAGGATATGTTATTCATCAAAAGTCTATTTAATGATGTTTGAGAACATGAAAAACTCGAAAAGCTATGATTATGCCTAAACAGTATTAAAGAGATCAGAATTGAAGAGTTTCGTTGTTTGATCTTAGTTCTGATTTTCCTAAGCTGAAAGACAAGTGTTATTTATCCGTTTTATAAGCCAACTGAACAACTTTTCTCTCTAAATTTATTTTATAATTGTATAGTCAAGGATTCATATTATCTCGTATTGCTTATATCTTAAGCAGTACAACAAAAGTACAAAAATTTTCTTTCATTAATCAGATTTGGGAACCTATTTCGTGATTATTAGATTTTTTGTTTATCAGCCTCGAAGTTCGTAAACTTTAGGATCTATGTTATCTGCAGTTTTAGTCAGGCGAACATTAATCTCCTGAATTATCATTAGATAAATCGTCTGTTAGTGTTAATGATTATTTATTACAGGATTCTATGCAGGCGAATCAGGTTTTACAACATTGGAATTCGATGTGGCATCGAAATTTCTTTTTTTAGGCGATTCTTGTGGTAGTATTATTCTCTTACGTTTAAATGGTTCGGAAGCAAATATCGTTACCACTCTTTCTGCACATACAAGTTCGTTACATAAGTTAGAAGCTGTGCTAACGACATGCATGTATAATGCTTGATAAAACGTGAATGTAACGAAAAAAATAGCGAAGCATAACGATGTGTTCCACATATTCTCCCATATTTCACTTTTATGGAAAATTTAAAGAAGTAAGGAAGGCATTAATGTCGTTCAAAGATAACGTTTAAGTTAATGTTCGCTTTGATGTGTTAATTGAAATGGTTGTTGGTTGACAGCGCAAACTTTTTCTGGAATTATTGGAACGTACGCGATTGGAAATACTCGACGTATTGGAGATAATAATCCGTGTCTCTTTTGATATAGTTCTTTTGTTATTTTCCGCTTAGAAAAGTATTTTCCAGTTACTTATATCCATTTTGTTTTTAGATGCCATAACCTCGCTGGCCTGGGATTCAGAACGTCAATTACTGTTTTCAGCAGGAGCCGATAATCTTGTTATTATGTGGGATATTGGTGGGAAGAAAGGACAAGCATTTGAATTAAAGTAGGTTTCTCGACACTTCCATATTGATTGAGAGTTCGGTATGTATCCTCTAACAGTTAGGCAAACTTTTGACAATAGAGGTTGATGTATATGCGCATGAAACAATATTTCCATTTTTGTCCGAAACGACTCATTTCATTCTCGGCGATTATGTTCATAACAGAAATGGTTCACTTATTGTTATTTAATGTTTTATTGTTCACTAAGAATCATTAAATTTTATAGAAAACTGTAAGCAATTGGATTTGATTAAGTTTATCGTTTATCTGAATTTTAGCGCCCACAATAGCAGACTGACATGTCTACGATATGCACAGCATAAGAAGAGGCTTTTTTCGGCAGATGAAGATGGAAGTTTAGTTTGTTGGGATATGACGGCTAAACGCGTGGAAACACCAGGATGGAAAACGAGTGATAGTTGTCAACTCTGCGACTCGCCATTCTTTTGGAACTTTCGAGAAATGTGGAATAAAAAGGTGACACAAAATATTATCTCTAATAATTTCCTTCATATTCGTTAACGGTTCTGAAATTGCTCTTTATGTAATTACTTATGTGTTTAATTTTGTATTTCTATAGGCTATTTTGCGTTTCGTAGAGTTTTTTCAAATCATTGAATTTGTTTTATGAATTTGTTTTAGGTAGTTGGTTTACGTCAACATCATTGTCGTACTTGTGGTAATGCCGTATGTGCGAAATGCTGTTCTAGTACAACGAGGTACCCACCAATGGGTTATGAATTACCGGTTAGGATATGCAACACTTGCCAGTCTCGAATGCAACAATTCCCTGACCAGTTTGAGTAAGTTCATTGAATGGAAATGTTTGACAGTTCTGGTTGGAACTTATGTGTGATAAGATATGAGATATGTTGATTTGACGATTATTTGGATTGTCTGTTTCAGCTTTTAATTCTCAAGCCTTATTATACAATCTAATCGTTTACCAAGTTTGATTAAGCTTTTATTTGGAATTGTGAGCATTGGAGCTTGTCATAAAATAACTATGCTAGCTCTTCAGCTGTTCCTGATAATCTCTCTGTTGGCTACTAGATTTTTTCGAAATCATCTTTTTATCCTTTGCATCTTTCAAAGAAGTCATTTCTAGCCTTACCTCGCTGGCGGTCATTTCGGAGTTACGCCAAGGTATTATGTGCATGCATTTGCAAGAATCGACGGGTCGCCTTGTTACAGCTGGTTCTGATCGCATTTTGATGATCTGGGATGTAAAGCAGCTAGTCTAAACAACATGCAAGATTGAGTTTGTCTTCTTTTACCTAAGCGCCTTGTTCCGTAGTTTCTTCAATGGTTTCTAGAAAACTTTTAAAAATCTTCCATCGTACACTGTTGCACTCTATCATTTTGGTGATTCGAGTAGAGCAAATATTGGAAAAGATGATGCCTGGAAATTCCGCTAAGGAACTTTGTGTTGCATTTGTGACAAGTTGGACAAGAATGCAGCAATTTCGACAGAAGTTCATTTGTTCAATCTACTTCAGTGTGTTCACTTTCTCTGAAGCTGGATAAAATTTCCAACAGTCAAGCTTTCGTTAAATGGTTTGGCACTACCGTTTGGTCATGGCATTTTATAGTCAGATTGAAAAAAAAATCAGATCTAAAAATATTTATTGTGATGTCGTGATAGTTTCAAATTTGAAATATTTTTTGATAATAATATATGAAATGACTTTGCAGAAATTATTAAGCTGTCTCGGAATGCCAGAATTCGAGTAAATTGCGTTTGCATTACATTCCTTTGCATCTGTGATATTAAATGCTGGCAATATATATGTTTCGGTTAATTCTAATTTCTGTTATATACTATCATATTGCACAACAAAATCTAAATACGTAATTAATATCGCATCTCATTCGAAATATGCCTATCTTTTTCAGTAGAATAACTGAGAATAAAAAATAGCTAAATCCTATCGTCTTGATTGTTTAAAAATGAAAAATATAGTATCTAAAATCGACTAGTTTTGTCCGCAGTAACTGGATCACATAAGTGCTTTAATTGTCTGCACCTTCATTTGGTAAAGTATAGAAGGTACCAGTCAGATCGATTTCTTGTTGCTGTAAAGTTTAGAACACTACCGATTTTGACATTGTACATTAGATAGAGTTCGAAATCCACAACTGAGATCTAAATGTGTGTTGTAAAAAATAAACAATACAGAGTTTGAAAATGTAGAATTATTTCTTTTGACATGTTTATCTATACACTACAAAAAGAATGTCTTTATTATACCTGCACTTTTTTCCATTCTTAAATCTTTGCGAAAAAATTAACATCTTTATTCCATCCTTAAATTTCTACCTCGTTCATTGAACATTGGCAGTCAAGGGTTAACGTTTAGTTCCCCTTGCTAAATGTAGAAGGGCGTAGCACCAAGACTGAATGAATTTCAAGACCGTAGACTACACCTATGTCATAGTAATAACATTAAAACATATATGCGAAGAGAAACGAGATCATGGAAAGTTCGATAATGACTTGCATCCTATGAAATGAATAGGATAGGTCTCATCACTAAATTCGCAGTTCTATTCTGCGGTTTCGTTCACGTTCAATTTCAGTCCATTTTGCTACATGATCATTTACTGCTTTGACATAATCACTTTTTTGAAGTACCAATGGTGTCATTGTACCTGGTAAAGCCATTTTATTGCCTGAAACATGATTTTGATTAGAAAGCCAGATTTATCGGGAAAATCAGATTGGAATAGAACCAGCATTTTAAAATATCAAACTGACTGAGAGCCCTGAAAAAAAAGATGGAATCTATACAACCAAGCAACATTACTTAATTATCAGACAATTTCAGAATCTTCTACAGGTATAAAACCGGAACTTACCACATTTCGGATCGAAGTTCCCTGTTCGCAAAAGATTCATACGCTGCATAAATACTACTGCAAAACCAGTCATAAACGAGTCCACACCAGCACGATGGCAACCTAAAATAAGAATTTTCAGCTTAAACTTTAGAAAGTGTTACAAATCCTTCAAGACTTTTTTTGGATTTTCACAACACCCTCATTGATGATTACGAACCAACAAATTTGGGTGAGCTTCAAGAGGGATAAGTTGTTGAATAAAAAGAATGAGGAAATAAGTTATGACGAGAGTATCTCAATAATGATAATGAATATTAACTTCCGAAATTTCACAGCAGAGAGTAATCGATCAACTACTTAAAGTTAATAGGCAAGTAGTGTTAAACAAGAAATAAACCAATAATATTAATTTAAAGAAAGAGAAATTTTGAAATAATTTGAGAAAGCGAAGAAAGTATGCCATGTAATAATTAAAATAAGTATAATTATGACCTGTAACTGACTGCAGTAAATTAGTTGTCTGAGTTAGATTAGCTGATGTCTTTGTTTCGCCATGCTTCACAACAGTTTTTTCGTTAATAACTGTTGAAACTAAGATCTTATCTTTCTGACCATCAGTATAACCCGGCTCAGAAAGTTTCGACTCATAATCGTATCTCCTTTTCCGCCTTTCACGAACCTAAAAGAAACATTATGCAATGGAATTTATCTTACCTTAACCTTCAACAGAACCAACCTTTTTGAAATAACCTGAGTTAATATACGTTAACTACTGTAATTCTAAATTACTGTCGGAAATTGGAATAAAATCCGCACAGAATTCAAGACTTAAATATAAGAATTTACCCTTGATTGCTTTTGCTCTTCTAAGCTCAATAAGATGTCAACGTCATGTATAAATGAACAATCTTTGGCGCGACAGAACCCATAATTCTGCAAAATATACTATAACTTGATTTAATTCATATCTACCTCATACTTTTTTTTAGTGCTACTTTATCTGACTAAAAAATATCTTGTCTATCGTCATATCGTTAATAAATGTATAAAAACACTGCAATGAAATAAAACTGAACACTTTCAAAATGAAGTAACCCTTAAAGCTACCACATCTTCATTGCCATAAGTACATTATAAAACTTTAAAGACACAACAAAACAACTGTGTTGGAATTTATAACATTTTTTATCAAAAAAGTTTCATTGAAGCTTAATTTTGCTCATTTAAACAGGATGTAGTATTAGTTAATTCTCTCTCAGGCATTGATTGTTTCAAAAATATAATATAAACCTACACATATATATGTATAATATCCATTACATGAAAGTGAATTATGAATTAGTATAGCTGCATAACATCACTACTACTGTTTTTAATAAAGAATCGCCAATGAATGTGAGAATTGGAAAACTCACCGAATATCGCTTACAAAGTGAATTCTTTTGTTCGTCAGTAATGAAGTAGGATTCCGTCGAAGCACTCGCATCGAAATTATCGGGCAATTTACAGTCGACTATATCAACAGTATTTTTCAAATGCGTTTCTGTAGATTCGAAATCGAATTCAATACTTACATACAACCGATTACGTGCTTGTTCAATTGCATTTTCACGTTGACTGAAATTTTTGAAATATTTGCAGCCACTATTTTTGCCTAATCTTACAAGAATACTTTTATGTAAAAGTAACAGCGGACTGATTATGTAAAACCTGCGTTGACTGCAACTGGCCTACATTTATTCCACACCAAAGAGATTTTATTTTATGTAAGAAAGTACCATTTTCTGAAATAGTTTTAGAAGTACCATTTTCTGAAAACATATTCTAAAAAAGATGCTTTAAATCGAGTGATATATTCCGCGATGTATTTCGAATCATACAGACCAGGAATGCCTTCCGATAAAAGAAACCAATCGGAAACACTGACGACGAATTCACTGAATGTTTCCGGTAAAGCACTATAGAAGTGTTGATAAATAAATGCTAAATCGATAAGCCCATTATGCAGTGTGATCGGAACAGCAGCGCATAATACTTCATGCCATAATGTCTTCACTGTATTTCCCTGAAAGATTTTATAACGAATGATTAAATTATTTTTGTATTGTCAATAAATTCAATTATATTAATATGACTAATTAGTGCATTATTCTAATAGATCAAAATTCTTTTCCATTACTAATAAAATCTAAGACATCAATTTAAATTAATCTGTGAAATAAACTATATACTTTTGGTTAAATGAGCAAGAATTTTTTTTTTTTCAAATACGACTGAAAGCACAATTAGGAATTAAATATATTAGCATTGTGTATCCAAACGAGATAACCAGACAAGAAGAAACTGCTTATAAATCTATTTACCTTTTCAGTATCATTGCCATACGGAATGCCTAAATTGATCCATCGATTAAAATCGAATTTGTGCTTCGATAAAAACTGCAATCCATCTGCTTCAACAATAAACGGTACGGTACATAATGTAAGTATATTGAAAACCTGAAACGAAATTAACTAAACTCAGCTCGAAATTACGCAGTTTAACTGCATCGATGTAATTTTTACTGACGTTAAACATTACTTTTATATTCCAGCATGCTCTAGCGTTCCTACTGTTACTATTACGACAACAGAAAAGAGATAGCTTGAAAAGGAATTAAAAATGAAACTAACAAATAACAGTTATTATTTCCATACGTCAAAATACATATGATAAGACAACAGAAGTCCGAACCTGACATTTGTATTTTAGTTTCTTCTTTGCATCTGTTTCTTTTCTACTTACTAACTGAAAAGTTGCAATACCAACAGAAAGCACCGAACGGCTCTGTGCGCTTTGTCGAATAACATTGTACCGCTCTTCGAATGATTTCGCTAACCAACCTTTTTGTATTCCCAAACCACTAAGTTCCTAAAGAAAAAATTGACAAAAAGTAATATACCAGATATACAAATAACAGTAATATACAAACTTTGGATAGTATATCGCCACATCCGAATTCATAAAAATCATAATATATGATTGAAACAAACCATTAGCTTCTAATCCCCAAGAAATTTCGAGAAAAATTGATAACTTTATCGATTTCATCAGAAATCTCATCACTATTACCCTCATTACTACTAATACTATTATTATTTCTTCATTACTATCGTCGAGAGGATTGAATATTTTTTATATTATATTCATCAAAATTAATACATTAATCTAAAAAAAAAAAATCAAATTGGAAAACTGACTATCAATTTATTTATGTAAATCTCAAAAAAATACTTGAAAAAGTATTAAATATTTGCCTGTAGCAATAAATGAAAAAATATCAAATGGCATACCAAATCAAGCGATATAAATGATGCATTCCGAATTGAAAGCAAAAGATAAGGCCATGTAATGCTCAAATTCTCCTTGTTAACTTCAATCACAACAATATTTGACAGATAACCTTTACGACTTCGAAAACTGCTTTTGGATAGTGATGTTAAACAGCACGTGTTGTCAGTAGAGCATTGTGTAGCCTCAAACATATCTTTGTTAATTACCATCCTGAAAGAAAAATGAAACTAATAAAGTATAATGTGTTGTGACCGATTATATTTCTTTCTCTTCTAAAATAACCAAACAGTTTAAGAGAAATGTCAAGTCAACACATCTGGAAGAACAGTGATAAGAATGCTATGTGATCAGAAATAGAATGGCGAATACACAGCTGCTGCTGCTGCTGCTGCTGCTGCTGTTGTTATTGCTCGTTCAAGATTTAAATGTATTTTTAATTACTTGTATTACATGCTGTTATCAATATATTCGTATGATAAAGGCTAATAGTTAATGAAGAATCACTCCAATTACCGATAACACAGGAATAAATTATCCATTATACATTTAAGTATGACTACTATGCCATATATCTAATTAATTAAATATATTAAAGATACACCGAACTATCTTAAATGAAGTGAAACATTCAAAATAGAAAATATATTGAAGGGAGATATGATAACAGAAAGGGAAAGTTTATCAAAATCTTTCTTTTTTTTCAAGTAAACATCATAACAGAATGATGTTTTTGATAAAAAGGTCAGACTAAGCGATGATCAATGTTTCAGCATAAGAACAATAATTTTCTTTGTTTATAAACTTTTGTTTATAAAATTGCAATTAAATGACGAAAGAACAATAATTTTCTCTAGATAGAATGAGAACAACTAGATAGGAGTAAATTGTAAGCAAGCGTAAGATGGATAACAATTTCCAATACCTAAAAGTATCTATTATAAGAGTAAACCAGTTGGTGCAATTGTCAACAATACCAACTTTCCTTATTTTGAAACAAAGAAATTATCATTCTCGAAGTGATGATATACATTCCTAACCTAACAAATGATGCACAGGGACAACGTTACTTGGTGGTCTGACAGTCCAGGTAGTTTTGGAGAGCTTTCACAAGGTATGATTATTGTACATCCTTCTTACGAATTGCATCAATTCTACGATGTACATTTGAAAGAAAATACAAATTATCGTTCATAAATATTGAAAACCAAATTTTGAAAATTGAATTACAAAATAAACCATAGTAAAGCTATTATATATAATACGTCGAATAGCATTGTAATTAACAGAATAAAAAAATAACTTATTGCATTTTAAACTTTCCCAATATTTATTAGGATTTTATCTTATAAGACATTAGATATAAGTAGCACTGTTTTAAGGAAATCATGTAAACCATTAATGAAACACAGATTTGTACTTTTTTTTCAGTTACTGACTAAGCGATACATTTCGAACTGGTGCATGTAGAAAGATAAATGATTACAGATGATACGAGACAGATGTGTTAGCCTGCTTGCAATAATTTTTATAATCATAATTCAAAATGTGGCATTTTAAAGTGGCATTTAAACACAACTTGCATTTAAAATTGAAAACATAAAAAGCTTTGAATAAAAGTAATCACACTAAATTCTTACGTTTACTCTCTCCACTTATTTTTTTTTTTAACTAATGACTTTTCTATACAAGAATTCAATACAAAATAAAAGCATCCTATAGATGGTATAACATGTAAACGAACAGAACATCAAATGAGCAATTAATCTAGCATACTTTAGATATTCTTTATCAAACTATTATTAACTAAAACATCGAATTCCAGGAAGATCACTTTCTGATGAGAAATATAACAAAGAAGCAACCGGCAAAGTTATTATCACTTAACATGTTGCCCATTACTTCTGCAAATATCCGTCGTTGATTGTTGTAAATATCATTGGTCTTTCTTTGGTTCTGCAGGTAAAGCACCATTTTCTGCCTTCTGACCAACTGCTCTTCGTTCTCGGCTGGCCATGATTGCGCTTTAAATCATAACAATAAGTAAACAAACATAGTAAAAGTACAAGGTACGATTAAGAATTTTATCTTGGCTTTCGAAAGACGCAGTCTTATTACATTAAGTTAACTAATTAAAGTTAAGAGAAATGACCAACCGAGACATTGCATCCCAAATACCACCCATAAATACGGCACAAAAAAGATTCTCGAACGGTGCGAAAGGATCCTGAACGTTTAGTAATATGGCACTCAACTTGAAATAAACAAAGAAGCCAGCAATACCCTGCAAAACAAAAGTATGTTTAGCTAGTCTGCGTAATACTGAAAAGAGTAAACGAACAGAACAGATTAAAATCTGATGTTTTTGAATAATTTAGAAAATCTCTTTTAAAAGACCTAAATAACAAAGATTATCTCGTTTAATTAACTTCTGCAGAGAAGTATGGCATAACAAAACCTTAATATTATTAGTCAGTATTAAAAGTCTGGAACCTAGAATAAAGTGTATCCGGGAGCAAAGTTTGAAAATAATACGAAGTATTTGATTATTTCATGCTGAACATTAAAGAAAGCAATTCAACAAACCAAATAAATGATATCGTGAGGAGCAGAGATATATCGGGAATGCCTTTCAATTACGAGAATCACCGATGCAACGCAACAAGCTTTGGTTGAAAAGGATGGTCGAAGTACTTCGTTATGTGCTGGTATCCATACACCTCTCACCAACTGAAATTTTGTTTTTGATTTGAACTTTGAGAACCCATAAATAAGCATTTAAGGGCTCTTATAATTGATATAGGTCTGGAGGAAAGGAATGAAGAAAAACTAGGAAAGTCACTTTTCACTAATTGAAACTGTAGGAGCAGTTTTTTCAGTTTTTTTTCTCTCTTCTGGAATAGAAGAATAATCACCGTTGAAAATAAACGAAATACCGTAATACCGAGGGAAAACCTTACAACACACCTAAAGATATAATTAGGTCAAGTAGCAAGCTCAAATAATGTCTTTTTTGGTAGATAGTGACGATAGCATTATAGGCTCATCACTAAATGAATCGTATTCTGAATGTATTACTGAATAGGAAGGCTCAAAATTCACCTGTTCTACTGTTCGCAAAATTCCTGACCCGGCTCCTTTGGCTGTTCCTACCAGAATATGCACGAGATAAGAACTTGGGTACAACTTCGACGCATGCAACACACCATGTGCTACCTATAAAAGAATATGTGATTACAAATTAAAAGCTTAAAAATTAAAGAAAAAAGTCATATGATTCGCTCGCTGAAGCTTTAAAAAAACTTGGATTTACAATAAGTTTTTAATAGAAAAGGAATAAGCAGATATTTTCAAAAAAAGGACCTTGGACGTCCTTCGAACTTCTTTCAATATGGACAGAACAACTTTGATCGGTAGGAGCTTTGACACTTTATAGACTATATCGAATGGAGAATAAAATACGAAATACCAAACAAGAGTAGCCTGAAAACTACAACTTTTGCTTATTAACCAACTACTTAAGCTACTTATAATCACTAGTATCTAGTGCAAGAATGCAATATTACAAATGATGATCAGTGGAATAAGAACTGCAACGAATGATGTTTGATGTAACGGATCCATTAATATACAAGAATCTTGCAAAGAGCCAATGTTCAACAGCAATTTAAAACATATATATATATTATATCTAAGGGATTATGCAATGTTTTAAAATGAAGGGCATTAGTTCACAGTAATTCCTTCCATTTAAATATAAATTACAAAGTAAATAACCAGCAAAATGTCATCATGTCGTTTAAAAGGTGCGATCACTGGTTCTCCCAAAAAGAAATTAGCCGAGATGCTACCCGCAAAGCACATTAGCATTGACGAAAGCCAACAACTCAAGGGATGTTTCCGAGAAAACAGTGATGCTCCAGTCCCTAGATCGTCCCGAACTGATATTGTCATCTGAAACAGAACATCCGGGATACTCAGGAAATTAAGAGGTTCAGCAGAAAACTCGATAACATACTTCACTAACTGGCAAGTATTCTTTTTCTTGTCTATCTAGTTCAACTTACACATTTAATGTTTATTTTACTCCCTTCATACATAGACTGCTACCGTTGTCGTATACTTTAGTTTGATAATATAAGAACTGAGAACTTAAGGGTCTTATTTCCTTATATATTTTCTATAGTAGTGTCAAATCTTATCATGCATTGCAAAACGACGTAATATATTAAAATAATTGAAAATTCTTTTTTGCTAATTTTTCTATGAGCAAAAATGAAGTAATTATACTACGTATTTTTTGAAACGATATTCTATGAAATGATAAAAATAATGGAATGAAAAAGAGTGAAATAAACAATGATTCATTCCATTCTTTAAATTTTATCAATTATAGTTGTAAAAATATATCTATAATAAAAATATATCAACTAACAAGTATATAATGTGCCAAATCAAAATATGGATACATTCTGAGGCGTTGCACACGACTAGCGGCACCTGTGAGGATTTCTTGATCTAGCCTGATATAATCCACAAAAGACATTGTATTCAGTATTCGTTCAGTTCGTCGACTCAATAATTAATTATGAAACAATAATAATTATGAAGCACTTTTATTTATTCGTTTCCGCGTAATACAAATCAATCTGAAATGCAACGAAAAAAGAAATAAAGTTTTATGATAATTGAAAACATTTCAAAGTTTTCTCGTGCATACAATATACGACATTGACTAATTTATAATGCAAAATTCAATAATATGGAATTTTATCCTCGTTTATTTAACTAAATTAAAGAGAAATGTTGATATAACAGTTTAAACTATAGCAGTTTACTAATTTCATTAATAAGAATTTTCAATAAATCCAATTAGCCTCGTAAATTGAGCCGTAAAGCAACAATAACTCTCTCCCTTCTCCCTCTCTCTCTCTCTCTTTTTGTTTTCACTTTTCATCTTCTACTACTGCATAGCATCTTGTGTACGAATCCGACACAGCTTCAGAATCATTATCAACACGAATAATGAATGTATCGATCGGTTGCGTCAGTATATTGAATTTTTCTAAAGTTCATAATCATTCACAATTTGATAAGTTATACTGTTCCCTTTCTGGTATATATATTTCAACGCAAATTCATTTGTCACTGATAATATCAAAGGTTCGAGCATATATTCCCCAGCTGATAATTATCTTTCATTGTTTTTCCTTAATTCCTTCATACTTTGCTTTCCTCTGATGAACAATAACACGAAATTAAAAAAATCTTGTGTGCAAGGATAATAACGAATATATGTTAAAGCTTCATACGTATGCACACCTATTATCACGTACGTGATATGTACGTATAACATATTGACATCAATGTACTAATCCTATAGATTAATTACGACTACAAATCATCGAATTCATATATTACCTGCTAAAGTAGTTATATTTTTGGGCATAGCTATTTGAATGATCGACGAAATGAGAAAAACTAATTTCAAATTTATGAACATTGATATAATAGTGCATCTCATAGGGGACGAAAGAATATGCAGTGAATTATTATAAATAAGACTTATGTAAAGTTATCAAGTTATAATAAAATAGAATTTGTTAAAATGCAAAAAATCTAATTGAAATATATTATTTCATTTCCATAAATATAAATTTGATGAGATTCAAATGATGAAATTAGAAAATATACTAGAAGACAAAGCATATCTCGAATGAGTATACTACACTTAAACTTTATATTATTATTTCTACCTACTCAATTCCAAATTAATTCCTCCCAATCCTAACATCCTTATCTAACAAATCAATTAATTTCATAGTTATTCAACAAATTTGAATCATTAAACTGTCGTGCAAAATCTAGCAAATATTACATTCTACCCAAGAACATACCCGAATTACTAAACATTCACTCACTTACACGGAGCGTTATATGAGTTTCAATATTGACGTAGAAAATTACTCATTAAGAAAACAGTCAAATGAGAACTCAAACTATTTTACTAGGAATTAGTACAGAAGAAATATCCGTTTGGTAATATATAAATATAAATATATAATATAAATACATCACTTGAAGTTTTAATGGAAATGAGTAAAATTAAGCATGAATAGATGAGACCTTAATAAATCATCAAAAATTTATTTCTTCAGGAATAACACAACTAGAAAAGATTAATTGATATATTTAAAGTGCATGTTAAGAATGAAAATCACAAAATGAAAAAATGAAAAGCAAGGATTTATCGTTGAAATATTTTACAAAATAATATTCATTCAACTTTACTATACAAACCAATAGAAAATATCTGAAAATAAGTAACACACTTCCATCTTTTTCATTCTTTTACAAATGAATGAATTGAAAAAAAGAAAATAGAAAGGAAGAAAAAGATAATGAAATGCTTACTTATATGAGGAATAAGAAGAAGAGAGCTATGAAATGATTACTGTGGTACAATGACGAGGAGATGTACGACAAACAAGTATTGGAGTGAAAAAAAAAAGAAGGAAGATAAGATGAAACTTTTAAAGATGCTAGACTGATCACTTTGCTAACAGTTGCTAATAGGAAAGAGGAAGAGGAGAAGATCAGAATGAAAGAGTTGTTTGTGACTAGACAAGCTTACATATTGTTTAACTAGTTAGCAACACTCCATCAAACTGCCTCTAGCCTTTGTCCACAAAATATCCACTCAGCATAGCAGTATAAACTGATTTAAATCTATATATCATCCAAAAAAAAACTTGAACTTTCAAGAATAAATTTGAAATTTGAACTTTTAAAAGAGTGAAATCTGATTTTTGATATGGTGAAAAGAAAATGTAATGTTTCACTACAAGCAGGACATTTTTGCATTCTTTGAATTATTGATCATTTTGTGAAAAAAAAAACGCATTTTTTCCTTAGTATTTTCTCTGCTTCTATGCAAATCTCCATTATCCATATTGTCTAAAGCCACTTTTGACCTTTTACTGTAAAACACAATGTATATACAGCAAAAGTGACCTTGGTTATTCTTTCCCATCTAAATTGTTTTCTCAATTTATGGGTCAAATGTTTCCGATACACAAGTAGCGAAATTTGCTTGTATGTTAAATATTTTCCTTTTTCCAGTTCCAGTTTCCTAATTTCTTCTATAAACTTTAATATTCTTTGATGTGAGAATAAATAGGTCAAAAAAATAAGAAACTATGGCTAGTTTCTTCAGATAGATAAATTTTTTACTCTTCGGTGCCAGTATTGAATCATTTCATCAAAGGTACTGAATCAATGAGAATGAAAGAAAACGCATATTTTCCACCTATTTCCCATTCAAATTTTCTTGTTCCTCATCATATATATTTATACTTTGGCACCTTGCTAAAAAAAATTGGCATCATATTCTTAGAAAATATTAGGTCTACTTTTTAGAAATTCATGACCGCTTAAAGTTTTTGAAATTTTCCTTCAAAATTCTTAGAATGCTGTAGGATTATTCAGCTCATAAAAACTCATATTAAGCTTCTCTTTTTATCTTAATTACTAAGCCAAGTAATTAATAAATGCAATTATTTCTAAAACTAATCAAAGGAAATGACATACAATTTTAAGAACCTGCTATTCTCAAAGTAATATGCTTACATATTTATTCTTATCGAGAAGAAATGTCGGAAAAACAACCTTAAAAATTTCCTTCATGCATCTGTTGTAATCTTCTATTACTTCCATCAGTGCTATCATAGCAGATGAAATCACTGATTGCTGAAATATTGAATGGACATTCCTCTATCGAATTAACTATAACACTTCTGAAGGGTCCACTACCAAAGGAAAAAAATTCGAGCAATTCTTTGAACACCAGCAATTCTGCTGCATCTAACATTCGACTTTTTGATATATTAGAAATAGAATTTAAAAAATAGGAAATAAAGGAACTTTTTCCTTTAAGAAATGCCTACATTTACTAACAAACAAAAAGAATATTGGCCTTACAGATTCCTTGATTTCATCATCCAATAATTTATCAGTTTTTTCAAGTTCTTCTTTAAATATGCTTTCGGCGCGCTCCTTTACAGCCTACAGTAGAAGCCATAAAGGAAAGAATAAAAACGTCGAATTAGAATTGTAAATTTAGTATTCATATATATATCACTGATATTTAATACTGGAAGTCTTTGTGAAGTCTTCCAAAAAATGGAAATCTACCTGAATGTCAAGATCATCCGGTTTTTTCCGTAATTTGTTAATGGCACAATCCAGTTCATCCCGTTTATTGTCTACAGATTTCAACTCCTTGCTCACATTTTTAGCGTTTGTCTGTAAACACTTTTGGAAATCCTCAATATTTACTATCTGACACTTCGAATTATTATAACAAAACGAATTGCTTTCTCATTATAGTTACCTCAATCCATTCTTTCATAGATTTTTGTACATTGTCTAACATATCGGTCCGAAATGAGCGATGTTTTTGACCGGCATTATCGAATATTTCCTTGGCTGTTTTTAGAACTGCTGCAGACGAATCATCTTCAATCTGGTTACTGTACTTATAAATTGCTTGGCCAACTTTTTCGAATTTATTCATTCCACTATCAACGGTATCCTTTGAGATCTTTTGTTTCAGTTCAGTTGCTAAATTATCCTATGAAAAATAAAACTTGTGCAATATGATTTGTTGTTGTATTACTTAGCAAAAAGTAGAAAAGTTTGTTGATTAAAAAAGGCTCGAATTTCTGAACGATTGTAGAAAAAAAAAAGGAAGGAAAAAAAAAAGAATGAAAAAAAAAAGAAAATATAGCAATATATCATTGATTAAAATAAGTTAAGAGTATTTTATTTCTCTTCAAGCAAATATAACTTACGGTGACCAATGTAACCATGAGGCCCATCAATTTTTCAATTTGTTTTTTAAAATTGTTAAAGAGTAGAATTTTTTCTTCATAATCCGCACTATATACTGTTTTCGAACCACCTGTTAGACGATAAGCAACAGCTTTCACTTTGGTCGTCATTTAATTGTTTATTGTGCTGAAATTAAAATGTTGCTGCTTAATGTAATATGAAGAAAAAACATAAAAATAAAAAATAAGCTGAAAATTAAAAAACAAAAATGAAGAATTTCAATTTTTCTAATTAAATTTTTTCTTTTTTTTTTTGAAACATTTTATGATAATTTTTCACTTTTAATTCTCATTTCATAATATTTTTTTTTTTTTTTTTACTTTAAATTATTTTCTGAACATCACTGATTGATTTTTTCATCAAACTAGAACTGATTCTATCGGAAAAAATATTGGCAGAAGCAAACAATCCATCTGAGCAGTGATAGAATATGATAAATGCCTACCGTTAGTAATGTTAGTATTCAAAGAATGCTTTGTAAAGGAGCATATTATTTTATAAATTTAAAATTAATTTCAGGATTTATGCATAATATAAGTTGCCATCCTAAGCGGGTAAACTTTACCCGAAGCAGGTAAACTACTTTTTAAGAATAAGACATTGATTTTCATCGCGAGTTATTAAGCATCACATTTCAATTTGATGTTGCAAATGATAGTGTGATCAGCGATGGCCTTTGAATTTACGCCTTTGAATGTTTATGTATTGTGTTGTGTACGTGTTTCACGTTGCTACGTTATTAGGTGTTTCACGTTATTAGACGTACGCCACGCAAAGTTTGATTTAGATGGAAAACAATGAAACTGTAAAGAAGGTTTGAAATTTTTAGCGAAGTGAGAACGAAAAGACGAAAGATTATGACGGAAAGATTGTGTGAGAAGAGTAAACGAATAGCTCGTGAACCGTGGCATCGTTATACCTTACCCGGATATGACTGCGAAGATGGTTTTCCGGAATACCGGTTCAAGTGGGAATTGTTCGGTGAAGCTGCTTTCTACACATCGATGAATACGTCCATTCAGCCGGCCACCTTCTGTTGTTTTTCACGTGCAATATTGAGGTAGGTTTGATTTACGATCCAATTTTCTGAAGATTGGATCGTAAATCTTATTATTTCGGAATTTCCAGCCTTTCGCTTACTTTATTACCTTTGATTGCGTAGATTTCCGTTCTGTTTTATCCCTGACATGACATTAGAATACGTTCGAAATGTAGAAATTAATGACAGGAGAATTTTAAAATTGTACTTGTAGGAAGCTAGCTGCTAGTATTAGCATCGATTTATCCTTTTTGTTCTTCCTTTACAGTACAGCTAAAATAATAAAGTTAAGTTGATGCTTCTTCACCTTCGTTTAGTGTTCTTTGATTCACGCTATATACTTTATTTATATTTTATTTCACTTCACCACAGTGATATCGATTTACAATCGCTCAATGAACAGTCGGTAGTAGCGAGCTCAAGCACCAGTCCAGTTTTGGATGCTTTCGAATCTGAAGTGAAAGATGACCAGGATGGAGACGATACTGATGAAGATATTGCTCGAGGTGTGGTTCATTATCTTTCTGTTTTAAGTATTGTAGAGTAGGAATGCATGGAGTTTTGATGTTCAGTCCGGCATGGTTGTATATGGGTTTTTATAAATACAGTATTATTCAATCAGTACTACTCTGTTCAATCTTTTACTGTTATTCTTGTGATTATATATATATATATCTTTATTCTTGATAATATATAATATTCACTCGCTTTCTAATGTTTTAGAGGATATTCTTGAATATTCAGTTATTGCTATTTTTGTCACATGAAGTAAAATGCTTAGATCGCTTATTTTTCTGGATAAAATTCTGTTCAAACACACACATCTTTACATTACTATTGCGTATTTTAGAGATGGCAGCATTAGGTTTGCCGACGGCTTTCGGAGATGCAAGTCGTGAGGAACCAAGTTGCCACTGGTGTGAACGAAAATGCAGAAGTTATCGTATTCGTGAGAAATCACCATATCACGAGTGCTTATCAGACTATCTCTTTTGTAATGGCCTCTATTTGGAGCGAAAGTCGTGGCTCCATGACTATCGTAAGCGGTATCCTTATTTGTTACATAGACCAGTCTCTGTTTAATATCCATGTTATTCGTTGTACTTATAGCTACAGATCTACTATTCTCATTCTATAACTATCATTATAATATGGATTAATTAGTCTTTTATCCTTTTGCAAGTTTCTGGTTCCTTCTTTTTTCTTGTTTTTCATGCAATGTCTTTTAATTCTCATGTATATAAACGTAGAATTTTTATTCTCGTTGATTTGTTTATCATTCATTAAAATAAATGAAAAGCAATAAAATATGACGAATTAGCTCTGTACTATTGTAAAGAAAAAGTATCAGCTAGATCCTCTAGTATTGAGCAAAACTGATTACAATTCTGAGTGATTATCATACTTCCTTCATTCCTTGTTTTCTAATGAGGTGGTCAGTTACTCTTCTTCAGTATTTTTCATTTCTTTTGTTAAAATATGGTGTATTCATGTAGATAGATTCAAGTTATTCCAGACTGTTGTGCTATATTGCAAAATAAGGAATGTTTGCAACATCTGTATTTTTCAAAAGGCGCTTGAATGTCTAAATACAAGTGATACAAGTGGTTTATCTGAAATATTCTGTTTGTTTCGAGATACAATAACGTTTAAGCAAGGGATATATTTTTGTTATAAACAACCAAATGACTTTTTGTGAGTAATTCTGTTGAAGCTCATTTTTAACAAATTTTAGCGGAATCTTTCTCCAGCACTCAAGTAGCTGAAAAATTCGACAAATATACGGATCGAAAATTTGCACCGTATGCTTTGTTGAAAGAACACGAACAGGCTAACGTTAGTTTTTTTTTTTTTTTTTTTTTTTTTTTTTTTTTTTTTTTTTTTTTATGTAGCTATGTAAATTATGCTCATATTTGTGTGGTCTGAATGCTAAGAATAACGTTTTGAATATCATATTGCTATAAAAATTGTTTTGAATAGTGCTATGAATTTTTATCTCTAACTTTTATATTTATCATGACGCAATTGAATGTTTAATAGGGCTAACAAAAAAGACTTTCAGTTTTCTACTATCAGTCTTTTCAACTCAGTAACAACGAGTAGTTAGGTGACCAATGATTTGAGCAGTTCTTTTCTGGGTTTGGATTTCCTTTCGTGTAGTAATAAAAAAATTATTTATTAATCAAATTTACAGAAACAAAAGAAATCAATAACAAGAATAAATGAAAATGCGAAAATAGTAGAATTATAGTATTATTAACAGTTTTTCTTGCGATATTACTGGATATAAAATTTGTTTTTCGTGTCATTTTCAGCTTTTTTTAGGCATTTTTCGGTATTTCTTATTCAAAATTGGATCATAGAGAGGAGGACTGCTCAGGGTGCTGGTTTCATGTGAGTAGAAGTTCCATTAAGAACCAAGTTAAAGAGAGTGCTATGGATCATGAAATGGAAGGCTCAACTGAAGATGATGAAAAACGATATTCAGCTGGTGGTCAAAATAGAGATGGGAGTACATATGATTTATTCAAAACCGATAATGACTGGAACTCACTTTATTTAAAACACAAAGAGGCCGTGGAAAGTCGTATCGCCAGAGATTATGGGAAATATATGAATGAATCGCATAAACGACGACGCTTAGGATTTTCGGATAAGGTTTGTTCTATAAATACTTTTTATGGCTTACAAAATGGACTAGCGCAGCTCCAGTTTGTAGTTTTTTTCAAACACTTTTTTTTTTAATTTTAGTTGACCTCAGTTGGTTTAGCTTGCAAAGGAGCAGGATCGTCTAGCGATGAAGACGATGACGATTATTTGGAGACAGGTACTCCAGGATTACAGAGGTCAGTGTACCATTATTTCTGCCTCTTCAAAGTTTAATAAAAATATTGAAAGCATAAAATTTGTGTTAACATTAGGGATATGGAGAATACGTTCTCCAGAGTACTGAAGTTTTTCTTTACGTAGTAGAGTTTTCTACTCCTATTTGCTTAGTAGAAATAAAATCTAGATTAATACGAGTGAAATTAGCAATTAATAGATCATTTTAATTTTGCAGACAGCACGGTTTTCATATCGCTGATATTCATTATGATTTTCAAATACCACATCGATTTATTCAGAAAAACCGAAAAATTCACCTGAATACAAATGGAGCTGAAGATGATATTGACGTATGTTTTTAGTTTAGGTCGATAAAGCGAAGATAAATAGCATTAGCAGAACCTCAGTTGAGCGAAGAAATGCTTTTGTATTTTTAATAGATATTACAAAATTTGCTATTTGATTCTATTCCCACAGATGGTTTTTGAAAAATTTGTATGCAGACAAGTAATTCAGTATATTCGCAAGTCTGAAATATAAAGTATGCACATGTGGATGAAACACTTGTAATCATCCTGCCAAATCTATTGGACACAGCTGTTCATATGATTTTAGTGTGGAATAACTACAAGGTAAGTATAGGTTTATTTCTTGCAGGATTTTACTGTTGTAGATGCAAAAAATGTTATCGAATCATCAAACTCTGTGCTCAGAGACGTTGATTTTGATTACAATGATAAGCGGGACAGATGGTTATTGGCAATGAATGCACTGAAAACGTTCGCGGATGATAAAGTGCAGTTTATTCAAGAATACTTCTATATTTTTTGAGAAATCATTTCAAAATACAAAAGATTGAAGTTTCATATCTATTCAGCTTCATGAGTGAAAATGTTTGTGCTTATAGGATATGCCTAAGTACTATAATCAGCGCTTTCGCCTTTTCTCGAAACTGAATGAAGGTATCTTGATGGATCGTGGTGAGTTGCTCTTTCAGTTATGAAAGTACAGTTTTATTGAATTGTAATTCTAAGAAATCTATATATATCCAGCATGTATTCTGCTATATATATCCAGCATGTATTCTGGTTGAAACACATTTTTGAAAGCCGAAATATAGCGTTTTATTGATTAACCAATTGTGGATACTCAGATTATCAACATCACAATTAAGTCGCAGATTTAATATAACGGTCGGATAAGAAGTAACGGGCATGCCTGACTTCCAAATAAAATTAATCAAATTAATGGATGAAATACGCATAGAAGATTTACAGTGTTTGTTATTGTTTGAAAATTGTAGAAGGGTGGTACTCTGTGACACCAGAAAGAATCGCTGCTCATATTGCTGATCGAGTTGTTATTATGAGAGATGCTATAGTGTTAGATGGTTTCGCTGGTGTTGGTGGCAACTGCATACAATTTGCCCTTAAAGGAGCTTATGGTATGCTTTTTCAAAACTTAAGCATTACTTCTAAAGAATGCTTTATCCAAATTCCTGAAAAAAATTCACACTTCATTCCAACTGAATTATATGTAGCACTGCATTATAATTAAGGTTGTTATATTACTGACATAGTGCCAAGTAAATAAATAGTTGATGTGGTAAAATTTACAGTGATCGCACTAGATATGGATCCTGTTCGATTGCGTTGTGCAAAACGAAATGCGGAAATTTACGGCGTCGCAGATCGCATTAATTTTATTTGCATAGATTTTTTCAACTTTTGTAAATTCCACTGTAATAAAGTGAGACAATTAAAAATGGAAGTAAGAGAGAAGCAAAATGATGAATATGATACTTCCAAACTTTGGGAAAAGCGAAAAGTGAGGAAGGTTGATGATGGTTTCGAACAAGTTCAGACAGCTGCAGATGATGAATTTGAAGTGGTGGAAAAGATAGAAGGTAAAAAGATTAAAAGAACTATGCTTGCTGAGAATGATACGGATGATGAGGATGATTTCGGGATTGCTGTTGATAACTGCCATTATATGCCTGTTTTTGACGCCGTTCTGCTTAGTCCACCGTGGGGTGGACCTTCTTATCTTAAGTCAAAGGTTAAATTTTGAATTTTCTCAACAATTTTTTAAGATTTACAATTAATAATGCCTTAAAAGGAAAAAGTTGATTTGAAGCTTTATGGATTTATGAAAAGACTCTAAGAAATAATTAGAAATGTGCACTAGATGGGAAAATAACGAACTTTTCTGTACGTAAAAACTTTTTGTAAAGAAACACTTGAAAAAGATGATCAAAAAACAAGAAATTTTGAAATTATTGTGATTGGGTGCTTTATAACTAAGGTGCTTTAATTAATGAGCTCTATGGAATTCTTTTTCCAAATTATCTAAAATAAAGTGCTACTTACTTTGCAGTTGTTCAGTTTAAAGAATATGGAGCCAAAAGGAGACAAAGTTTTCCGAATTACGCGAAAGCTAACTCATAATATTGCTTATTATTTACCAAGACAGACAGATGTGAAGGAGGTTTGCTTTATATTTTATAATTTTAGTTTTTGAATTAGGTTGAAATACGAAAGATGTCGAAATTGTTCAATTAAGATATGTGATCGTCAGATATGGTTCAGTTAGTTCTATTAAGAGAGATAATAGAGCTGCTTTTCTGTTACTCACTTTCCTAATCTACCAACTTAGAGTAGTCTGAAAAGTGATAAATTATGAGATAAGAAAAAAGTAAATTGTTGTTTGTTTGAAAGTAATAAATTAGCGTGTCTTCCAGTTGATTCAGCTATCGAAGGATACTGGTGGGATGGTTGAGATTGAACAGGCTGAAGTAAACCGGAAAGTGAAGGCAATAACTGCATACTACGGTGAGCTTGCCTGTGATGCTTCATGGTAACTTTCCCTATTAATTGTTGATTTTCTTATTGATTTCATATATCTATCCAAAAAATGTCCAAAATAAAGATTCCGCATTGATCATAAGGTATTAGGTTTTTTTAGATTTAGAGAAATCTGTACTTTTTCGTTGTTTTGAAATTTTGGGACTTTTTTCCTTAATCTAGTGAAGGTGGATGTTTCTAACAACCACAAAATCAAGTTCGCATTGCAAAGTGCATTACCGGAATCCTTTTTGAATAATTTTTGGAGAAAGTGCGTTATCCAAATGATTCTTTAGGAAAAGGTCAGATTTTCTGAAATCTTGGCTGGTAGGCTAATATGTTATGATTAATGCAGTTTATAGCTAAACAATGGCTCATTACCGCCTTTATACAATTTTCGCTTACTGTTGATCGTCATTCATAAATTACCTCATTACTGTTTGTACCTAATAAAGCATAATAATTTGTTGGAGTTAAACAAGTGTAGCAGTAATACGAGTCACTGTTCTGTGGTATTAAGTTCTCCGCTTGAATAATTACGATAACATTCATGTTCTGGAATGGATACGTATTCTTATCAATGAATACGTAATACATGGTCGGGAAGTTTTATTATTTATATTGACATCATTTAACATAACTGCTTTATACACTCTTATCTACGTTACATAGCGTAACTGCTTCATGTTAAAAAGCTGAACAAATAATTTGATTACAAAGAATTTAATTTGATTACAAAGAACGATTACAAAGAATTTGAACTTTGAAAATTATGGCTAACAAAAACGTTTCATTCTGTAGCTTATTTTTCCACAGGCTTTAATCTGCCATATATTTAGCTCTCTTGCTTCCTAGATAGCTCATTCTATATCACTAATTTCAAATGCAAGACAAGATTGCAAACAAACTTGTTGGTTATGTCCTGTTACCGAGAACAAATTTGCATTTTGTATCAGGCAAAAGAAGCTTCTTTTATTTTTTATAGTTTGACAAAATGCATGTATCTTATCTGTTCCTTCACAAGGAAGTAAATAAAATGCAGTAATGCTTTAAAGATATACAAATCATATAATTTGATAATGTTATCTTTGTGTTAGAATATTCATATCATTAAGCAATATCCTACTTCATCATTTCTCATTGCATTACTGGTAAAATGCATGTGATAAAACAGTGGGAAAGATTGCATTAGCACTTGTTTGTCTATTTTTAAATGGAGCAATAGGAGCACTCAGTATCGAATTTGTAATAGTATATATCTAAAAGGTTTCCCTGTTTAAAATTTCAAAGAGAATCCTCAAAATTTGCTCACATGAATGCATGAAGCTTTATGAATATCAGGACATTAATCTGACCAATTTGAATATGCAGTTGAATATCTTTTCCAAATTATTGATTTTAGCCAAGTTGGACACTGCTTAAAATTATTTTCTCAACAATTATTGTTTAGCATCTCTCAGTAGTCTCATGAATGTAAACCGAATTTAACCATATCATAGTTTTAGCCACTTATGAGTTTCTTTAAATACTTAAGGTATTATGATATTCTTGCTTAATAGTAAGATGCTTAGGTTGAAAACCGCAGGCAGCACATTAAATTCATAAATATCTGTTCGTGAGACATTTCAAATACCAGCAGCTTTAGATTATCAGCATCTTTTAACCAAATGTAACTATTATTTAATTAATCGTTTTAAAAAACCAATACTGTCACATTTCCAAAATTATCAACACACGTAATAATCAAATGCTTAAACTACCTACTGACATGATTATGTCTTATCATCACACTACTTCAGATGATACAAAAAACTCACAATCTAGAATATAAGGGTGTTCCTAGAACATTTTTAAATTTTTATGAATGTTTTTGAAGGTATTTTTAACTAAGTAACAATCATAAAATGTCGTATGTGGCCTGTATAAAATGATGTCCAAATCAGAAAAGTATGAAGGAAATGGCACCAACTGTAAGCATATTTACTGCCTGAATTTAATTAACATCAATATTTGTGATGAGTATTTGTGATATATCATTAAAATAAAAATTTATTCACACTATCATAAGTCATAAGAAATCTTTTTTTTATTGCAAAGCGTTACCAGTGCAGTTGACTCGTAATAAGGTTTTGGTACCACGTGGCAAAATATCTAGAACAACCTGAAATGTCTTAATGATTATGCTAGAATAAAAATACAGATAAAACACGAATAATCTGAAAAAAAAATAAGATACGGAACACGAAACCTCATCCTGAATCTTCCGATAAATGTCCTGGATGTTAATATATGGCAGAGTTATTTTAGTCATCCACATTGCTCCAGTTAAATCTACACTGTTTCCATCACTGTCTACATACCTTGTTTGAGATTCCGGAGGTGACCTTTGCGACTTTAAACTCGATGACATAAGCGAACTGAACATATGATATAATTACGGAAAGCAAAGGTTAAGAAGTACTACATATTGTCTAAAAATAACACTATGCCAGATTACTGGCTGCATTTCTAAAGTAACAGAACAGTTAAATAAATAATCCTTAGATATTACAAAAACTTCACTAGTTATCATAGAGTCATATAAAACTTTCCAAATATTTTCCAGATTAGAGAATTCTTTTAAGAATTTTTACCGAACTACCTGAATGCTTCTCAAAAAAAAAAAAGCTATTTAATTATTACAGTAAAAGACCAAGACTCAAGTCCCAAACGAAGGAAAGCAACAAAGAAAAATTAACCTACTCATGTCTCTGGTCACAACTCTAAAACTCTCTTCCTTCTCTTAACTTTCTTAACTACACAGTTCAACAATTTGCATGAAAATATATCAAATGATTTTGCCACAATCAAGGCTAATCCGAGAACTTTTATGATAAATTGGTATATTGAAAATACAAAAAAACAAGACTAAAAAATTGCATCTTATTCCTAACCAGAAAACATGACGAACAAAACATCATTCTTCTAATAATCATATTTTATAGATCAAATTGTTCTAAAGCAAAATATTAAAAAATTTTTTTCTTTTTTTTGGAGGGAAAGAAGAAGAGATAGAAAGTGTTTATGAGTGATCACTAATACAGTCATACATTCATAATATATCCCTTCGCCTCAAAAGCAAATTCTTTTAATAAACTCTTTACAATATTTAACTTTTAGTCCACGTTATACAACTGATATCACACATCAAATGAATAACAATTAGTTATTATCACACAGGTTTATAATCAAGTTTCGTTTCCAACCTCTTCGCATCACCCACCTTACGAACTGCTTTCATAAAATCTTCATCAATGACATACTCACGTTCAGCACGAATAGCAAATAATCCTGCAAGTATTATAACTTTATTTTCAAAGCAATTAAACTATCGAATTTTTTGTCAATAATTCGATAAGAAATAAAGTTCTAGATTTTAATCTTAAAATGTTAATGATAAATTGTCAGAAACCAAAAAAGAACAAGTGACTGAAAAAAAAAAATAACTGCGATAACTAGTACTATATTAAGAGACGAGGGTTAAGATATTGGAGTTTTCGATGTTACAAATTTGGAAAAGCAAACATACAAACCTGCTTCCGTACAAACATTTCTGAGATCTGCACCGGAGAAACCATCAGACAACTTAACGACTGCTTCATAATCGATATCTCCATGTTTTGTTATTTTGCTAGCATGAATTTTTAGCACCTAAAAAATGAGGCACAAAAAAATACTATTGCGCTTTTTCTTCCATACTGGTTCAAGTGCAATTCCAGATGTAAGCTATCTGTAGAGTTTAAAAGCCAAATAAAAAAATAATGCTCTCAAGACCAGAAAAACGTGTGAAATAGAGATGTAAAATGAGCATATAAAGGATTGTACTCTTATCGCATGATTTTATTAAAAATGATAAACTACTACCTTCGATTCCATTCCCTCGATCCCCTCTATCTAATGAATTCTAAATTTTGGTGGAAAAAAAAAGAGAAAAATTTATACTATATGCACGTTTTTTAAAAGGAAAAGAATGAAACCTACCTCAAGTCTACTTTGCTCATTCGGCAAACCAATTTCAATTTTCCTATCTAAACGACCAGGTCTAAGCAATGCTGGATCCAGTGTATCGGGTCGATTTGTTGCCATGATAATCTTCACTCGTCCTAGTGAATCAAACCCATCCATTTGATTTAACAGCTCCATTAGAGTACGCTGTATTTCGCGATCAGCTGATGTCCCTTCCGAGAATCGACGACCACCTATACGATAACAAATAAGCAGACTTCATGTTTACTTAATGCACAAATGAATAAGTAATCCATGAAATGAGAACATTAGTCATTTCCTCCTCCCAAATCTAGGCAAAAGCCAAATTTTTATAGAATTTACCAATAGCATCAATTTCATCCATAAACACGATGCATGGCTGATGATCGCGGGCGTAGTTGAACATCTCACGAATCATTCTCGCCGATTCACCGATATATTTATCAACTATGGCAGAAGAAACAACTTTCAGGAAATTACAGTCCAACTGAGAAGCCACCGCTCTGCAATAAAATGGTGACTCGCAAAGTGTACTTTCATCTTCCAATAGAGATAATGCTTTTAGATATGATAGTCATAATCAGAGGAGACAAAAAAAAAAAAAGACAGAAAGAGTTACCTTGCCAACAAAGTTTTTCCAGTCCCTGGAGGACCATATAAAAGACATCCTTTAGGTGGAGTAATACCAACACGCCGGAACAAATCAGGGTTAACTAACGGTAACTCAACGACCTGAAAATAATGGTATGAAACAAAACTATGATGGAAAAATATATGATCAAGGCTAACTAAATCTTCGGTCAACTAATTTTAGCTAATTAAACACAGCTAGCGGACTTGCTCATATTCACTAAAATTGAACGAATTGCTTTGTGTTTTAAATTCTGCAAGGCTTTTTAGGAATACTTCCAGAAAACTGATACTGTAGGAAGATTACTCACTTCACGCAATTCACGTATTTGTTCGCTTAACCCGCCAACTTCAGAATACGATATATTGCCTGGATCTTCGTGGCTCATTTTATAGACCAATGGATCTACTTCTCGAGGTAATTGTCGCATTATTGTAAGTGTTGTCATATCCAGAGCAACTCGAGTGCCCTTAAACATTTTTGTTATGAAAGTCCTGTAATTTATAAGGAAGCAATGATAAGTAGTAAACCCTTTGTGTGCATTAAGCCTGTTATTTCATAATGAAAAAATTTCGATTAATTGTATAAAAGTTGCAAATTTAAAGTTAAGACGAGTAATATAAAACCCCAAATACTAAATGTGATGTGGCTAATGTGAGACTAATGAAAGAAGACTAATTTTAGTCCAGATTAGAAAGAAAGGAGAAATGCCTGGTGACTTACTGCGTGAAGGATTTGAAGTTTCAGTTAAGATTCGAATGCCCGTTTTGATAAGAAAAAAAAGGAAAGAAAAATCAATAATTCATCAGCAGTGATAGCAATCTTTGTAATCAAAATTCCTCTATTTACTGATCACCACTATATCAAGTAAAAAGAATACCTGCTTCAGAGCTCCCTTGTTCACTGATCGTCTGCAACCAACTACATATCGGGGACCATTTGTAGCTTTCACAATAAATTTCTCTTCGGTTAACTGTTTCAATACTTCTCCAACTATTTGCCCAACTGACTGCAACGATTTGATATCGTTTTCCGACTTGTCGTGTTCTTTCTGAACTTCTACTTCCTAAAACATCCAGAAAAAGAATTAATTTAGAGAAGAGTGAAAGACTCAACTTTTTTTTCAGTTAGAAATCACAGAAATTAAAGAGATTTGGCCACAGAATTATAACTCCCAAACTAACTAGAATCCCATATTCCTTCTCCTGTAGTACCTAAAAACCCACTTTTTTTCTTAGCTGCTTCAAACGTTCTTCCACTTCACGATATTCAACCAATTTACGACGGTATGCTCCTAGCGCACGTGATTTTTCATCTTCAACTGGAGCAACTGTTTGCTCAACCATTTCGAATGTCTGAAAATGAGTGTTATATCTAGAATGAACTTTACAAACTCAACGTTAGATCGTAACTAATAACTCTCTACCGGTAACTATGTAATCATTTTCAGGCAACGTTCACAAGCGATGTAAAAAATAATTGGACAAAGAAATCTTCAAAGAAAATATCTTATATCAACATAAATTTATTTTCCTAGTTTAAGCTTTTCTCATTATCATTTATCACTAACATGTTTATTAGTAATTGAAGGGTTACAGTGTTAAAGACACAAGTCATTCAACAGAGAACAAATGCGAACTGACGAAATATAAAGGCAAATATACGTAAGCGTATGATTCATAGAGCTAAACAGCAGAAAGAATATTTTGGTTATAAAATAAAAGTAATATTCAACACATTTAAAGTTCTAAATATATTTAAAGTCTAAATGATATGATGAGATTGGATCTGTCACAGGTGATAATATCGAAGATAACAAGCTCACACTTGTAATAGATGATGAGATAAGCAATTGAAATTCTTATCAGAAAGAAGACTGTTGAGGTCACTGGGACACATATCCGTGAGAATTACGGAAACTTGATAACAATGATGACAGGATGTGAATGAACTTGTATTCAGGAGAGCTAACAAGTCAAAACTTTTGTGATGCGCAAATGTACAGAACAGTAAGCGTACCCGAAATATTATTGGGCAAGAAAATGACTTCACGAAAAAACTTCACCCAACACGCCTATTTTCACGTAACGCACCTCTTGCGCCTATGCTATTGACATTATGCACCGAATGCGTTGTTACCTTCGCTCTCTCATGTCTATGGTTTTAACGTACTCTCTTCTGTCCGATGATCAAGTAATACTTCTTGCCAAAGTATTACTTAACCTGAGATGAGTACTGGTAATTAAATTCATTTAAATTTAATCTTCTTGATCAAAAGATGAATTTAGAATTTTATAGCTAGGCAAATATTAATGATTATGCTACCTTGTACTGTATTACGTTATGCATCCTTACATTTGTCACACGTAACGTAACAAGTTTATAGCGTTAGATATACATCCTGAAGATATCCGATGATTAGTATAATATTTGGAGAGTTGAGATCGAGAGCATGACCCTTCAATTCTCATCATTTACTATTCAATTTCGATGGTATACCATTTCTTTTTCAATTTTAGGAATGGTAGATTCGCGAAAAAATTATGATAGATAGTGGCCTATTTGTTGATATATCAGGGAATCGGTTCTATTCGTCATTTTCAAGTAAGAATGAAAATTTTCTTATTTGTATAATTTTAGGTGAAATGATGCTTTCGTGAAATATATTTCAATCTTTATTAAAGAAGAAATTGAAAATCATTATTTGATATGCCTAGGAAATAAATCGTCATTCTTGCAGTGCTTAGCAGAGATGAATTAAAATAACAAAATTTACTTAAATTACATGATGAAAAATAAGTACCGAGAAATACTCTGAGCGAAAATTATTATTCGATTTGTAAAATACACACATCAATCACTTGAATTAGTCAAATATTCTGTAGTAAACTTAAATTTAAAGTGGTATTTATCTCAGAGAAGTAACCATCCACTGAAAATTACATATTGCAAAAAAATGAATTCCTCCCTTTTACTTTCTCTCCCTCTCTCTTTCCCTCTCTCTATATACCACATACATTATTCTTTATTTCACAAGGATAATCTGTTAATTCTTGTTGTAAGTATTTGAAATTGAATTTCCCAAGAATGATATTTCGTTATGCTTTTCGAAGTTTATGTTGAAGAAATCTAAAAAACATTGGCCAAAAAGTCGGATGGAGCATCATAAATATAAGGGAAGAACCGAATTCATGAGATCAGCAGGTAAATTAGTAATGTTTCAGAGTTTCTGTTTTCTTCTATTTTCCGGTCTTTGTTTAAGTTACATGTTTTGAATACTTTTATTACTATTAATCGCCTTTACACAATACGGATTACTTTTACTTAATACAAAAAAGGATTGGAAATGTATAGCAGACCAGAAATCTATTAGCAGGAACTAGATCACTGTACTGGATAAGCGTCTGAGAAAATCTTCTCCTATGACGTACGCTTCAAGTGATTATTATGGTGATGTTTTCAAAAAATTTTAGCCTCACCTTTCTCTCAGACGTCTGGAGGAAATAATTGTTATTTGAATGGTTTTCACATTCACGGGATCGGAGAAGATACACGAACTTCTATGATTTTCGAGATATGACGACCAGAGTGGGAGATGAAATATGCGAGCGGTCAATCAAGTCCTGCTTCACAAAAATTCATAAAAATGTTGGTTGATTGTTACCAAAATCATAATTCCAAATACCACAGTTATCCGTTGTTTTTTGCACGTGATGCATGAGGACTAGAATTAAGTTGCATGAACTTTGACGCATTATGACAATGAAAGGTATTATTTTTGTAGTACAAATAAAGTGACTTCATATGATTTTATATTAACACCCTGACTGTTAAAGATCAAACACTGGAAGCAAATCTTACATCCATCAGTGAATTAACTCTTCGATGACTCGAACGTTAAACAAATGCCATTTCAATCTCATTCTCTGACTTTCAACTCAGTTTTCGAGTTTTTATATAAAGTCTTCGTAGAAACACTATAAAGAACTACTATCAGGTCGTTGTAGTTATCTTCTGAACCTTCTGGAAGATCACAGTAATGCTGTATCAAAGCGATCTGGGGATCGTTACTTCACTTCTTCATCTTACGGAAATTGTTCAGTTAAACTATCCTGATTCTCTGTTCAGTAATAAATGATGACATATAGGAAAATTCAATTAATATGTTGATGAAATGGCGTAGATTCGATATCACGGCATTTATGTCAGCTTTTTTGTTTGGGAAGATTAAGCTGAATTACCGACGGCAGCCATCCGTTCTGGGGATTGTTGTAATATCTGGTCTTAATTTTTTGAAATTTTGGGATGCAAATGGGACTTTTAAAGTCGATATTTGTGAATTAAGTGGTTATAAATCTGAATGGCTTCTTCTGAATTTTATAGCATTGCAAAGACATTTTCATGAATATCGCAACTTAGCAATAATTTGGTACAATCTGAAAATACGAGAAATTGTCTTACAGCATTAATTATATTCTATTGTAATTAATGCTATAAGTTTCCCTAGTCAGTTTCTTCATGGATGGTTTTGTTGATCAGTGTTTTGTTCCGTCCACCAGTCTTCTTCAGTTTCACCTGGTATTCCCTCCTCTTCCTCGATTTGACTGCTCAGTTTCTTGACATCTTCTTTAATGGCGTCACGAATCCGGTCAATGACTTTCTGGTAAACAAAAAATCAATAATGCTTGCTTGTTATCACAAGTCAAAAAAAATATTACAAAAGCAAATTGGTTACCTTGTTTTTCACATTAATTTAACGAACAATAAAAAATAAACTTTGACTTATTACACTTATTTTTCTTTTTTATTTTTTATGCACTGTAAAATTAGGGAAAATTAAGGAGAATTACCGGCGGAAGCCATCCGTTTTGGGGATCAGCCCTTTCACTATGTGCAAAAAATTCCTTTCGTACAATTTCTTCAGCAATTGGAAGTTTCACATCACATATGCAATACCACATTTGTCGCACACGAGGAAGTTCTCCTACAAATGAAAAATACATAGAGAATTGAATATTTAAATAAGATAGTAATTTTTTGTATATGAATGGTACACAGTCCAATAATGGTCCTCGTTAGACGAGTTAAGGAAGCTCAGCAACTCGATCTGAATAAATAAAGTTTTTTATTTGAATCGGAAATAATCCCATTTTTTCAGCAAATCGAATTACTCGAATAGTAAGGTAATAGAATTCATGTCATGTCTGCATGTCTGCAAGAATTTGGTACAAATTACCAGGAGTATACGTATAATCGATTTGCTCATCTGTAAGAGAACCGTATGTCGACGGAACCGCTGGTGCTAGCGATGAAGCACTTGTGACCGACGCATGACCTGGTCGTTCACTATTTTTCTATAAATTTCGGGAATTATGTAAGTGAATTCAGGAAATCTTATCAAAATTTATTTATGAAGCCTAAGTAAAATATATTAGTGGATCAAAAGAAAGGACCCAAGCTGAAGTATCAACTATATACCCTCAAAAAACTATACACTAAAATCCATTGCTATATATAGAACAAACAGATATGAAGATCTCGTAAAAAACATTGTAACTGATCACACTTACAGTTACAATTTTCAAACGCTGTCTTTCGGGTATTTTAGCATGTTGCCGAAACGTCACCATAACTGACTGGTATTGTTTTGCCTGCAATGATCAGATATATACCGAACCAAAGGGTATAATATTAATATAAACGCATACATTTGGATCGGTTCTTGGGTCATATCCGAAACGACACCACAAACGACCCCATGGTCCATTCAAAATGTAAAATGCAAATTTCTGCAGCAGTGTTCTGAAAAAAAAATCTTAGATAAGAGTAAGTTATTCAGGGATGCGGACAAATTAACGTACTACTCTTTTAGTTATCTCTACACTTCAGCTATCTCTTCATAAAACATAACTTTTATAAACATTTATGCACAACTTATATATTTTATTTGATTGTTTCAACAGTTATATCTGACTTACTTTATTAAGCCGTCATCCAACCTTGTTTTCTTAAGAATACCCACTCTAGTCCACAATGGTCGCTCTTCAAATAATTCCTGCAGCAAACGATGAGGTTCATCGTTTTTACACCTATAAATATGGTTGCAAAATATTTTCATATAAAAATTTTCCATGGATCTACGCAGTGGTGCTAATTTCAAATTTAGTGCAGTTATTCGTTCTTGTCGTGGTCTCTTTCATGAGTTAGTCATACTCCGCATTAGGTCACCTCAGAACTACGCTACACTGTTTCCTTGGAAATATCAATGATATAATTAGCGTTTTTTTTTTTTTCCGACAATTTCTGAGAAATAAAATAAACAAACTGATATTTTATAGAAGCATAAAGAACTTCTAACTATTTGAAAAGTTTCCAAACTAATTATTAAACTAATCTACTATTCTTTTCCTCTTTTAAATTACCGAAATACTAAACCTAATGTTTGCATCATTCACCGCCTCTTCAGTAGGCTGTTTCGGAAACTCAGCAGTTGAATGCACGGTCATAGATAATGCTTTCCTTTCCGACCGTAAACCTGGAAAGTTAACAGTTAGAGCGATTTAACTCATTGAATTACTTAGATGTGAGATTTTTTTTTACAGCACTTAATAGTATTGATTTCTTTTTGCTCTTGACAGTACATTTATTTCACAATTTTGCGAAATATCAAAGTTCCATCATCTTCACTACACCTAGCAGTTCAATTATGAACACATTTTAAGATTAAAAAACCAAATCTGTCTTGCAATTTGAGCTTTACTTCCAACTCCACATTCCATTACGCAGCTTCAATTTTCTCAAAAAATCATCTAATTAGAAGAAAACTGAACTGACTTTGCCCGTGTCCAGCGCTTTTTCGTTTCACTTTCTCCGGTGAAAAATCAGTTTCTTTGCACAACAACTTGGATGATGGTATTGAGTACCTGAAAATAATGGTTTCAAAACTTAAAATACGTGATTCCTTCCTAATCTTGCCGGCAATTTGACAATGAGCAAGTATTTATGGAAAAGCAAACATAATTTACATTTATTGCTCGATACGTTGAAATATTTGCTATAATATCTGCAATAACGAATAAAAATAAATATGAGTGTACTAAACAGTTCCGCGAAGATTTTTAAATTTCAGCATGAATAAACATATATAGCAGGATGAAAGTAGTAGATTGTATATTTTCACTTGACTGAAATTTAATTCTTGTATAACTATTAAGAAAAAAGTTTTACCTTGAGAACTGATAAGGAGGAAGATGTAAGGGTGTACGTCGCTCATTTTCAGGTTGGTTCCACCAAGATAGTGCACCTGGAAGATCTAATGGTATCAATTTCGGTACCTGAAGAAAAAAACTTTTCTAAAATCTAAATTCAAATAAATTTGTCAATATTTATAATTCTTTTCGATAAAATAAACGGCAAGATAATACTCAAATTTTTGATACGCTTTTCCATTTTATTTATTGTAAAAAAGCGCTATGGATTTATCCAATCAGCAGGAATCAAAGCAGATACAATACAAACACTGCATTATTATTACAAAGTATCACTTAATATAAATTTAGCTCAGAAAGTAGAAAGAATGACATTTTATTGATGAAGAGCTGTAAATAACATAAACTTACCAAATTTTCAAAACATCCGGGAAATGCTTCACTCTGACGAATCGGTAAATAATGGAAATCACACATAGATTTGAAGGTGTACACTGTTGAGACCTACAGTTTCATTTCTTTAAAAATTTTTATAGATTGTCTGAAATCTTCATCTCAAGAAACTCTTTAGTTTTTGTGTGGAAAAACAATTCATCAATCGCAATAGAAATTTTAAAATACCATTCCAATCACTTTTGCTTGCACACAGTTCGGATCTGACTTTTTGCGCCGTACAGTTGCAACACATAATACTGTCCCAGTACCACCGAATGATTTCTCCGCTGATCCTCTCTCTGATACCAAAGCATTTGTGTAGAGATTTTTTGGGTTATGTCGCAGTTCAAGCGGACGACCAGCAAAATGGTTCTAGAAAGAGACTAAATGAGTACTAGCATTATTAGGAACTAAATAAAGCATATTAAAAATATTAAATAAAGCATTAGAATAGGAAATGCAAAATTTCGACAGCAAAGAGTACTAAATCCGCAAAGATGAAATTTCAATAATTTTTTTTCACTTACCATGCTAAGAGTTTGAGCTCCACCCAAAGTTTCGATCGCCTTCTCAGCATTTCTTACTACTCCTGGATATGCCACTACAACATATTCCGGTAAATTTCCTGTACTTGTTGATGGCCACATTCCCTACAATACAGTGACACAACGGTAGAGAACTATTTTTCACAAAGAAAAAACAAAGATCAATACTATGTACGATAAATTATGTAAATTTAGCGATGTTCAATAATGATTGTAAAATACTACGATTACTTTTACTAATTTATTACTTTACTACTCGAATTTCAGCAAAACTACCTGACTTGTTTTACAGCCAGAGCCTTAACTCTCGAGTTAGAGAGTACATCAAGTACCACAACTTATATTTTATGTCCTCAATTAATCACAAATGAAATTCCCACTTAGATTTCCATATATCCTCTCTCTCATCGGTTTATGTTGCTGCATGCAGCAAATGCAATACGACTGCATGCAACAAGGCTGAAAGGAAGAGTTGCATGCAACACGCTTTACAGGAAAATTACAAATAGTAAATGATAAGATTGAGGGAAGGAGCGAGGATACAAAGATTGAGAAGATAGGCCTAGTTAGCATAGTTAGCATTGTGTTAAAGTGAAAAAAAATTTGTTATTGTGAAAGAAATAGCAAAAATATGAAGAGGAAATACTGATAACTGATAAGGGTGGTTGTCTTTCTTTTTCTTATCAGTAATATGATTTGTAGATTGATTAAAGTTTACTGTATTGAAAGGTCATTTTAGGTTTTTTACTATCATAGGAGTAACAGTTGTTGTTTGTCTATGCATATTTATTGTTAGTTATTATTTTTTTCTTTTATTATTGGTTAACTAATGATTTAACGTTAAAATTTAGTGCAATGGATTTGAAAAATGAAGTATTGGATGTCATGAAAGAAGTTGGTCATACTGAGAGATTATTAAGCACAAAAGGTTATTCCTGTTCTTTTTGTTTTGTTTACTTTCGCTATATAATGATGTTTTAATAGTAAGGGAAGAAATGATGAATTTTGATTTGATGGATATGATTCATAAGTTATATTTTTTTTGAGTAAGGTATGCTGATTGGAGATGTTCTGTTTCTGTTCAGAATGATAGATGAGATTCATTGCTATGAATTTAATACAGTTGACTTAAAATAAAATGGGTCACTTTTGAGGAATTGATACAGTGATTAAGGCTGAATAGAATTCGATCTCATTTTATCGAACTTTTCTAGAATTTTTGTTTTAGATTACAAAACAATCTTTGCTGAAAGTTTCTTGCATTTTATTCATTTACAAGGACTACCAGAGATACCAGAAGATTATCGTTTGCGACCGTTGATGTCAGTCGATTATCATCGAGGTTATTTGGAATTGTTATCGCAACTTACCGTTGTAGGTGATGTTAGTGAAGAAATGTTCCTTCGTCGGTGAGTGATTAATTTAGGGATGTTGCTTGATTTCTTGTCGTTCTCAAAAAGTTTTTCGAAGGACTCGGTAGATTTTAGCCCAGGACAAGTATTTCAGATTTTGTTCATGGACCATTTTAGCTATCCCGTATATTATGTGGTAGTTGTCTTACCAGCTTATGTTTTATTCAGTGGGACTTCAGTGAGAGTGTAAATTGCAGATTCAACTCGATGCGCAATATGTCACCTCCTGCGTATTATATTATCGTCATTGAGCATAAAGAGTGAGTTTCTAAAAACGAGTTATTTATAGTAAGGTTTTTCTAGATAAGGAAATGCAAGGGAACTGAGTTTTCTAAAAAAATTGGAAAAATTAAAATGAATTTTAAAATAAATTTCGTGTATTTATTTTACTTTCCCCAGAAAATTTGACTTTGGATTCCATTTTGGTAAGCATTGGCTGAAAAGGAGTCAAATTCATTATGTTTCCCAGACGCCTCAAATAGATCTGCAGTACACAGTCATGCATGACAGTTATTGAAAATTGGTGATGCAAACTTCCGAAATTTATAATCATAATTATGAAACTTGAAGGAATAGAGAAATAGAATGAATAAAAAAAGAAATAGAATGGAGAAATAGAGTTTTTTATTTTGACAGTGTTACGCATCTGCCGCTAGAATAGCTGCATGTAGCTTATATAATCTAAGAGATGGATTAGAAAAAGAAAAAAAAATAAGTGAAGGCATTCATTTGTGTAGGTGGATAATGTTTGATTAATGAATTAGATATTCATAGGTTAAAACGTGTGGTAGCATCAGCAACACTTGTTTTGGAATGGAAATTTATTCATGATGCTGGATGTCGAGGACGTATTGAAGATGTTGTTGTGGATCAGAGCGTTCGCGGACATCATTTCGGAATGTTGCTTAATCAACATTTGGTAGTACTGGCACGATATATTGGTGTTTATAAGTTGTCATTGGAATGTAAAGATGAACTGATATCATTTTACGAACAGTTTGGATTCAAAAAAGATGAGGGGAACAATTTTCTTGTTCAGAAATTTTGAATTCGATGTGAGTTTCTGAAACAATTATGGGTGAAAATTTAAATTCAGATTTCAAGTCCACTTTATTTCAAGTTTTAGTCTTGTTATCTGAATTCTTTATTTTTCTTAGCATATGTAAAAATATGCTAATAAAAGTGAAAAAAAAATGTAGAAGATTAACAAAAGAGAAAGGAAGGAATGACGTGGCTAAAAGTGACTGTTGTAGTATTTGTAGTGGTTGTGTTTGTCCAAGTGCTGTTTCTCATCTTTTTTTTCCATTTTTAATGCTTTTTGTGTATGCTTTCTTTTGGGAAGGTCTTTTATTCTTCAGCACAGCTAAAACATGCTTACATTTTAATGAACACTGAGTGGCTGCCATATTTATGATGTAATAATTTATGAATTGCTTTGTTCACCCCGTTGTACATAATGTAACATTTTATAAATTGCTTTGTTTCTTTTTTTTTTTTTCTTTTCCTCGATTTTGCTCAATTTTAACTTTAATCTTGTATACTTGATTTCCTGGAGTTGTGAAAATTCGTTCAAATGTGTTCGTGAAATGTCATTTTATTGTTTAAGCTTTTTTAATCATTTTTTTTTTTTTGCTTTTTCTTTTTTTTTTTTTTTTGTTCATTTGTAATAAACTTTTTTTACAACTATTACACTGCTTTATCCCTATGTATGGGTCTTAAAATCTAATAGCGATTTCTACTGGAATATTTGATTGTAATTAAATGAAACGAGTATTTTTAATCCTATTCTTTAGACGTATTTTTTAGATATATCGGGCATTCGTGAGCAGATGACATTCCTTTTAGTTTCCTTGCCATCCTCTTAAATGTATGAATCTTAGAACCACTCTTTGTAATTGGGCGTAGCATTCTTTTAATCACCTTCATTATAATTCGTAAATAGTGCATTAATCAAATGCTGCACTTATCAAAGAGTTAGAGATTTAAATATCATATTTCAGATTCATTATAATTAGGAAATGTGGATCAATTACCAAATTTTCATGATGACTTACTGTTGCAATTATAACTGAAAATACAAAATGTGAAGTTAGATTTCTTGGGCTTACTTATATCTCTGCTGAATTCGTTTCTATCGATGAGACAAAATAAGTTGTATAGACGACACTTTTGGTTGCATATTATTGCAGATTGAAAGTGGTCAACTCATGAGATGTCGCGTGTGCCATTTCTTGCTTCTCTTGATTACAATTTAAATAAACGCGACAAAGATTGGATTTCTCATCAGCTACCAAAGGTAACATTATCGTAGAGCTGACCAAAAAACCTACATAAAATACACAGATAATAATTGACTGGATTAAAAATCAACAAATTAGGATACTATATATAAATTTTTCAAAAAGTCACTTTAGCTAAGTGATTGTATCTGGAAATTTGTTGACAGTGAATTTGCTAGGAGTTCATTCCTAGTACAATTGGCTAATAAAAGTTCGAGAGTATTGGTCAATTCGGTTTGTGTATTTCTATTTGTTTTGCGAGAGTTCAGTCTGATCAGTTTTAATTTTGTATAGCAATCTATAATGTGGCCAATCATATGGATGAATTTCATAAGTTAGTAGAAAGGAATATTGCTATGTGGTACATTTTACACTTATAATTCATACGTGGTTAGCTGAGTATGAGATGCATTCTGTAAAGCAAAATTTGATCAACACAACTCTGTGAAAATATGAAAAAAAAGTCAAAACGGATTGCAGTTCATTCAGATTTTTAGAAGCTTGTGCTTTTCGTTGATATACATGACGTACTGTTTTAACTGTTCACTTATTTAAGGAAAGCATTGAAATACCCCGTGAACATTTACCTGACCCGGAAACTGAAAACCTTCCATCAAGCGTTAGTTTTCGTCAAGTATGTTTTTATTAATTCATATCTTACCTCTCTGTTTCTTTTTGTGTCCAACGATCTTGGAATATGTTTAGCATTATTTTTAAATGATGGTTTATTTTAGGAATCAACAGCCGAGTTGGAAAAACGTTGGACTGATACAGGAATTGACCGTATATTCCTGAATCGTCCAAGACCGTCACGTATTTGAAAATTAAATTTCGAAATTATTTGTTGTATGAAATATGGGTAATGGACAGAGTAGCAATGATACTAACATTCCCTCATCTCATTCATTTTTGTCGAATAAAAAATTAGATACAAAAACGAAAAGCAAAATAATTGTTGTAAAGCAAAGGACAAATATAACAGGCCCGTCATGTTCCAAGAATGACGAAATGATAAAACGCTTCCTGGTAGGCAATTTTTTCGAATTTTCTGTTTCATGGCATTTGCTTGTTACATATGTGTTTAATTAACACTATCATTAAATATGTGGTCTAGTGTTGTAAAAAAATTTGTTTTTAGGAAATCCCAAAATTTTATCCCATTTTGAAAAGTTCGTTAAATCAACCAGATTTACGTGACTCACCGGAGGCAACACCCAAAGTCAATGCTCGTCCTGTGCTGAAATTTGCCTGTCGTTTACAAGAACATTTTTCGCGTTGTGCTAACACTGTGGTTGTGGAACAAGAGTTATTGGGAAATTCAATGAAACATGTTAGCATAGTTTAAATACTTTATTAATTTTGGGAAGTCAAAATTTTTTAATGTAATAAAGTCAAGGATCAAACTTTACGAGTAATTTTGTTTTCTTTTCCGACAAATAATCCGTAACTGTTCCGTAACGGATGGGATAGTTTGGGGAGGAAAAATCTCACTTCATATTTTTAGTGTAGAAAAAAAAATTTTGATGTTTTTGTCTTTAAAGGGAAAGATACTTAAGTGACGAAGGCCATTACTTTAAAAACTTACTCTATTTTAAAAATACTTTGAAAACATAATCATAAAACTAACAGTAGCTCAGGAAATATATTTCGATGGCGTAATGGATGAAAGCTATTTTTAGTTTTTTATTTAGTTTAGCACGTTTTTTATTACGGTCTCAAATCTGGAAAGCTTATTTCAGGTAGATCGTAATATTACACTTTTATTAGTACAGTTTGCTGAGCAAAAGAAATCAATGGATCGTTTTCAAAATTATTTGGAAAAAATGAACGATTTACAGGCGCATATTTCGAATTTACGAGTAAGACCACGTTTTTCCTCTTCCTTTTGAATTTTACATTTTATTCCAAAATGTTAGCATGAACATTTTACACAATGTATACTGTTCACACAATGAACAGTATACTAGATCACTTCCTCCCAGTAAAAACACCCACACAACAAGACCGGTGAAGTTAAAATTTCATATAATAGTTTTTGGGAAAGGCAGATTAACTTTGTGCTGATAGGAATTGCTTATACTCAACTTTAATTTCAGTTTCTTTTCCAAGATCTTATGCCAGTGATTAACACCCTGAATGAAATTCTACCGGAACATAAGCGGCTGCCATTACTGGATATCGACTGCCTTGTAAATGCTACAGAAGTTTCATCAGAAGAGAGAAAACATGCTGAAATTATTCGCGAAATTCAAGGTGGTACCTATTTAATGGATAATAATCAAGATGATGTACATATCAAGCCTGTTGATGAGGTGACTGTAGTTGATAAAAATAATGCTTGATTTGGTAATTGGGGCTACGTTGTTCTGCTATCTTTTCATCAAGATTGCTGTAAGCTTTGAAACTTCAGATGGATCTAGTAAAATATAAAATTGAGAATGTCTAATTTATTTAAGTTATACTTCTATATTGCCTACTTGGAACTTGATAGCGGTTTGTCTTTTTCTCGATTCCAATTTTTGTTGTTTATTTAAAAGTAAATTTGTGACTGAAACATGTCATTTTTCTAATCAAGCCATTATGGCTTCATGTAATTATATTCTTAACATGATTCTTGCTGTGGTATAGTAAAGTCATTTAATACACTTGTGAATATTCACTTATTTCACTGTTTCTCATCTTTATTATTGTTATATCTTTGATTTAGTTATCTATTAATCTGAACATTTGTTTAATCCTTTTTTTTGGATCTGAAGAGCATCACATGTTTATTTCTAGTTTGTTTTTTGTATAGTCAAGTTCTTTTTTCTTTTTTTCGAAATGCAAAATATAGTGGAAATCCATTGTCATATGTTGCATTTCGGATTGTATTAAATCAAGATGACCTTTTCATCTTTCATGTTTATTGCATATTCAGTACTCCAGAAAAACAAATATATTACAAAACAGTTTATTCTCAGAAGAGCTGGGAAGTAAGAAGTTATTTATTTACCTTGAACCTTTTTTAAGAGCTGTCATTTCGCAAATACAAAAGTTAGAAAGTGGGAAATTCTTCGAAAGCTTAAGTTGCAGAGAATTTGGTGCTAAATGAGTTGCGTGATATGAGTTTTATCAATATGAATATGTCGCAGGCAAGTTTTCTACAATTGATAATTTACTGACTTAATATGAAATTACCTACTTTTATTCAAAAATGAACCGAGGATTTAGCTTTTTAATAGAATTGAAGGTAGTAAAATGCATAGCTTCCAGAAGAGAAAGAAATGAAGTTTCAGATGAAACCGCTCGCGACGAAACAAATTGTTGCTTTTGTTAATTATTTCATGGTAAAAAATGTTCAAATATTGCAAGATTTTGTTTCAAATGTGGAGCGAAGGATTATTGACATGGAAAAGCGTTTAAGTCGAGTGGAAGTGGAGTTAAAACTTTTGGAACTTAAAGTAATCACTAAACTGCTGTCTCTCTATGCAGTTATTGAAATAATGATGTAATAACATTAAATTCCATTATCCTTAAAGGAGTAGTTGAAAGTGTTAAACGTTTTTAAAAGAAAATGCAATTGATCTATCTCTATTTAATGTAATGATTTGAGTGTAAATGAATTTGATTAAGATTTATTTTTAGTTGGACAGCGTGCCAAGCTTACAAATCATTGTTTCGGAAGACAATGAGGTCTTAGCAAAACAGCGATATAATGGTCCACTGTTTAATCAAATTTCAGCAGAAGATACTGTAGAGGTAATTTTTGCATTTTAGCATTGAGATTTATTACCAACAAAATACGATGAAACCATTATTGATGAAATGATTTTGTTTGCACTATTATTTTAATCACATTATGGATTTCTCTTTATTTACTTATATTTTATTTTCTAGCACAAGTTTTGCGAATTTATACATAACGATCTTATTTTTTCTGAGTAGCATCATTTTTTTAAAAGCATATTTGTTTTGATACTTTTTTATTCCTATTGGATTCCATTTTCTAACGATATTTGTGAGTCTTTCAAAAATAAATACTTTTCAGGACGAAATAGTTGAGAATGTGAAGGTAGATAACTCAGAATCCTTATTGGCTTCTAGTTCTCCTCCCAGTATTGAAAGATCAAGCGAATCAATGGCTTCGAAAACGTCTCTTGAAAACCAAAACAAACCAAACAGTTGCCTTCGCATTCGAGATGATCCTCGTTACGCTGTTTACTTCAGAATGCTTAAAATGGTACACCTTTTTTTCTTGTTGCTCTATTTAGAAAGAATAAGGCATTTTTCTTATTTGATTTTATTCTGACTTTTTATAATTTGTAATACCCGCCTTTATGCCTATGTTACTAAGAGCGGTTGGGTATACAGTGTCCAATTTACTATTGCTATTTGCTGTTTCTGAAAGCTATTTATTGACTTAAATCATGTTGTCTTTTTCATTACCACTTCATAATTCAGGGCGTACCTGAATGTGCAGTGAAACAGAAAATGGCCACTGAGGGAATCGACATAGCACTTCTTCAGTATGTGTAATTTTTAGTTTTTTTCTGACATAAGCAAATTATTCCATGTATATATTCTATATCATATCACAATTATTTTACAATTATTATTATCCATATGCAGAGCTCTACCTTCGGTAATCACTATGGACCAGTAGTTGAGTAAGCAAGTTTTAATATTTCTATGCAAGTTTCTACTAGTCAAGAAATTGTTTTTAGTCAATTGTTTTTTTCTTTTTTTATGTGCAAAGTAAAATTTAGAATACCAAATACATCTTACATCTCACTATTTCCTTGCACTTATTTAAACATTGAGAAATTATTTTGTAGCAAAGAGATAAATCATTAATATACGTTACATGAGTGCTAGAAATAAAATCCTTTTCTTATACCTGTGAAAATCGAAACATTAAAGCTATGAAGGGGAAAGCTTAAGCGAAATTTGGAAATTTTCTGTGGATTTTGAACTAATTTTTAAATTTCTTCAGAACACCAGACGCTCTTTCTGACTTCCTGGAAGATGCGGCAGCTAGTATTGAAGATAAAGATTCAACAAGTGCTGATGATGACGATCAGGATTCAACATCTTCCAGTGATCGTTGATTAAAAAATAGAGTAGAAGTCCGTGTAAATTAATGGGTAGAACTAAAACAAGTGAAGCATTGTAAAATTAGTCATCACTAGGCCATTAAAAAAAAAGTGAATTTAAAATATTTGGTTCCATAAAAGAAACGTTATGAGAATCTTGGGTCAGATTGTGGTTTTTGTATTTGTGATGTTTTACTTTTCATACTGATTACAGAATATAAAAAGAGAATAAGTGTACCGTTTATAATGTCTATTGTATTTGAAACAAAATATTTACATAAATCATCATTTAAGTTTTAGCTTTAGAAAATGCTAATTGAAGATATTGTTTTTGAATAGTATTTTGTTTCCCAGTAATATTTCAATTTAAGCCTTTCATAATCATTGCTACAATTTTACGAAAATTTTTGGAAAGAACAAAAACAGTTAATTGTTAAATAGAGGAACTGTTGCAAATTTGATGCTTCAATTAGTGAATTTCCAGAATATTCATTGACCAATACTAAAGAGCGGCATTACTAAACAAGATTATTCTCATTGATCAAAACTTGCCATGATCTTAATCTAATTATTTGTTCATTAGTTAAATGTTGCTTTCCAGATAGTTATAGCACAAGATATCAAATTTTGATGATATATGCAGGAAGGAACTTTTGATCATTTGCGATTTAAATTAGGTTTTCAATGGTTATTTCTACAAATTATGTGCTGCATTCGTTTGGTGGAGATATCTTAGTAAGATAATGAATTGTTTTTCATAACTGATCTGTAATGTGGATGATATTGGAGTAATGATATAGAAAATATTATGACGAGAGGTGTAATTATTTCCATGCTTTGTTTATTCTTCAAACAAAGAATTTTGTTTTGTCTAGAAGGAATGTATAGGAAGAGTGTCACATTCAAAATAAAACCTTTCCAATCTAAATGCTTCATTCTTTCTTTTGTACCATATGAATTATATGCTGTTTCCATTAAAATTTAGCATAGTTATTTTTCGGCAATTATCAAATAATATCAATCTTGAAGTGATATTAATGTTATTATAATATTGATAGTCATTATATTAACCATTTTATGCATTATTTTCACCACACATTCGTCTTGTTATCATTATCAGTTTTTGTTATCTATCTTTTATATGGTCAACTTTTAAAAGAATTTGAAAGAAATTCAATTTAGCTATGTAATTAATCATCTATCTATCCATCCGTCATTGATTAGTATGAATTACAATGTGGAAATCTTCTTTAAAATTATTCATTCCATGTAAAAATCAAACGGTAGTTAATAAAGAATTAATTTACTTTAGAATTTTCAAATGCCAAGAAAGATTTCACGTCGACCAAAATCATCCTGTGCCAATGCTTATCATCATCTCAGTTTTGCATATGATGATTCAAGTCAACCAAGAAACATCTCTGAAAATTCATCAATAGCAAATTTCACCGATTATCCTAGAATTCATTCCAGTAATTCTCCCTCATTCAATTCATCACTGACTCAATCTTTTTCTGATCAACAACAATTATCATCTGTGATAAATGATACAATTTTACCGGATATAATTCCTCCGTACACAACTTCCTATGGAGCATTTGAAGATTTATGCCAAAGAATGACAGTTACTGTTTCATCCGACACTTCGAGAGTAGTTACGATGGATACATCATCACCTCTTTCACCGCCATCCTCACAAATTCCTTTACCTGTTTCTGAAACATTGAGATTGTCACCTGCTACCTCAGCCAGTGACGTTTCCAACTATAATGCTAATGGACAAGGTAATTCTTTTACCCAAGCATTCCCTCAGATGTTACCGCCGCCACTTGATTATTTCCCACGTGCTCCGAGACCAGTGAATGCTGTACCTGAGTATCCCTTATATCAGTATTTCAATACAATGACAGATTTATCTCAACCAGCAATTAGGTATCATTTAGTGTTGAATAATAAATTATTCTTTCCTAAATAAAAATGAACAATTATTTTAGAAAATGAGTTTCTAGTTGTAAAATATTATCACAATTTAAAAAAAAGAAATCAAATACAATAATTATTCAAAAAAGTATTTAGGATATTTGGCATTATTTTCTTTGTCTAATAAAATTAACTTTCTAGCATTGGATTATCATCATGATAGCTTTATTTATCAAGATTGTGATAATAGTTTATGATAATAATAATAATAATAATTACAATAATATTGCAGTTGGCTCCAAGATAATCGAATGCTTCTTCAAACAGTTATAACAGAATTTGAAAATGCTAATCATAATTACATGATGTTTTCATGTTCGGTAACAAGGTAAAAAATTTTTTACATATTTTAAATTTATACTAAAGTTAAGTAAACTTCTTTAAAACATTTCCTTCAAGCGAATAACTTAATTCACAACGAAATTCAAAATGTAAATTTGTCTTATGCTTAGGATTCTCAGTGCTATAATAGATAAAGCAAGGCATGATCAAACTTTTGATAATGATTTTTTGGATTCGCTACAAGTTTCATCAGAACAACTTCTACAAAATGCTACTGCTTACTATAATGCTAACTTAGCTTTTATGTATACTTTTATACCTCGTCAATGACATTTCCTTTCTTTTTCCTTATTTCAATTCCAGTGATAGCAACTGATAAATTTGTAATATTTGAAAGAATTTTTCAGTTATTTAAAATTAATGAATCATTATTTATTTTTCATGCAAAATGACAAATTTAGTTCAGCATTTGTCTATATTACTTATTTCAAATTCGCTGCTGTTATTCGGAAGCAATGTATTTATTCGTCTATCATTTATGTTTAACAAAAGTATATTACTGCTGTAGAAGAGATGATTTGAATTGATTGAGAATGAAATGATTTAAATTTGTGGTTAAAATTTGTCTCATTAATTTTAATTCTTTGTATTAGATTTACCGATTACTCAAACTTATAGCTAATTCCTTTCAATTTTAATTGTTCCAATTCAAAGCTTACGAATATTTCAATTTTTTTTCTCATTCTTGTATCATATATATATTATTGAGTATTTTGTGTATCAAGAAAGACAGTACAACAATTCTGAATTTTGAAAAAAAAAAAAAACTAGACTATGAACTTTGCATATAATTAGGATAGCATTCCTGAGAAACTTCATCAAAATCATACTTTTAACTTAATTTCAATCCTAAATCTCTCTCTCTCCCCCTCTCTCTCTCTCTCTCTTGTAACTATAAATTAATCGCTGATGAAAATTTTTCAGCAGTGATTATTATTCTCAAATGTAATGTGACAAGGCCATCCTACAACGGAACACTGAAGATTGGCCTATTTCATTTGTTCTATTTTTTTTTTTTTTTTGCTTAAATTTTAGGTATTTCAACCGGTTTCAATTGATAAATATTTGTCTCTTGGAAAAAACTTGCTACAGTATACAGAGGAGGAGTTAAAGTGTGAGGACAGAGGATATAATAGGACGAATAATAGAAAATGAGAAGATTAACCTAAAATCATCAGATATGAATTGGAATATATAAATAAATAGCAAAGCTTTTCAGTTTACAATTTTATGTTATACTTAAATATAACTTATCAAGTTGCTACCTGTACTAAAGTAAGCAAGCTAACCGAAATGATAATCAATATAAGAGTAAGAGAGGAAAGTATATCTATCTCATCGATAAAAACGAACAATAACCTCTGTCATATCTAAAGCTACCAAACCCTTTGGTTCTGAAGGCGGTGCTCGTCTTTTCATAGGCGGAGCAATGACCACCGCTTCACCGTCTTCGGAATAATTCCGAGGTGATAATCATCGGACCACTTCATCGGTTCTCGTTTTGACAATCTTTCACTATTATCTTATTTATTTTTGCCTGAATCTCTCATGAATTCATTGATATTTAATAATAAATAAACGATAATTTAGCTTTAGGAACTGATGAAAGCTTAACAAAATCAATATTATCATCTTTTATTACTATTATATTCCAAATAAATACCAATTTCAATTCTTCTTATTTGGTTAATATTATCAGTTAAATGAGGGACAATTGATTGTTATTTATCATCGAAGTGATAATATCTTTATCAGATAGAATTTTGTTTCAATTCATATCATATTTGAATATATATATATATTGATATGTGCTTTCCTATGTTCCTTTATAAAGAATAGCTGCTTGTCTACTTTTCTTTTTTCAAATATTCAATGGCTTACAACGGGTAAAGGAATTATGCGCCCCTCAATAGTAACGGTATTACTGTTCCAAATAACAATTGCACTTCTCTTTCTTCGCCATTTTTTGGTGGTTTACTGTTTGGAACCTTTGATTAAATTATTTGTTTGAGAAATTACAATATTAAATTACAACATTAAATTCCACATAGTTTAATGTTATTGTAGTGATTTATTGAAAAAGCAATACTTATCCATCAAAAATATAAACTTAATTAGTTTCCGACTTTTTGCTTCTTTTTTTTTCTTTTTTTTTTTAATTTTTGGTGTTAACTGACAAGGTAATTTGTAAAGAAAAGAATGAAAGAAATTCAAATTTTATGATTAAATTAATTTTTGCTATAAATTTTGATTGAAAACATCAATACAGTTATTTTAATATTTTTCTTACAAATAAGTATAGAAATGAAATATATGAATAAGGTCTTAGAAAAGAAAAATTAATGATAGTTTTACATTTAGATATTTTTTTAATTTTAATTTTTTTTATGTTTTTATTTTTTTTATTTAATTTTTCATTAAATTTTTTTTAGAGCTGTAAATTTTTTAAACTAAGCTTTTGATAAAATCACTTAATAGCTGTTGAATATAAGAAAGAAGAAGTAAATTATAATCGCTAAATATTTCACTTTCTTAAGCTTTTATTTATTAATTATTCTTCCATACGTTCGATTGAATTTATACGTGAACCAATAAAAATTATCATAGAAAGATCACGATTAATGCTCTTTCACGTAACGTATATTTACCTACACATGGTGACTATGATAATATCTTTTCAAATTTTGCATGACGTTGTTAGTTAATTACGTTCAGTTGACGTAGTCACGTCAAAATGCTTTTAGTTTTTTTTTTTTTTTTTTTTTTTTTTTTTTTCCTTTTTCTTTTTATAATCAATCATTAATGCAAATTATCAAATATGTAAAAATTAAATTCTTATTCATCTTATCGATATGACAAAATACCAATCAAATCTATCGTTATAAATACATCCTCGAAATTTTTGCCCTCTTTTTTTTTTCTCGATATTTACAGAAGAAGAATAGAATACAAACCATTTGTAGATTTGTCATTTGTTCTTGTCGTCTACAAGCTTCTGTGTTACTTTGTCATCGTTGATAAAAGAAAGGAAAGACTACTATCACTAACTACTTACTATTACTATTGATAGTATTACCCATCATCTCTCTACACCATTACACTATTTCTACTGCAACTACTACTTTTCACAGCTTGATGCCTCTTTTTGTTGCGTCTTCTGTTAGTCGTAATTTTCAAATTCAATTGAAGAAAATATATTTCAAAAAAAAAAAAGGAAGGAAGGAAAAGAAAAGAAAAGAAAAAAAAAATTCTGATATTGTGTAGGAAAGTATGATGAATGTATTCTATAAAATGTGCCATTAGTGCTTATTTTCTATAGCAAATCAAATCAAACTTGTCTTGTTGTGACATATCAAAATTTATTTTCACATGAAATGATTATTTGTAAAGATAATTTGAAACAGATCAATTGAACAATTTTGATGTACAAATCAACGAAATATGGTCATTGTTGTATTCACAGCTGCTTTATTATTTCTGTTTACTGTACAAGGAGAAATTGATATCGTTGATAGCAACAACAATAATGTCCATCTTCAATTGCAAGAATTACGTCTTGGACAGTAAGTCAAATTTTGACATTTCTTCAATAATTCTTTAAATCTTTTGTAATTTCTTTCCTTTTTTTTTCTCATTATTTGCATATTTCTTAAATATTAAATTTGACATTTCTAACGATATAATCTTTTTATTCCTTCTAATTTGCATTATTAAAATTACTTATGAAGAAATAGTGGAAATTGATCCTTTTTTGTATTAAAAGAAAGTTAAATGATATCTGATAAAATGTATAATAAAGTTACGTAAGAAATATGACTTTAAGTTAATAGTTATAATAGTAGTAACTTTTTTAACACAATTATATCGTGTAGCCACGTTTTTTTCACGTTTTTTTTTGGCTAAAAAAATTTTCTTTTCATTCCTATCACTGCTATCCCTATAGTTCTTTTTTTTTTTTTTTATCTTTCCCATCTCAAAGTAATTTTCATATTTTATTTTGTGCATGTGACAAAGTCACTGAAATGTTAAAATTAACAAGTTGACATTATGTTTTTCAATGGCAATACGCCAATGAACCCATTCAAGACAGTAATTTCTTTCTCATAAAAAGCAAAAAAAAAAGTCTATGAAGAAAATTTCGGAAGAAAATTTTGGAAAGAGAAAAGAAAGTGTCTGCAGGGCTTTTTTTTAAATATAATTATATTTATCGTAAACTAAGTTAAAAAACACGTGACGTACGTGTACTATATAACGCATTAAAGACTCATTTCATTTAAAAGGTCAAAAAATAAGGAAAAAATTCGAACAAAATCATTTCAGATGATACGTAATATTTACTATTATTTTCTTTTTTTTTTTTTTTTTTGTATTTGGGATGCATATGATGATCAAAGCTTCCGAATGAAAAAAAAAAATTTTTTGTCTGAAGAATTAAAGTTAGCAAAAAGAAATTTGACATAGTTACTCTGAAAGTCTGAAATTAATTTGGTTAATTTCAATATGCAAATATTTCTTTGATATATATTTATGACAATATATCTGAGATTAAATCAGAAATGTAAAAATATCATAACAAAAAATGAGGATGGCTCGAAACAAATATCCAAAAGTTTGATAGCAAAATAAAAATTTGTAATCATATGATAAGCTTTATTCTGGTGATTTCTACTGCTAACGATAACATAATTTTCGAGTGCATTTAAAAAGTTGCAATTCAGATTAAATTTTTCAACTTTCTTAATAAGCAATTTTTGTCCTCATTTATTAAGACTGATTAATTCTCTCAACATTAGTTATTATTTGAAACTTTGTTAAACGATGCAAAAATACGAATTCGTCTTCACTTTTTCTAGTTCTCTGCAAAAAAAAAAAAAAAAAAAAATGTTAATTACAAAGTTTTAATTGATTTTATTGAAAAAAATTGAATTCATATAGAAATTGCGGTCAGATTGCGGTCATATAGAGGCTATCTCACGGAAACATCCATCAAACGATTGATTTATAGGAAGTTGAAGGTCAAAGACTGACGGATTGTTTCCCTTCCATCTTCCTTCCAGTAATAATTGAAATTTTCATATAATTTAATTGAAATGTAAAGCAATTCGTCCTGAAACATTTCAATATGCAAATGCTTTAATTATATTTAGTATGTACTTATTTTTAAAATATAATTTCAATGGATTAGAATGATGAGTAATTTAAGTGCGATAATCCAGAAACAATTAGATTGATCCAGATTGCTTAACTCAGCTCAACAGTTCATAGTCACAATCCGTGAATCATTTGCACTGCAGATAATATGATCTATTCACAGCTTAGAGGTCAAATGTTATTGTCATCGTCATCATCTGAAATGCATACCTCCAAAATAAAATTGTATTTTATCGCCTTCCTTCTCATTCCCTCTTTTTACTTCTCATAATATAATGAACACCGAAATTCTTATCTCACATAGAATCTGACCTCAGCCTTCTTTTTCCTAGCACTTTTGTGACAAATATCTATTTGACTAATACTAATCAATTGATTTATAAATTAAAATTTCTTTGACTGTGAAATTAGTCTGAAGTTTCTCTGTGTATAAATGCAAAAAAAAAAAAGAAAAAATGTATGAATTATTTTCAACTTGCATTCATATTTTCAAATTAATAAGATAAAAAGTGCTTTATTTGCTTTAGCAACCTTAGACTAATTGTGATATTCTTTTACAAACAGACTTGTAAATTTTAAATGGTTTTTCATAGATTTTGTAAATAAATGGGAATTTTAATTCAACCAACACAATTAGAAGAGATTGGATTAATTTCTGGAAATTAAAAGATTTATTAAATTTTCAAAATTAATTAAGAAAACAAAGAAAAAGAAAACAGAAAGATGTAGTTAAATTTTTGTGAAAATAAAGATTATATTGGTGTATTTTCTATGTCATTGGTATGATTATTTAAAACTGATAGCTAATGACGAATTGAATGCATTAAACTGGAAATGATTGGATTAATTTCTGAAATAAAGCTTCAATTTTAGTTTAACCCATAACATCATTCAAATATTAGTTCAAATATTAATTTTGCACATTTCTCTGAAATTTCATGAAATTACATTCATTGACCCAATTGACAGATTTTTTTTCAATTCGACTTACTTCGCTAATATTTCTTATTTAAGCTTTATTACTGATACCATTAAGCATTACCTCTGATTTATCCAATTTTTATATGACAAAAAAGAGAAATGGAAGAAGCGATAAACGTTGAAACTGAAGTAAATATGAAATGAATTGAATTGAAATGAAATGAATTGAATTGAGAATGAAATAAGTAATCAAACTTGTAAATCATTTAACTACCATATTTTGTTATGAATAGTTTTATGACACCATTTATCCACCAAATAAAATAAAAAAATAGCATAAAGTGTCCTCAAACATATCATTCATTTCCTCGAATAAATTGTTTGTTCAATAAAGTGCGATTCCTCTGGAAGTGTATTTGATGAGCAAATGAATGAATAATCGTCGATTAATTGAAGGTTGTATTTTTAAGACTATATTAAATATATTAAAGATTCATTGAATTTTTTTTTTCATAGCAGTTATATGATCTAGGCAATACAATAATTGTTTCTTTTATTTGGTACTTCTCAATATTTTATTTTTTCTCAGTAATATCTTACTTTTTTTTCTCATTTTTCATCTTAATTCAAATTATTTTAAAGCAAAAAAAAAAAAAGGAATTCTTCTTCATAATTGTACTATGTTTACACATTTATTCTGTTTGATCATACTAAAATTCACTTTCCGATATATTTTTGTTTGATTTTTGATTTCTTTTGTTTAAAATTATGCAAATATTTTAAAACGGACGACTGAATTGAAGAAGAATAGTAATTTTATGTGCTTCGGTGCGCAATTATGCGTACTAAGCAAAAACAAAATGATTTTTTTCCATTTTTTTTTTTTTTTGTTTTTGTTTATTTTTTTGTTTTGGTTCACTTTTATCCTTCTGTTCTCTTCCCATATCTATTAATCATTCATTGTTAATTATTATCACCATCAAATCATTATTCCATCTCCCTTTTTTGGGATGAAGGGAAGAGCATGATCGAACTATTCATTGATCTCCTTTCCTCTTATCACAATGATATAATAATCCTTTAGCAAAAGAAAGAAAGGAAAATATCGATAAGTGAAGTAAGGTTAATGTAAAGTATTTTTTTCTTCATAAATGGACATCGATTTAAGTTAATACAAATTATCATTATTTAAATATATTAAGAGAAGAAGAATGATATCTCATTAATTATTATAGTTATTGCTTCTGAACGATGAAATTTCCAAGCAACCATTAACTTCTTTGAAATTTGTTTAAATTATTAAACCTTCATCAAAATTCTTTTAGTGATGGTTTAATAGTTTATGTCCACTTTAAAGTTATTAACATTTTGATGGCTATATCAATCTCAACGGTAACTCATTTCTCTCTCTCTCTTAAATTTAAGTGTTTCCATTAAAGAATCATACAGGCTTACCACTTATTCTCGGTCCCTCTCAAGAACTGTAACAGATAGCTTCCTCATAAGTGCAATAATTAAGTTTTAAATTTACTACCAGACATTTGGTTTACTAAAAATGCAAATTAATAAAACCTTACTAAACTTTAAAATGGAAGATTTTCTCCCAACTGGCAGTGAAAGTAATGACAATCATTTATCAAAAAGTAAAAATCTTCATTAGTCGTATCTTTTTATACTTTTATCATTTCAATTATCCTTCATTCATCACAAAGAAATTTCAATATTATTGTAACGATATTATTCATAATTAATTAATTAATTAATGCCAGCTGATACTGCGCTGCATTTTGATAGTACTTCGTACCTGGCAATATTCTTTTATTAGTACTTTAGTGAAAAAATAAATTCAATATATAAACAAATTGTAAATGAAAGCAAATGAAGGGAAAATTAAATGTGAAATTTATGAAATGACGTAGGTATTAAAAATGTTTAGAATTGATCTAAAAATTCCTTCCAATTTTGTTATCATTAAGTATTACTTTTATTTTTGCCCATTTTTATTACAAAAAAAAAAATATTGTAAATCTTTCCGGTGCATCCAATATTACTTTGATAATATTTCCATTCGAGTACTCAAAAAAAAGTAGGTTAAAAATCATCTTATTTTAATTAATGTATGAGATTAAAATGATAAGAATACAATTTCTATTTTGATTAATTGGTCAACAGAATCAGCTAAAATGAAATATGAATTAATCACACCATTTTCAACAAAAATTTTAATTTAGGTACAGGTTATAAAAATGAAAAAAAACTAATTCTGTAAAATCTGACAACTGATACAAAAAAGATTATCAATGACAATTAATGATAATTAATGAATTGTGATCCGAATTGCAAGCCACGACATTCTCCTTTTCTGTCTGAGCGATCGTATCCGTTCGATCTACAATTGCATCATCACCATCATTATATCATCTTCAACAGATATCCTTTAAATAGCTACAGTAATTTTTTGAAATTGATTCAGATTGATTTTTCTTTTCTCAGTAAGCAAAGTAATCTAAGGTTAGAATCATCAATCACCGGAAAATAAACAAAATATTGCGGTGGTTTCCGTGTTTGTGGCATAAAAAAACACAATGAATGAATGAATAATGAGATGGAGGAATGAAGAAGAAAGGATACTAAGCGATCGGATCGAAGAAAAGATCGCAAGTATTCATTTATTCATAGAAAATACTGCACAACAAATGAATGATATTTGATATGTGAAATTTTAGATAATTACAAAATCAAATATCATAAATCAAAAATATTTTAAAATTTAGCCATGAAATATTTTAAATAAGTGCACTGATAAATGCCTAGAAAAAAAAAAATGAAAACTGATAACGAAGTAACTGAACGATTAATAAAAGCAATATGATATTAGACAAATTCATAAGATATCTTATTAACATTAATGTTAAATAAATTTTGGAAATGAAAAAAGATAAAACAAAATCGTAATCACTTTAATCAGTGATTTTTATACCTTCAAAGTTGCTTCTAAATTGAATATAGCGAAAAAATTTTAATTTTCCTCAAATTAGTTATATGCAAAAGGAAGAAGAAATTTTGGAAATGTAATTGCAACGAGAAAATGTTATTTTGTTGATATTTGATAATCTTAAAATAATTACAGAGACTAGATATTAGGTTAGATTTAGGTGAGTATTGATATCTGATAAATTCGGAATAATTACAAACAGTTAAATGTTAAATGTCATTTGTTGTAATTTAAGCCTCTTCCTTTTTCAATAATTAGTCTTGAGAAATAAGTTTATTAGTTAGGGCAATAAATTAGTTGTTCTCATTAAAATAAAATTTGTGTGTGTTAGTGATGTTCGCATGTTATTGCTCTTGTCGTCGTTAAATGAGGAGAAAGGGATAATGAAAGGAAGGATGGCCTTGTCAATTCAAATTCTTCAGGTACCGCAACGTAATTGAGAATTTATTATGGTCAAATGGAATGCATAAATATTTAAGCTATCTTTATAATAAATTTGTTTACAAAATTCCAACATAGAGCTGAAAAAAAATATTTAATTATCATTAATGAAATAATTTAATGAATGAGCAAAATAATTTAAAAGTAATCGAATTTTCATATTACTACGGACACTACTATTATTGTTATTGTTATTAATTATTAATAGTTGTAATTATTATTATATAATTATCATTGCATTATTTATTTAATCATTATTATTAATTATCATTTATTATTATTGTTGCCATTGTTATTGTAATTTTACTTTAAATCTTTATTGATGTAACTATTGCTAATTAATTATAAAACTAAAAAAATTAGTTGTATTTTGTTAATTATTGTATAACAATAATGCATTGTATAACAATAATGCAACTTAATTGCATCATTTAAAAAATTTCTTCTTTATTAGCATTTTTTTTTTCTTTTTTTTAGATTAAATGTTTGTCCACACGAAGAGATTGAAACAGTAACAGTACGTGAACCATGCGTTCATGCTTATACGAAGTATATCAGAAGTCGAAAACCAGGCTGTAATGGACAATTCCGCTCATGTTCAGTTCGAGAACCAAAGTTTGTTTTCTTTTCTTTTCTTTTTTGCAGAATTCTTTCCATTTTTCTTTTCTTTTTTCATTACATAAATGAATTTTTTCTGTAAATAATTCTAAATTATATTCATTTTTCCATAATAAAGATAGTTAAAGTTGCAATTTCTTTAAATTTCAACATTTTCAGTTATTAATTCAAATAAAAAAAATTAATTTAATTAATGGTAGTATAGTAATTGCATGAATAGTAGTAATATAGTAATTTTGATATGTTACCAATAAAGGAAGGAAGCAGTTTTAGTAAAAATCGAGAGCGCATAAATCATTGTCCTTCGCAACATTCATTAATTTCCAATTTCAATTTCCTACTTTCTCCGCCCTGATTACATCTATTGTCTCTCTCCCTCTTCCTTTCTCTCTCTTTCTCTCTCCCTCCTAATCATTTCTTCTTTTCTTTTGTCAAATTTATATGTCATTTAGATTAAATGTTTGTCCACACCAAGAAATATGACTAATTTCATCAGCTATTAACAATCTAATTATTAAAAATTCATTCCACCTCGAGCAGACAGACAGAGAGAGAGAGAGAGAAAGAGAAAAATTTTTTCACACTTTTTATTCTTAAAATTCAAATTTCGAATTAGAGTGTAATTTATCAAATCTGTAGGAAAAAATAATTAAATCAGTGAATGACAATTTACAGATTTTCAAAAATTTTGACAAAACGAAATTATTAACAAAAGGAAATGATTTTGTTCACTGCCATTGCAAAATTTTGTTTTCGAAGTGAGAATTGATTGAATAAAGTTTACTTCTGATAATAATTTCTCGTGAAAGTTTCTTCGAGAGAAAAAAACAATGCAAACTAACGGGAAATGATAACTGTTATCAGTGATAACATCCATTGCTAGCTCTGATAGAGATTACGAGTAATATTTGTGGTACCTTGTATAGAAGGTACTTCTTTAATTAATCATTTTGATATAATCTATAATGTTATAAGTACAAGTACCGAGACAGGAGAATGACCTTTTTGGCTAACCTGTAATTAGAGCAATTAATTATACAGCCTTAATAAATCGACTCGGTGATTTTGTGATGAAAAAAAATTGATGGGACAAGCTTTCTGAGGGGACAATTTTTTGAAAAGAAAATATCGTGAAGTAATATGCTTGAAAAATTGGTAATTGGTCAAAATATAGAGTAATGGAAGTATTAATACTTAAATTAATAAATTTTAGAATATAAATTTTTCACTGCAAAAGACAAATAAAGAAATATTGTTTTTTGTTCCATTTTATTGCAAAATCTTATCACATTTATATTTTCGAATGAAATAAGCTTAATTAGATTAGCAAATCCTAATTATCATTTATTACCTTTCTTGCATAGATCATATTTTAGTAGTTATTAAACTATATCAGAATAAGTAAGTTAATTTGATTATTCAATCAATTAATCATCAGTTAATGAAATGTTGAACTAAATAAATCAGAAAATGAATATTGCTGAAAGATAATACATCAGATAGTATTAAAGTGATTAAACACTGTAACAATTTAAATTATAAATGAAGTAATAAAACAGAGAGAGAGACGGAAAGAGAGAGAGGGAGGGAGAGGAGAAAATAAACTATTTCAGGACAGTATATTATCGTACATATAAAAATGTAACACGAACAAGAAGACATACAACAGCACAGTGTTGCACAGGTTGGATTCAGGTACCCGGTAAAGAAGGTTGTCAACGAGGTTAACTATTCTATTATTTCATTTCCAATAATTTTAATAAAATTCATTTGTTGACAATTTCTTTCAAATAGAAATTCTTGCAAAAATCTATTTTTAACTAACTGAAGTAATAAATAATTTGTTAAAACTATTTCATATGAATATTATGTGCACATATCAGTGTGTAAATTTCGATAATTTCGAACTTATTTAAAAGAAAAAAAAATCAAAAATTTAAATTAAAGCAAAAAATAGCAATTTTTTTAATAGGATTTCATATTAAACTTTGAAAGTTTATTGATGAAATAATATTTCAATCAGTTATCATATAAATAATAATGTCAAGTATACTACAGTTAAAATATTATATTTGTAATTGGTTTAAATGGATAAAAATGAGTTAGAATAAAATTTAATTTTTTTCATACAGCAAGTTGTACACCAGAATTATGTCATAATGGTGGCACTTGTCAACCGTCAACATCGGACAAGAGTGAGGAAATTTGTCGCTGTTTACCTGGATTTCAAGGTACTCGATGCCAATATGGTAGGTCATAGTTCATTTGTACATTTTGAAGATTACTGTATATTGATTGTGATACTTGTCGTTTGACAAAAATAAGCTCGCATTAGTTTTTTAAATACATATTCGTATTTTAAAATTGATAAAATCATAGTTGAACATGAGATGCTGATTTGAATTTAGATTTTAGATTTTTAAGTTTTAGAATTTAAATTTTTCAATTGATTATTTAATTATCAATTTCATTGATAAATTTGCTTAAAAAGTATGAATAATAGCAATTGGCTCAGATGTATTACTTTCAATTTTTAATTTTTTCCAATACTGCCGTAAATGCACCTGAAATTATTAATTGGTTACATTTAATTGATATTATTTAGATATAAACGAATGCTTAGTGGAAAATGGTGGTTGCCCACATGATTGCGTCAATACGATCGGTACATTCTACTGTCGTTGTTTTGCCGGATATCAGCTTGATAGCGATCACAAAAAATGCATTGGTACTTTCCATTTATCTTTTCTTTTTCTTTTTTTTTTCCTTTAAATATCAAATATATACTGAAATTCAATTTTTCAGATATTGATGAATGCCAATTTGAAAACGGTGGTTGCGAATTTCGATGTCTAAATACGGAAGGTGGATATCGTTGTGAGTGTCCGCCAAGAATGCAACTTCATTCAAATGGTCGTCGATGCGTCCGTAAGAATCTCGCACTGTTTACAATTGATAGTTGAATTTAGATAAATAATTTAAGTAATTTTATTCAAAAAAATTTTCACCAACTTAACACTAACAAATTTTCGTTATTGATAGCAGTAATAATTAACTGTTTTGGCAATTTTGCTACTCGAAAACTGATAATATAAATGCAACTGCTATTCATCCATTAATAATTGTATTTTACATAAAAGTTTCCACTTTCAATTTTTGGAAAACTTTCCAATGTTTGCTTCCTTTTTTTGAAAGGGAAATTTTGTTTAAAAAAAAGTACCCGAAAAAGGGTTATTTGTTGAAAGTAATTGCATAAATTAAGAATGAGAGGCGAAGAGGATGTGATAGAGAGGGAAAGGGATGGAAAAGAATGAATGGATAAAAGGGAAAAAGAGAGGAGGAGAGAAGGAGACAGAAACAAAGAAGGAATTTTGTCTTTGTTAGACGAAATCATTCAAAATAATCCGGCGGATGATGAAAAAAATAAATGTAATAATAAATAGCAATTATTAACGCAGAACACAGGAAAGAAGCACAGAAGCGAACAACAAAAGAGGAAATGATATGACGTAAACGTGAACATGAACGTGAGTGAGATCAGATCGAATGAAGTGATACTAATGTTCATCAATATTTATCAAAATGCATGAATGAGAGTTAAAAAAGTTTGATCATGAGAAGAAATGATAATTAAAATTAATCAATCACATTCCAATGATCAATTTAGTTTAACAATAATGTCTCATTGATTAGCAATCCGATCTTCTTATGTAATCAATGTAAAAATCTTATGCAAATTTGTTATCAACAATACATGGCTTCTAGTCACTTCAAAAAAATTCTTGCTTCATTGATGATCTTCCTTCCTTCTCTGAATGCATGCATGCATGCATCTACTGCATTTACTGAGACTAACACAGCTAATATTTCTCCATTCAGTATAAACCGAAAGTTGGGTCAGATGGATGCTTATGAGAGGAAATTATCCAACAAATCATAAAATATGTAAAATTATTGAAATTGAAAAAGTTAGTTGCTTTATGCTAAAAGCATCTTTCAGGTGAAAACATTTGCGCAACAGATAATGGTGGATGTGAGCACATTTGCGAAGAAAGACATGGACGATTTCATCGATGCAAGTGTCGCCAAGGGTTCAAACTAGCTAGCGATAAGCGGCGATGCCATCGTAAGTAATTGGCATTATAAATAGTTGAATTATCAATAGTTCTTTAAAAAGACAAAAAGAATGGCTAAGATTTCGCTTAAAGATTTCGAAAACAAATACATCTTTGAACATTATAAAATTAGGAAACTTGTGATAAATTGTGTTAAAGGAGAAATTGGAAACAATTTTATTTAAAGTGGAAAGTGGAAGGAATTTCTTTTAATTATTAAATTTCGTATTATTTCATAAAAATTTTGAGAAAAATTTTCTGCAAGTAATTAGTTTAGAAAGAATCCATTAAAAGTGTCAATCAAATGAATCATTTCAAGTTCAAAGTTTGCAAATAAAATTGGCTCTTTATTTTGTTGAAACATAGAAGATTAAAGATTCTCATGAACGATTGAGTAGAAGAAAAGATGGAAGAGGGAAGAATAGATGAAAATCTCTTTTGAATAATTTAATATGTCTAAGCCTAAGCCTACCTGCTACAGTCTATTGTTTAGCCTAAAGATAATTGTCCATTGTTACTGCTATTGCTGTTGTCCTCTTTCTAAATCTCCCATTCAATAAATGATGACAAACAATATTATGAAGGGAAAATAGACCTTCAAATACAAAATCATATCTTTTTTGCCCTCAAATGACTTTTGAAAATGGTAAAATAATTTTAGTAAAAACAAAAAAAAAAAGAAGACAAATGAAATATTTATTCTTGTTTTCTTGAAAATATTACTTCATTGCATAATATCCGAGAAATCTACTAACTAAATCATACAATATCAATTCATTCATCAATTTCCGGAATTTCCGGTAATTCTATCACTTCTTATAAATTCATTAAAACTTCACAAATTTTATGATTCTATGTAACTGTGTAGGAAATAATGCATTTTAAGGTTACAGGTAAAATGTTACTTCCATTGTTTACCTTAGTAATTAATTTTGTTAAAATAAATTTTAGCGATTGATCCTTGCGCAATAAATCGTGGTGGTTGCGAGCAACACTGTGTGAACGATAACGGAAGAGCCGTATGTCAATGTTATCATGGTCTCAGGATTGGACCGGATCAGAAATCATGCGTTGGTCTGTCAAATATTTGAAAAATAAATAAGAACTTTGGACATTTAAATTTGTAAGCTATAGCATAAGCTATGGTAACAGACCATGAAAAAAGTTTTAGTAATTTGAATGAAATATTGATTGATTTTTATAAATTTTGTCTAAATTAATTTCTTTTCTAACAATTCACTGTTAATATTACTATCATTATTAAAAAAAAAAAGTTAAAAATTTTTTGAGGAAAAATATGAAAATGAAATAAAAATTTTTCTTGCAGATATCGATGAATGCGCAACAACAAAAAATTCAGAATGTCAGCATGAATGTGTTAATGTTTATGGAACATACAGGTATTGCAAATTTAATTTCTTTTTCTGAAATGCAAAATGGATGAAGCATTATTTGTTGAATTATTTACTAAAGTAGTATACCAATGAGAATGAATCATTATTTCTACCGGATTCGATAAAATAATTTCAAAAAAAAAAAAAAACAAATTCGAGAAGAATACGGAAGACTGCAGTTAAATGACAATCAATCTTTTGTCAATTTCTTCTTCCTATTCAAAGTTTCTAGCGCAAACTAATTGGTGTTTCAAAATCTCATTTGAAAACTTTTTTTTATTTCGTCTCATTTATTAATTTCTCATTTGTCTGCCAGACAGTCAAACCTAAAATGTGAAAGTTAAAATGTGAGCTACAACAATGGCAAATATTGGTTCAAAATTCTTGGCGCAAATGACCTATTTTATATAGTTGTAATCAGCTTAGCCAATAGTATGTGTTAAACCAAACCAATAAAATTACTGTAAATTCATTGAAGGTGTCGTTGTCGCCCTGGATATCGACTACTACCAGATGGACGCCATTGCAAACCAATAATTGATCCGTGTCAGGTAAAACGGAGACTGCTTTACAAAATTCATACTGTATGTAAATATATAAAATAATAATTCATATGAGAAATTAAATGTAGAATAAATATTTCTTGAATATAAATAAATGGTAAAATAAGCAAATTAATAAAATGCCATAAATGTTAAGATAAGATGAAATTATAGGATAAAAACGGAGGTTGTGAGCAAATTTGTGAAAGTAATGAAGATGGTAGTCTGAAATGCTCTTGCAAATCCGGTTATCAACTTATCAGCGATGATAAATCATGCTCTGGTAAACTTTTCGCAAATATCAACAATAATTTCTCATTCCAATTAATAATAATAATTTTACAATTTAGTAATTTTGTAGGCAAACTACTTCTGATCGTTCAAGAAGTAATTTTATATTGCTAAAAGTTATGATTTTAATATGTAAATAATCTTTCAGATATTGATGAATGCACCGACAATAACGGTGGCTGCAAGCAACTTTGCATTAACTTACCTGGTAGCTATCAATGTTCTTGCAAAACTGGTTTCCTATTAATTTACGATGGCAAAACTTGTGAAGGTTACTTCTATTGCACAGTTTTTTTTTTCTTTTCTTTTTTTTTAAACTCTTTCTTCAACTGATACTTCTTGATAGCTTTGCAGATATTAATGAATGCATTGCAAATAATGCTGGTTGTGAGCATAACTGTATTAATGAAGAAGGTGGATATGCATGTACCTGTGAAGTTGGCTATAATTTAGCATCTGACAACCATTCCTGCTATGGTTCAAGTTTTCTCCCTCTCAAATTTAAACAAATAAAAAATCTCTTAATACAAACATCCTATTGAACAATAAAATTAATATTATAATATTATTAAATTATTACAATGAAATAAATAAAGTAGTAGAAGTTAAAATATATTTCATTTTTATATCTTCTATTCTTTTTATATTTTACTACATATAGTAGCAAGCAAGGCAATAGTTAAAATTTTCACGAATTAAAAAAAGGACAAATAAAAGCTTTCAAAAATAGAAAAAAAAAAAAAGAGAAAAAGGTATATAATTATTAATAGCTATTATTAAGCAATTACTGATAAAATATTCACTAAGAAAATGTTATACAATCTGATGCATTTAATATATATTTCTATATATTAAATTATTAAAATTTATGTGAAATTTCATGAATTAAAATGGAAATTATTATTTAGATATTAACGAATGTTTATCAAATAACGGTGACTGTAGTCAATTGTGCAAGAATGAGGAAGGTAGTTATCATTGCAAATGCTTTCGTGGTTTCAGTCTTGCAGAAGATGGCAAAACATGCATTGGTAACATTTTCCTTTTCATATATAAATTCTATTTATTTTGTTAATTTAAATGAAATAGCAAACACTATATGAGTTAGTTAAATTTTTAATTGATATAATTAAAATTTGAATTCATTTCAGCATCACTTTTATCAGATTTGTTATTTGCACATTTAACAACTGATTCTGCTCCTCCTAGCATCAGACGTACGTATATCTAAGTGTAACTTTTACAGTACTCGTACTACTGTTAATTATAGTATTTGTAGTGATTGTGTTTGCATGCATAATTATTACATATCTTATTTCTCTAATTATCAAACATAAATTTAAAATCAAAGTAGTACTAAGTAATTAATAAATTTTAAAAGCAAAATAGTACCAAATAATCGAAGTAGTATGAAGTGATGCGACATATGTGTGATATATACATCTCAAAAATTCAGAAATTGTCATCTCAGACAAAAAAGATTTCTTTTTGTAAATATACTGTAATTAACTTAATGATTCGTGTCTTATTATTGTGGAAATTCTGTTATTTATAAGAAAATTACCTCAAATTATTTAGCAATGAGTGCATGCTTGTTGTGGTACTCAATTTCAGAGCATGCAAGACAGGTAGAATTATTAAGACTGATTGATCATTCAGAATACAATGATATGATGATTCGTCAACAAGAACACTCGGAAATTTCAATAGAAGATGAAAGCATACCGCAGGATCTTCCTAAATTGTCACATTTTGGTGCTATACGTATGCTTCACAGTCTTCCTACCGGTCAATTACATCTTATTTTTGAGTTTATTTCATTTATTTGAGAATTTATATGATCGTTGTTTATATAGCGAATTTATATAGCGATTTTATATATAGCGAATTTATATGATCGTTGAAAAATATTCTATTGATAAAAATATTATTTTATTCGTTAAAAAAAAAAAAATTCTATTCGTTGAAAAATAGATTATTAGTAGTAGATTCTGGACAGGAGTATGCTAATATTTGTTTACCTGTTTTGTAATTAGTTATGTGTTGTAGCTTATAAGCTCATTAGGTATTTTACAATATCATTTCCGTAAAACTTCATACAACTTTCCATGTCAGTTGATCTGTATCTTGATTGATAAACAGATATAAGAATCAATATCCTGAAGATAACTGGAGAATTGAGGTTGTAAAAAAAAAGCATAACAGCTATACGCCATTAGGAGTAGTAGTGGTTGTTGCTGTTGTTTTTGTTGTCGTAACATTCACGTCATTGGCTTATATCATCGTCGTAACGTTCACGTTATTGGCTTATATCGTTGTCGTAACGTTCACGTCATTGGCTTATATCATTGTCGTAATGTTCACGTCATTGGCTTATATCATTGTTGTATTTTTATTGTAGTAAAAAGTTATTAGTTCATTTTTGTTAAGCTAAAGCCAATTTGAGTATTATATATATATATTTTTTTTCATTTATAGCTTGCGAATATGGACGATTTGGAAAAGATTGTCGTTATCGATGCGTTGATTGTAAAAATGGAGGTTAGTTAAATTAACCTTGTGAATAATAGTTATAATTTTTACTACATCGGTATATCCGGAAGTGTATTACATGAATCAATTTTTCATTTATATTTCTTATCCATTCATTTTATTTTTATAATTTTTCAAATCTATCCTGTAAACTTTACTTTTCTATGCTATTCATTTACAGATGTATTTTTACAGGAAAATGTCGTCGTGATAAGAGTGGTTGTGAATGTGCTTCCGGATATACCGGTGTAGTTTGTGAGGATCAATGTGCAGAAGGTACATGGGGATTGGGTTGTAAAAAAGCATGCGAATGTAATGGACAAATTTGCAATCATATTACCGGTGAATGCGATTGTCCGGATGGTGCCGAATGTGACGATAGTTGTCCGGCTGGTCTGTTTTTACATAACAACTGTTTTCTTGTTTGGAAGTTTAAAATTTACTTTCATTTTTCTAAATAAAGAAACAAGTATTACACATTTGATTCTTTCTTACTTTCATGTAAATATAGAAAGATTTCTATCTTATCATTTATTTAAATCTCTGTCTAACCAACAACAACATAGGATTCTATGGACCTTCGTGCAATTTACCGTGTCAGATAACCTGTAACAGTGGACGATGTGACAGGAAATATGGGTATTGCTCTTGTCCAACCGGTTATTATGGTGAAAAATGCAATCAGATTTGTCCACGATTCAGTTATGGTCGTAACTGTCGCCATGTTTGCAACTGCGAGAAAGAATACTCAGAAGGTTGTGAACCAAAGGTATCATTATGCTATTACACTTTGAATTTAATATACTCTATCATAATTGTATCTCAAGAAAGATTACGAGATTGTATAGATGGCAGATAATTACTAGAAACAATCAGGAAATTGAACAAAATAATGAAAAGTTAATTTATAGACTGGAAAATGCATTTGCAAAAGTGGTTTCTACGGTCCATTCTGTAAACGACGTTGTCCGGTTGGTCTCTACGGACAATCCTGTACCAAAAAATGCAAATGCGCTGAAAATCAGGAATGTGATTCTACTACTGGCGATTGTCTCAAGAAATGTCGTCCAGGATATACCGGTGATCAATGCCAAACACGTAAGTTTACAAATTCATTCATCATTTTCTATCTGTTGATTAATTTTATGATATGTCTAACAACTATTGCCTCTTGAATTTTTTTTTTTTAATTTCACTGTTTTGTGATTTATTTTAAATAAACTAAATACGTATATCAATTTTCTCTGGATCAATTGCACGCTATTTGATGTCTTCTTTGTGTACAGTGCATGCAAATATGCGTGCAATAAATTTAATAAATGCACTAATTTCCAGTTCTGCAATTTCAGCTTGTCCTGCCGGTATGTACGGACATAACTGTACTCAGAAATGTGCATGCGAAACAGGTACATCTCAAGTATGTCATCATGTCACCGGAACATGTGCATGCCGACCTGGTTATTACGGTGTATTGTGTGATAAGAGTGAGCTAACCATCTCTTTTTTTTTTTTTTGAAAATTTTGAAGCATGCAATAAAAATACATGCAAAATGCATGCTGAAGTTTTAATTTGTTTTTTTTTTTGCATGCAAAGAAGCATAATGATTTAAATATTGCTTGCAAATATGAGAATGCATCCACTCAATTCCATTCAGAGTAACTCAGATCTGTACATTGCATTCTGATTACATATAATTTACTTTATCATTAGTGAAAGGTCATTAATGTGAACTGCTAACTATGTTATATCTTCTATTTCACAAATTACCTTTTTTGCTAATGAAAGGATTTAACTGATTATGATTATCAGTAATTATCAGTATCACTAGCCCAGTTATATTAGTAATCACTGTATAATAATTAAATTAAATACAAATTATTTGCAGCTATAAAGATTAATTTAATTGTTAATTATGAAATGAACAAAAATACATTAAACCGTTTCAGTGTGTCCTAGTGGCTTATACGGTCCCAACTGTCAACATGAATGTTCCTGTAAAAATAATGGTACCTGTAATAGCAAAGATGGTTCATGCATCTGTCCAGCAGGATATTATGGTGCCACTTGTAGTGAAGGTATTTTATTTCTTATTATTATTCCAGGCTCTATGTGTGTGCTGGAAGAAGATTTGATCTACCTGTGCAACTTTACAAAGTATATACTATTGTACTAATAATGAAAAATGTTACACTGATTTTGTTTATTGGTGGCAAAAAAGAAGATGCAAAGTGAATTCGAACTTTGAAAAGACCAATGAATGAATTTTTAAAACAGTTGTTTTTCGGGAAATCATTGACATCAGAGACAACTGATTAGAACATCAAAGCAAACGAGATGATGAGTTGTTGTAAAGACGAGTGTAAATGTCAATTACAATTTGTTTACTGATAAACAGCTTTGAACTTTGATGTCTCTGCTTTGGTACTTGTTAGATAGAATTATTTAACACATTAAATAGAACTTATTTGATATATACTTATTGCTAACTTCTTGTTTACTTGATTTTTTCTGCAAGATTAAAGTCATTAATTTGCTATTCGTTTGAAATTGAAATATGATTAGAATAATCAGTCATTGATATTGCAAATTTTAAAATCAATTTTAATTTCAATTTTGCTACATAAATTGAAATTGCAGTTTGTCCAAGCAATCATTTTGGTCTAAATTGTATGCAACTTTGTGACTGTCATAATGGCGCTGATTGCGATCCTTCAAATGGTTCATGCAAATGTTTGACCGGTTGGAGTGGTCAGAAATGCGATATACCATGTCCGGAAGGATATTTTGGTATTAATTGCAACGAGCGATGTAATTGCGAACAAGGAGTGCAATGTGATCCAACTGATGGGGAATGTACTTGCCCGCCGGGATATCACGGGAAAAACTGTGAGCAACGTAAGTTCTTTAGTGCTATCTTTACCTTCATTTTTCTCTTTTTTTTTTTTGGGGGGGGGGGGGGGGGGAGAGAGAGAATGAGGAGACAATTGAAGCAATTCTGTTTCGCAAAATTTACATAGGAAAGTTTAAATGAGACAAAGGACGATATATTGACAAAGCTAATAGCGTCGTTGTAGAATAGCTTGTACAATGAGTGATATATTGATTGTTTTTTAAAAAATAGTTTAAAAATTATTGTGAAAGGATTGAGTTCCATTCTATCCATTGTCCCCAAAATTTCTTGTCACTCAATTATCATATGCTAATGATATTTTAGAATGTGAGGAAGGTTATTTTGGTAATCGCTGTAAAGGTATTTGTGTTTGTCGAAATGATGCCACTTGTGATCCAATCAATGGTGTTTGCACTTGCAAGCCTGGTTGGCGTGGCCAGTACTGTGATAGGCCATGCCCTGATGGACGATACGGTGCTGGTTGTAGAAAGATCTGCGGTTGCTCTTCATTATTTAGTTAGTATCTTCAATATTAACAACACTCCATTGTTTTACCACTTTTTTCCCACTTCTTTTGTTTCGGTTTCTGTAAAAAAAAAAAGTTAATAAAAGCTAATAATAGAAATGTTTAGCTTCAGAGAATACTGAAATGACACCATTTATCTTGAAATGCCATCCAGTAACCGGAGAATGCCTTTGTGCTGAGGGTTGGACTGGATCTAATTGTCGAACGCCGTGTCCTTCAAACAGGTAATTTATGGGATAGAATTATAACTTTTTTGAATGCTACTGTTTGATATTATTATATTCGCAAAAAATTTATTTTAAGAAAATTTGATTGGCAGAATTTTAATTATTCATTTGCTTTGAATCTTCTTTACTTTCTTTTTGTTGTAAGGGATTAAGCTGTTATAATATTTCTGATAGATTATTTAAGAAGAAATAACTGCCTAAGAAAATTTAATCTAAAAACTATCCAAAACTTTAGATGTTAAAAAAATTTTTAATGGTTTTATCACAAATTTGTTACTTATATTTTTTATCCTACATTATAAAATTGATTGAATTGTATATTTCAGATGGGGCATTGGTTGTAATGAGGAGTGTCGGTGCATGAACAATGGAATTTGTGATCGATTTACAGGGAATTGTGATTGTCCAGCGGGATTTATGGGACCAAACTGCGAAGAAGGTGAGTGATTGATTGATTGGTTGATTGATCGGTTGATTTGTTTTGCTTAGAGGTGCATAATGTTTATTCAAATCAAACCAAAATATTATTATCCAAAGATTAATAAGTTTGTTTTGTTGATAGAATGTCCATCCGATCACTATGGACCCAATTGTAACAATCATTGTCTTTGCATGCACAATGGTACTTGCGACCCTAAGAATGGTACCTGCAAATGTGCAGCGGGTTGGACCGGACCTGCATGTGAATTTAGTAAGTTCAAAATATCATTCCGTTTTAACAGTGAACTGAAATTTATAGCTTCTAAACTGATCTTTTCAATTTCGGGAACTCATATCAAAAATGTTTAAAATAATTATCAGTTATGACACCGATTACATTACGATATCAAAAATTTCAATTTTCATTTTTTATTTCTAATTTTTCATTCTTTCCTTTAGTAATACTCTTTGTTTTGCTCCAAACATAAATTTTTATTGGAATAGCAATCATTACGTTAAAGTTCTCTTCAGGTATTCAGGTATAATACCACTTTATCTACTGCTTAAATTGCACCACATTTTATATTCTGTTTTTAGCGTGTCCATTTGAACGGTATGGAATAAATTGTGAGCAAACATGTAATTGTATGCGAGGTGCAAGTTGCAATCGTACAGATGGTACTTGTCAATGTTTACCTGGTTCCATTGGTGAAAGGTACATATGGTATCATATTTTAAATTAATTTCAATTTTTTTCAACACATTTTCAAATGATTACTGAGCATAATCATTTAAAGATTCTCATCCGACGACTAAACATTCTTCTATATGTAATTTTTATATTTTTCATACTTTATACAATCTAATCTTAATGCTTATCCGTTGCTTTAACTTTTGAAGCTAAATTTAGATGTGAGCGCATTTGTCCTCATGGTTTGTTTGGTGAACATTGCGAAGAATTATGCTTATGTGAAAATGGTGCAAGTTGTGATCCAATCAGTGGTCACTGTCACTGTGCTCCTGGTTGGCGTGGACGTAAATGCAATCGACGTAAACAAATTTTGCTTTTGCTTGAAATATTTCAAATTCTTTTCTTGAAAAATTAAGATTTTTAAAAATTTAGATTCCAAATATAATGAATGCGCAACGATACATTTTTCTAAAATTTTGTTGATGAAAAGAGCCGTTTCTAATGAAAAATTTATCTCTCATGAAATGCACATAACTTGTGATAATGTTTTACAGCATGCCTTAAAGGCTATTATGGAAAGCATTGTGCCTTAGCTTGTCGATGTCCGAATCAGAAACCATGCAATCATATCACCGGTCGCTGTCATTGTCCCAATGGTTACACCGGTCATTCCTGCACTGAACTTTGTCCTCTTGGAACATTCGGCGAGAACTGTGCACAGCAATGTGAATGTGCGCCAAATGCGAACTGTGATCCAATCACTGGGAAGTGTTTCTGTAAGCCAGGATATGCAGGTGTCGATTGTGCCCAAGATAAGTTCCATAATTCACTTTATAAATCTCTTATTTTTATTCAGTGATCACTATAGTAACATAATTGATTGCCCTGATTCCCAGCAGTATGTTCCATTTTAAATTAATTGTACTCTGAATATAATTGATTCAAATCTTTTTCCACTTTAAAACAAATTGAAAATCAATTTGCTGCTACATCAACAATATAGCCTAAAGTGATGTGATTATAGGTTGTAATTTCACGATGACATTTGCTTAATTTATAATTATTTACTGTTCATAGTTCTAATTTAGGATGTATTGAAGGACGATATGGTATAAATTGTGATGGTATTTGTCAGTGTATGAACGGTGGTACTTGTGATAAGACAACTGGACAGTGTATTTGTCCACCAGGTTTTGTTGGTACCAAGTGTGAAGTGCCTTGTCCAGCAAATCGGTTTGGTGAAAAGTGTGAAAAACTGTGTCAGTGTGAGAATGGTGGTACTTGTGATCGTGTAACAGGTCAGTGTCGTTGTGGAACTGGTTTTACCGGCTTACGATGTCAACAGGTATGCTCCGAAGGACGTTTCGGACCTGGATGTCGTGAAAAATGCCGGTGTGCTAATCAGGCGCATTGTGATCCAGTGACTGGCGCTTGCAGGTAGGTATACTGCAGCTGTTAATAATCTGTTTTATTGTTCCGAAAAATAAAAATAAAATAAAATTCCAATCCGGTAATAATATGTCAAATTCATTCAGAGAATGTAGTATCTTTTTTTGGATAAATTATTGTTACAAATTAAATTTTCAATCTGTGATAGTAATTTCTTTGTTTTTGAAACAAACAACAAATATAATCTGTTACTGCAGATGTTCGTTAGGGTACACCGGCACTACCTGTGATCAACCCTGTCCAGATGGCAAGTATGGACCAAATTGTACGTTAGACTGTGAATGTCACGGCAGTGTCAAATGTGACCCTGTACAAGGTTGCTGTGATTGTCCGTCAGGTCGTTATGGTACTCGCTGCCAGTACAGTATGTTTTTTTTTATGCCTTCGTTTCATTATATTGAAATTAATATTCAAAAGAAAGAGAAAAACACTTTGATTGTTGACCATCTACAATATTCTAATAACTTAGAATTATGATGGATTTTCAAAAGATGCCTTTTATTCTAAATTAATTTTTTTTTTTTTTTTTTTTAATTGAACATATTAGACACTTAAAGAAAAAGAGTTCAGTACTTGAAATAGTTTTTTTTAGTCTTAGAAATTCTTGCTTTAGAAAAACCTCTCCAATTAATTAAACCATTGGGAAAGTGTATTGTTAAAAATTTGTGAAAATTTTGTAGCATGTCCAGCTGGATTCTATGGTTGGTATTGTAGTCAGAGTTGTAATTGTCAGAATGGTGCGACATGTGATCCTAGTGATGGTCAATGTCGATGTCCTTCAGGATATTTTGGCAAGCAGGTCTATATTTGTTGCCCTTTCTTAAATCTTTTCGATTATACTTTTAATCATTCTTTTGACATTTTGACCTAAAATCAGTTAAAAGCAAGTACGTGTTATTTCTGTGATCAAAGAAATGTATGTGTTAAATTTTTGTTTTTTTTTTCTAAAATATTTTATTTTTCTTATTTTCGAGACATAAATGACATTAACTTATGATCAAAATAATTCTGCAATGCATAATTAGTGAAATACTCAATTTTTAATTTTGTATAGTCGAACTTTTTAGTGTGAACGTTCCTGTACCAATAATACCTACGGTCCACACTGTCAACTGTTTTGTGATTGTGGCGAATTTCAATGTGATCCAAAAACTGGAAAATGTGACTGCCCTTTAGGCTTGCATGGTGCTAAATGTAAACAGGGTATGTATGTTTTGCTGATGAAATTATAAAAAATTATTTCACTGATTCTAAGGACATAATTTAATGAATTCAATGTTATACTAATTGATCAATGATTTCTAAAATTTGTATGTATTCTAACCTGACCAACGGCTAAGCTATAAACTGTTAGCTAAATATATTTTTTTGAACCAATATTATGCAAGAAAATTAATTTAGCCTATTTTTACCGCATAAACCGCAACTTCATAAGCCTTTAATGTTTCTTTAAAGGATGGATACGATAATACCTGAAAATGATTTCTATTTTTATAGTATGTCGACCAGGACGTTACGGAAAAAATTGTGAATATCGATGTGAATGTTACAATGGTGCAACATGTGATCGGGTTACCGGTCAGTGTACTTGTGCACCAGGATATCTTGGCTCAACTTGTCAGCAAGAACAGTTTGGTACGGTTTATGCTAAACAATTTGTATTGTGGTTTTTGTGGTTTAATAAAATTTTTAAATAATTAATAAATTAAAAAAGCTTTCATCCATACAAGATCGAATTTATTATCTACATTTCATGTTTTCCTGGATTTTTAGACATGGAAAGTACTGCAAAACGTGGCGATCTTCCGGAATATGATTTCCGTAGGAAGCGGTAGCATCATCTTTTTTATGCAATTTAGGAATGCAAATATTTTATAAATCATTATCAAATTGCTCTAACCGAGTGCTATAGCATTATAATTTTCGTTTAATCATCAATGAAAGCTTAATTATTTCATTTAATTGGTTGGGATAATTCTTGAAGTTATCGTAATTATCACTGATCAAGCATGAAAACATCCTTATCGCACGGGTAAATCATCATCCTGGTCGAAACAAAAAATTCTAAACCGATCTTTCAATTATTTCTTGACGAAATTATAGAAAATGAATTTATGCTTCTCTTTATGCTTTATTCTGTCATTATTATCACATTGTATATCAGCTGATAATGCATCTTATATTATCATTTATTGAATAGCTGCCAAATTTTTATATGAAAGTGAATAAAAAGATGTTACATTTCTTTTATTTCCTCGTTGTAGTTGCAATTTGAAAAGAAAAAGTCATCAAAAGCAAATGAAACTCACTTCAATTCTAAAAGTTTCATGGAAGATACTATGCACATTTCAGAGGTAAAATATTTATATATTAGAAGAAAGATTATGATATATTTAGATTATAATTAATGTGTTCAGAAAAATATTCATTTTGTGATCAAATGGAGTGAAATAATTTTAACGATAACCTCGAAAATGCTATTAAAATGTTGTCTAGAATTGTTAGTCTTAATATGATTGATTGGATTTTAAAGTATTCGCTTTTCAATTTTTGTTATCTCAGAAGATGAATTAACAAGAGTAAATTATAGAGTTGCTGAGCTATTCTTTCTAATTCTGTGTAGCTCATTTCATCAAGAAAAGATTAAAGCATATTTGAGGTATATTTGAGCTAACTGGTTATCACTCAGTAATCCTATCCTTCAAATTAATTTTATTATCAGTGGCGAATTAATTAGTCAAAGCCATAATAAACCTCCTTTTTTTGTCTTATCTTAAATTTTAGTTAATCATTTAAAAAAATTTTTTTTAAATTGCGTAGTAATTGGATTTATTATTTATAAATCGGTATGATTGCTGTTGCAAAGTTTGTTTTTCTGCATTTGAGAGTTTGAGAAAAAATTTTGAGAGAAAGTTATGCATTCTTACATATAAGAATGAGTTCATAACGACAATTAAAATCAACAATTAGCTAACTTAATTATTCTTTTACGTAAGTACTTTCACGTAAGATTCACGTACGATTCTGAAGATTTCTTCATTCATTTTATAGTTTTAATTTTTTTTTTTTTGTCTGCAAATTTTGCTAGTCGAAAATGATTTTGGAAAAATTATAACGAATGTCCAATGAATGACATTTATGACTTTGGATGCTAGAATATTCTTTCTAATGTAATTCTTTCCAATTTAAACTTTTCTGATTACTGATTAATAACATTTCACTTGAATGAAAAACAGTTCAAATATTCATGAATAATCATTATGGTTAGATTTGCATAAATATTAAATTTTTGATTAAATTTCACGAATTATACACTGCAATTTAGGTAGTCAGAAATTTATAATTTAATTGTCACTCATTAAGCGGAAATAAATTTTTCTACGGAATGGATCCTCTTAATCCTCTTAAATTTAGTATTTCAAAACGGATTTGCACATGAAATTATTAATTCGAAAAACAGATTTCAGAATATATACAATTGAGCTAATTACTTTTACACAAAATAAACCTCAAAAGTAAGATTAATTCAGTGCAATTAATTAAATAGGATACCGAATATTGCTTTGTATTGTTTTCGATAGTAATAATAAAGAGCTAAAAAGTATATATTATTTTCCATTTCCAAAATTCTTTGCTATTTAGTAAAATATGATCTATTGGATACTGAAGAACTTTAGAAATTGAAGATTAATCGAAATTTGATTTATTTTAAAATTGAAGTTCAATGGTTGGTATATGTTCCTGTAATTTCTCTGCATAACCTTGTTGACCTTTTGTGTATGTAAAAGATCAAAGAATCCGATGAATCATCTTATATCAGTGGTAAGCAATGTCAAAGTCTGAAAATGAATAATGCAAATGATAAGAGAAGCTGCTGCATGAAGGAATATTTTAATCTAAGACATTAAATTAAATGTCATAGATGTCAACAGAGTTGCACAAAATTCAAACAATATTATTGTTTAATATATGTACATATCACATAAGAGCATAAGCATAGCAACTAATAGTTACTGCGACATTTTAGAATTATATTTCATTAATAGATGGAACTGAATGTTTGTTCAAATTTGTTATAATACCTATCGGTGGCAGCAAGCGATCCGTTGAAGATAAAAATTGCGATGCACAAATCTAAAATTCCTTTTTTTTCCTTGTTTTAGAATAATGTAAAAGATAATAATATCTTAAAAAATTTAACATTATTATTATCATTACCATCATTTTTTTTTTCTTTTTAATTTAGTAATTTTAATTTCAATTTAAATTTACCGTTTGTTCCTGCTGCAAACCAATTGTTGTCTCATCCATATTACAGCTTTCGCTACCAATTACTGATGAATCCAATGTTAGAGCAATCACAATTATACCCAAAATAACACATTAAATTATAAATGTATCGTAGAATAACTCTAATTTTAATTTAAAGCTTATATTCATAATAAATTTTTCAAATAAATATTATTAATAATATCTTCTAATGATGCATCTATAAATTACGGATTATTAGAACCAGTCGACCTTTCCGGTCAGTTTGTATCATTCACTGTGTGAATGTACGGTATGTTATAGTGTACTACTAATATAATTTCTGCATAAATTATTGTGCTAAAAATCATAATACTAACCCGTAACAAGTAAGGCAATACTGAGCAATGAAATAATTAGTACAACGATCACGTTGAAAGTGACATTTACGTTTGTTTCCCAGCTAGATGCCGGATCGTCCGACATAAGCAAAATACGGACTACTTCATCTGCGTCTGGAAATATGATATATATTAATTTTACTTTATGTATGTGTGTGTGTGTGTGTGTGTGTATGTGAGTGTGTGTGTTTGTGTTATCTTGAAATTTGAATAAAATAAAATATCTCCTTCAGCATTCCTGTAGTTTGCTCCATATATTTTAATATTGTCATTATTATTCGATTAGTAATCAATAAAGATTCTTTTGATCAAAATTTCCTGATTTTTTAGCTTTGTTTAGTTCATTAAAATGAAGCATTACGGAAACCTGTCGTTGGATCATTACGTGAAATGACACGTTGACGTATATTCAAATATTCATAAGCGGCAATGAGTAATAAGCAAATAAGAATTGCTAGTGCAAATCGCACTAAAAGACGCATACAATCGACCTCATACAGCAAATAGCAATACTGAGTCGTTGTTTTTCCACCCAGTAATATTCCCTTTTTCCGGATTTAAGGCCCCTCTGTTCGGCTCGAAGGAGCACAATCAAATAACTGCAACGATTTAAGCTTGATCACATAATTATGATGTGTTAGTCATAGGTGGTTACACGTATTGTTTACTTCAATAAACCATAAAATAAATAATTTTTACTTTATAATTGTTAACTATTTTCAAACGATTTCTTTGCTAACTTTGAAGTTATTGGCTTATTTTCAATATTTTAAATGATATTTAAGAAAATATCGTTGCTTACAAGATTTTTCAACTTAAACAGTATTTACATTTATTTGTTTAGCAATAAATGACCATCAGTAATTGTAAAGAAAAAAGATATCGAACGAGCTAAGAGCAATTTATGATCAATTTTTCGGTCAACAACAACGACAATGACAATAACAACAACAACAACAACAACAACAACAATGATAATAACAAATTCAATGAGTGTCAATGCTGTTCAGTATTATAATAATTGAAGACAAAAAGGTATCTTAGTAGGATATTTTGATACACAAAAGAATATTTCATTAAAAGGATAAAGTACTGATGAGTGATATCTATCCATCTATCTTATTGTCACATTTGATGATAATGATGAAAAGAAGAAAGCAAAAAGATAGAGAGAGAGAGAGAGAGAGAGAGAGAGGGAGAGAGAGAGAAATCTTCAAGTAGTACCAAATAAATGGGATTAATGATTGGATAAATTCTGGTTTGTCATTCATTATTCATTAAGTAGTGATATGATGTCATATGATACTCTGATCCGAAATCTGGCGGTGCAGAGAGAAATGATAGAAAATTATGCCACAAAATAGTTGAAATGAAAAAAAGAGAGAGACAGAGAGAGAGAGAGAGAGAGAGAGAGGTAAAAGGAATAAACAAAAAGAGAAAATTGTTAATGAAATTGATGCAATGTGTGTCATTTGCGTAGACTTTTTTTTATTAATCTAAACTAAACTATCAAAGCGGCGAAAAATTATTATTATATGGTTCATGTGAATGTAATGATCGAAAAAATAAATAAATAAAAGGAGTGGGAGAGAAAAACTAGTTTAATTGAAAATGAAATTAAGATAAATACAATTCTCAAAATTCAAGAGATAGAAAATTATGGAAGCTGACTATATTAAAGTCGTAAAATACTTGCACGTAACTAAATTTATAAAGTTAAATAGTAACTAATTTATTTCATTGATATTTTGTACTATGAATGAATAGCAATGAGATGAAGAAAAAGAAAAATGAAAAGATTGGTTGATTGAATTTTGAAATTATTTTTCAATTTTAAATTTCCTAAGGATAAAATTCGCTATGCATCTTTCCTATTCTCCTTGTGCCGATATTTTAAGCTTATTTATGGGAGGATTTGGTTACATAATGGATAATAAAACCTCATAAATATGCAACTTTAAAAGAAATCTTTTTTTTATAAAGAATTATACAAAGCCCAAAATATTAAAGAACAAGAGAAGAGAGATAAGAGTTATTATGAAACGATGAAACATTTTTCATTTCCACTTGTAAACGTGAAAATTAGATTTGCAAAGATTGAAATTAGAGTAACGGATTATATGGGAAAATCAAATGAGAATTTAAGTTATAAATGAAATCGATGAAAATAAACGAACGAATTAAGTAGGAGAAATGATTGCTAGATGTGCTAATAGAAGAAAATAAATCCTTTCGAAATCATTAGCAATAATTTTGTTAAATTCTTAAGCAAAAAAATCATAAAGTATTACATTTCCAGCTGTTATCATAGTAATAAATGAATGCATAGTTTAAAATGTTGCACCAAATTTTAGAATTAAATTAAATAATTCATTCAGGCTTAAAAAAGCTGAGAAATGCTTACTTTAACAGCTGGATGAAATATATTGAATAGTTAGCATTTAGGACACTTTATAAAATGAATGCATGAGTGGATGATATAATAAAAGGACAATTGGACTGGATGAGGCATGAAATCCCAGTTTGATAATAATTGCTAAAATAATTGAATTGCGACGAATGTATTTTATGAAGAGCAGAAAAAAAATAAACTGTCGAGAATTTTAAAGAATAGAAAAGCTAATCAATAATCAACAAATTTAGAATAGTATTTTAAAAAATGAGAAGACATTTGTGCGTGTGAATAGCTTTAAAGATTTGTTAAAAATTTTATAGATTAGTAAAATTTGAGGATTTTTTGGAGTCTGTTTAAAAGGCATTTAATTCGTTGCAAGTTGGAAAATATTTAAATGAGTGCTTGGCAAATTAAAAAGACAGCTGAACTGGGAAAAGCAGATTTTTTCATTAAATGGAAACGTCATTTGAATAGTTAAAAGTAATAAAGTTGAACTAATTGAAAAGTGCCAAGAAATATTTCAATGACAATTTCAAGGACATTCCTGTGCTTTATAAAATATTGAAGAAAGTATGAATATAAAGATGAAAATGATATATTTGATATGAATGTAGTTGGTTAATAAATTTAATGATATCAGTTTAAAAGTTATCTAATCATTGCCAGAAGGGATAATCGAATCACAGAAATGTTGCAATACTGGATAAGAACTTTTAAAATGAATTTTAAAATGAATATACAGTTCAATACTACACAATTATTTAATTTGATAATCTTACATAGGTAATTTCATTAAAATCGACACCATGCAATATCGATTTTAATGAATTCTAATAGAAAAAATTACCCATGTATTATATTTGAGTTAGATTAGATTGGTAAACAAATAAAATTACCTCATATTAAATTTGTTGCAGTGATATTGGTCAGTTTTATTTATCACGAAAATGTTGAAAAAAGTTTGTTAGAAATGAGTTAGACCGTCAAAGAAAAGAAAAGATCGCTGAATAATGTTTTTATTAGCTTAAATAAAGTTTGCATTCATCATAAAGCAATGGAAAAATATTGGTAAATAGAAGAATATAATGTTGATTAATCGATTATTAAAGTTAGAACTACGTAATTTGAAAATTTTATCATTGATAAAATTGATTTATCATTGTTAAGGTAAAGGAAAAGAAAATTAAAGAATTTATATTACTATTATAAGTGATTCAATGCGAGCAAATTATAATATCCAAATGAAAAAAGTAATAATACTCTAACAGCAACTGAAAGGAAATGTCAGGCGCTAATGTCACCAGTAATATGCAAATAATTTTAGTACATAAATAGAACAATTTTATTAGATTTGGATAGCAAATAAATGATATCAGCTGCTGAGCGAAATAAATGATTTGTGCTGTAACAATGGGAACAAGTACGAGAAACAGCTGTGAAAAGTAGTTTGAAAATACAATTGGACTAATCGATAGTGTCACAGTCGAGAGAAGTTGAAATGATGACAACGAGTTCATTGTGATCCACCAATTACTATTGCAAAATTTAATGCTTAAAAATTTGAGGAATAGTTAGAGTGAGAATTTCATTGTTTATTGAGATGAAACTTCTATGAAAGAATTTTAAAAAATCACTGAAGTGGATGAAATGACACCAAGTAATTGCAGTGGATATTTATATAATATTTGTTCCATTAATTTCTGATATATACGAAATAAGAAACTGAGCAGAAAATATGAGTATAATTAAAAAACTCTCGAAACATTCAGTAAAGTATGCAAATGCAAATTTAAAATTAAAAGTTATTATTTGAAAAATAAGATAGGAGTAAATACATTACTGGAATATGTAACTAAAATAATTACAGTTAATATAGTAAACTACATAATAAATCTTAGTGCAAGATTTTAGAAAAAAAAAAATGATCTCACTTTTTAATTTTTAAATTTAAGTAAAATAATTGAAAGGAAAAAGTATTCAGCATTCAATATGTTCTGGATGAGCCAAAAGGAAAATAAAATTACACCTTTTGAATTTTTTTCATTCTTTTAGGAAAAATTGACAAATTGTGAGGAAAATTTGAAAGGAAATTGAAGAAAAGAGAGAAAAATGTCAATTGCAAAGAACATGCATGTTTGAAAAGTTTTGAAATGAAAATTTTGAGCAAAACTTTTCAAAAAATTGAATTCATTTTTTTTAAATCGTTAAGAATTTCACAAAAGTTTAAATGGTTAAGAATTTTGCATGTTTGAGAAAGTGTATTTCAAAATATTAGCACATACTTTTCAAAGGATACTTAAGTTATATTATCAATGTATAATGTGTAAACTTTTTCTTATAAATCAACTGATAACCATATTTAATCACTCTAATTTATTCTTACATCAGAATAATAAAAAAAAAAAGAAAGGAAAGTGAGTGTTGATCAGAGCAGATAAGTTCAACTTAATTTAAAAAAAATTTCTTAACAATAGCTTTGGAGAATATTTAGAGCAACAGATAAGGTATAAAAAGTTTAACTTTTTTTAATATTAGGACTTGCTAAAGTTATTAAAAGTAATGGAAGAGTTAATTTGGTTTGACTAATATATCAGATGTTATCAAAAGATGAAATGTCCTAACACTTCAACAAATGCATCAATATTTGAAGTTACTTTATTCATGATTCATACAACTCTACGTTACGTGTTTTTTTCGTACGTTTGTTCGCTAATATATTTATTAATGTTCAATTTTTCTCCTATTTATGACACACTGCAAAGAATTTCAGCAATGCGACAAATCAAGCACTAATTTCAAAATGATTTATGTATAATTTGCGTAATCAAATTTGATATAATATTTTTGACATAAAATTAGATAGAAATGAAAATTTGTAGAAACGAAAAAAATGGATCAAATTTTTAATCTTTACTTTTGAGACTATAAATTTTAATATACTAAAATTAAGCACTTGAAGAATTCATTTATTTTTTAAATTTAACACAATGCAAAAAAATTAAATTGATTCACTTTTTACAATAGTTGATTTATGGCAATGAGCTAATCTGACACCTGGATACCTGGAATAATTTAAAAGTAAATAAA